CCATAACGCCCGTACGTGCCAAAAAGATGTAGAAGAAGATTCTATGTTAGATGCAAGTGAGTCGTACGAAGCATCTATAGCTAGTGTAGAGTAATTCAAGTTTTCATATGTGATGTTCGCGATGCCAAGAAAAAGTGGCACACTCGGTGGGGTGGCACTCTCGGTGGTGGAATACGTTATTGGTTAACTATGTATGTATATAACAATGGGGTATTCACACACACGCACACTTTTTCTTTTGTTCTTTCTCATCGATTTATGAGTATATTCGTCAATTGCTTTTGTATTGTTTTTGATCTTTTTTTTGTAGGGCGAAAGAAGAAGAAGAAGAAGAAGAAGAAGAAGAAGAAGAAGAAGAAGAAGAAGAAGAAGAAGAAGAACAAGTACATGCCACAGCGTACGACGAAGAGAAAAAAATGAACTCAATTGGTGCCTGGAACTTTACGCCTAACGCAACACAATGGGCAGGTAATCTACTACCAAACCTAGGCTACTGGAGCGCGACGAATGGGTCGTGGTCGTACGAGATACAAGTGGCGTGGCCGCTGAACTGGACTGGGCGCGGGGAAAAGTCCGTTGTGGAGACCATGTATGTAAAAAGTTGCTTTTTGTAGAGGAAACATTGGAAACACTACTTATATAATGCTGCCAGGTACGTTTTAGATGGCAATGCACTTGGCCTTACAGCCACCGAGGCGGTGCGGCGGCGTCGGCCCGTCGAGTTCAACATGCCCGATTGCATCGTGGTTAGCATAGGGTACCCGGAGACGCTTCAAGACTCGCCGTATAGCATGCAGCGCAGCTACGACTACCAGCCTCCCGTGTGCGACGCGTGTGCGCTGCCTGCGGTGCCGGGCGTGCCATCCAACGCCGACAACTTCATCGACTTCATCGACACGGCACTAAGGCCGTGGATCCGGAGAGTTGCATTTCCCCAAGCCGACTTTGACCGCGATGCACTGTACGGGCATTCGTTTGGCGGTCTGTTTGTCTTGTATGCGCTGACGGTGCGGCCGGACTTGTTTGACACGTTTCTGAGCGCGTCGCCTGCCCTCTTCTTCAACGACGGCTACGTCTTCAACCACACCGAGTTTCTGGCGCCTCTGGTGGCGCATCCTGCAGTCCATGGCACAAACACGACAAGGCCCGCATTTCAGATTAGCTATGGCGCGCTCGAGCAGAATCCCGTGCAGAGACGGACGGAGACAAACGCCGAGTTCGAGTTCCGCAAGAGCATCCTCGTAGCGCAGCAAATGACTACCTTGTCGCAGAAGCTGTACAGGGCGCTAGAGGAGAGTCCGGCGCTCAGGGATGTGAGCATTCGCGAGTATCCCTTCAGCGACCACGCGGCGGTGGGAGCAGCAGCGCTGGCAGACGGATTGGACTATTTCCTGGATTGGTGCACGGCAAAGTACTGCTAGGAGGGCGAGAAAGCGACAGAGCGAGTACCGTGCGCGGTCTAAAATATGGGATGGAGGGGTGATTGGTGTTGGTGTGGATGCGACGTCCCACTCTTTCATGACTGTACATAGACATGGCTGCTCGCTCGTCCACGGCCGATTGATGGCGGTGCCCTGCTCGTTCCCTGCAGACTGCATTGCCATCTCCACCACGGGCTGCGGCTATTTCCCCCGTGCGGTTCCCACGGCGACGAGGGGAGCTTGTCGGCGTCGCCATGGACGTGTCAAGCACGCTGCCGACGACGAGGCTGCGTGACTAGCGATGCTCGGGCGGCTGGCGGTGATCACCACAGGCGTATCCAAGACCCTTTTGCTGTTCGTCGTCGTCGCCCATGGCTAGGCGGCTTTGGGGGGGAGCAGCATGACGTTGGCATGATGGCGGGCCTGCAATGCCAGGCAGGCGTCGCTCTTCTGACTCGCTGGGCGCATGTCTCTCTGCAGCGCTGTGTACGCACACTGCAACGTTGCGCGGTAAGCGGTGACAGCAGTCGAGCAGTGGCCTGGCGATGCAGCGTCGGGGTGCAGGCTGAGGGCGTCGCGATGGGGGCGCTGCCGGGCGAGTTGCCCGTTTGGAGCAGCGATAGCACTGGGACTGACCGCCTTGGACGACGTCGGACGAGGAGCCTGAGGCTGCTGGCCACGAGTGGTGGAAATGGAGGCTTGGAGTGGCAGTGGTGGGGCGGGTGGGGGGAGAGGACAGCGCCAGCAAAGAGCCTCAACGGATGGCCATCCGGTGTTTGATCACCGCCGAAAAAAAGATTTCGCCTAGTGCCAGACATGCCCGCGATACGTCATCTTGAGGACACCCCAAAGCATCCCCCCCCCCCATGCAATCTAACTAGCACCGTTACCGCACTGGGCGGCCCTCAAATACCACAGCCGCTCGGCGCCCGCGTCTATACATCCTCCTTGCCAGATCCCATCCATCCTCTCCCACGCCCGCCCTCCAGCCGCCGCCTCCAGCCGCCGCCTCCCTCACCATGCAGCGAACACACACCACCGAGAGCCTGCGCATACCAGGCGCCAACATCTCGACGCTCAACATGAACAAGGCCCCGCGGCCAGGCATTGAGCGCGCCCCCACATCCACCAACCTCACGCGGCCACTGCCCATCCAGCGCCTCGAGGGCAAGGTCGTCATGATCACTGGCGGCGGCGGCAAGGTCGGCGTCGAGTCGGCCGGCCGTCTGCTCATTGAGGGCTGCAACGTTGCCCTCATCGACATTGACCAGAATGCTCTCGAGGCTGCCGTGCCCGTCCTCAAGGCCGCCATTGCCACGGGCGTGCCCATAGAATCCCGCCTCCTGACCATTGTGGCCGACTGCACAAAGGAGCCCGACGTCGAGGCCTGTGCCAAGAAGGTCGTCCAGCGCTTTTCGAGGCTCGATGCCGCTCTCTTGAACTGCTGCCAGAGGGGGGCGTCCAAGAGCATTTTCGACGTGACCGAGGACGACTTTGACCGCATCATGACCATCAATGCAAAGTCTGGTATATTCTGCCCTCCTCTTCTACACATCATTCTTGTGCTAACACGCCACCAGCTTTCCTCGGCGTCAAATACGCTGCAACAGCCATGCAAACTACCGCCGGCGGCGGCTCCATAATAATCCGGTCCTCCATCGCTGGTCTCCGCGGCTTCCCCAACCTCATCTCGTACAGCGCCTCCAAATTCGCTCTCCGCGGCATTGCTCTTACCGCCGCCGAGGAGCTAGGCCCTCACGGCATCCGCGTCAACACCATCCACACGAGCATCATCCAGACGACTGGCTACAAGGATGGCTGGAGCAAGGACACGCTCGACGAGCTCAAAGAGGAAACAGCACTGGACCGCTTCAGCAGCCCCGATGATGTTGCCAGCGTCGTAGCCTTCCTAGTTAGCGAAGACAGCAAGTTTATGACTGGCGGCCATTTGAAGATTGATGGCGGCTGCGTTGCTGTTTAGAAAAGACAAAGAAGACATGTTGCATGCACCGTTCCTCGGGAAAAAACCGAAATCAACATTTTGGCATGATTGGAGTTTGGGGATATCTAGCCCAGAGAGGCTTTCTTTCTTGTTGTTATTCATATTCATATTCTTCTTCTTCGTCTCCCTAATCTTTGGGTTTTGGTCATAGCTTGTTCTTATTAGTTCTTTGCATCCTCAAAACTTACAGACGGGGTTTATTTTTTTCTTTCTATAGAAGGGGGGGGGCTTCTTTTACTTTAGACGTTCTAGGGAATAAACAGGCATCGCATGGTATGGTTTGGTTTCAACATGACTGGGCTGGCTGGGCATCTTGATCATGGCGGATCGGACAGATGGATACGGGAATAAATAGAATAACAAACACATTTACACTATATACCGTCTTGTTTTCCCACTATATCCTACATTCAAATCGTACAGTCTATGAACATATCCGTACATAAATGCGCAGTAGTATCAACGCAAATAGGCCATGTGTACACTTCCCCCTCCTCTTTTTTCCTTTTCCCTTTTCCCTTTTCCCCACCTCAATCACATCCCTACCCTCCCCCTAAACACGTCCTGCATTTTCTCCAGAGTACCTCCCCGCTTCTCCCTCCACTTTTCCAATACACTATATCTAAACTAAATCCTAGTTAATACATACACCTACGTCATCCTGACTTCACTCCACTTTACCCACACCGACATCCACGCATCTGCATCTGCATCTGCATCCGCATCCGCACACCGATGCTACCACTACTGACATGAAGCTGCATAACCACGCATGCATAGACAGACAGGGAACTCGGTGGAGAGATGCTGGCATTACGGGGCTTATAGGTGTAGCGAGATGGGATGGAAGCCAAGGGATGGATTAGATGCTCTGTTGTTGCATGTGTAGGTAGATTAGATATAGGCATGTTACTTAATTTTTCTTTGCTTTGATGGGTCCTGCTGCTTCACTTACTTAGATGGGGATGGGGATGGGGATGTATTGCTACCTACCTACTTACCTACCTACATATAGATACATACATACATACATATGTACCACAACGTCCCTCCATCTCATCACACCCCGAAAATCAAGAAACCTAGAGTTTGTCGCTAGTATACATACTTATACCACTGATGTTTTTTTTTAGAATGGATAGAGATAGGTTGGGGATCAGGTCTATGTGTGTACAGTGGCTGGTGCTAGTACTAGTGCTGGTGGCTAGTAGTTGTGTAGTGTAGGTAAGGAAGTGAGTCTGCGCTACGCTACGCTACGATATGGTATGCTACTTCTAGGCTAGGTTGATAAGTAGCGTAGCCTAAGTAGTACTAATCATGCGTGTAACATTGAAGAGATAGTATAGAGATCCGCGGGTAGGTAAAGGTTAAACCCGACTTGGTTGCTTGGGAGAATAGGGCGTTTCATATTTACAGACATAGAGAGACATTACAGATTTGGACGGTTGATCCGCTGATTTGAATTGAAGTGAGATTGAGCTTGGAGGTTTACTGCAAGTCTGTTTACTTGCGGGATTGGTTTTCGGTTTTTTTTCAACTCGTGCTGGTGGGAAGCAAGTATTGTATGCCAAGGCTGCCTAGTTGGATGAAGGAGTTAGCGTCCTTGGAGTGTTGCTTGAGTAAAGTAGTTCTTCTTCTTGGGAAGCTTGTTCTTGAATTTTGTGAGGTGGGGATGAGAATAAGAAAGAGAAATGAATGATTTAAATATCTACTGGCTATGAATAGCTTAGTGTCTCTTGTCCAAACAAAACCCTATTCGGTAGGGTTGCCAAGACCCGCTTGTGAAATGTCACCAGGCCATAAGCTGAATGCATTACAACACCAAGGCCATTCTGCTACTAAAGATGTCATATCTATATCACGTAAATATTAGATGAGTAGCCGCGTTCGTTAGTCAGGTCAAGCGCTAAATTTCAACTACGTGAACATTACGTGATGTCCTCACGCTAGTGCCGAGAACGATAGTAGAGACCTTGTTTTGCTCACTCTACCATCATCACTGCTACTTTTTCTACTATTGCCTACCAAAAAGATTCCATCATGTCTCCAGCTCACAATGAAAGCCGTCACCCAGATCAAAACGGCGTCGACTACGAAAACACAATCTACGAGCGCGGCCTCGACTACCAACGTCCTCCACTAACCTTCCAGCCCGACAAATGGGAAGAACTCGCCTGTGCTCGTCTCTCGGCTGATTCCAAAGGCTACGTCTACGGCTCAGCAGGGACGCGAGAAACACGGGATAAAAACAGAGCTGCATTTAGAAGATGGTCAATGGTACCACGGCGTCTGGTAAAATACAATGGCTTGCCCGACCTTCGCACTACCATCTTTGGTGAAGAGCTATCCGCACCCTTTGCCATGGCCCCTGTTGGCGTCCTCAAAATCTTCAACGCAGATGGCGAAACGGCGGCTGCAAGAGCAGCAGCTAAGCAAGGGGTGCCGTATATACTCAGCACGGCAAGTAGCACTAGCATCGAGGATGTGGCGGCTGCAAATGGCGACGGAGGTCAACGATGGTATCAGCTCTACTGGCCATCCCGCTCCCACGACGACATCACAATTTCTCTGCTGGATCGCGCTCAAAAAGCAGGCTACACCGTGCTGTTTGTAACACTGGATACATACATGCTTGGCTGGCGCCCAGAAGACATGGACAACGGGTACAATCCTTTTCTGCGTGCGGACCGCACGGGCGTCGAACTCGGTCTCACAGATCCAGTATTCCGGCGCGCATTCCAAGAGCGCCATGGTGTTGAGGTCGAGGGTAAAATGACGGATGCCGCAAAAGAGTGGATGAAGATTGTGTTCCCTGGCGAGAGCCATACGTGGGACGACGTGCAGTTTTTGAAACACCATTGGCGTGGGCCTATCGTCTTGAAGGGCATCCAAAGTATTGCTGATGCGAAGAAGGCTGTCGATGTGGGTGCTGATGGTATTGTGGTGAGTAATCATGGCGGGAGACAGGTTGATGGCGGAAATTCATCGCTGGGTGTCCTGCCGCATGTGGTTGATGCCGTGCGTGAGTACATGGCATCTACGGATACCACCAAAGACTTTAAAATCCTGTTTGACAGTGGGATCCAGTCTGGCGCTGATATCGCAAAAGCACTTGCTCTAGGCGCGGATTGCGTACTTATCGGTCGCCCGTATGTCTACGGTCTTGCTCTCGGAGGGGAACAGGGCGTCGGACACGTATTGAAGAGTTTGGTTGGCGAGTTGCAGTTGACGTTGCATTTGAATGGGATTGAGAGTGTAGAGAAGGACAAATTGGGTAGAGCGTGTTTGGTCAGGGAGGACGAGCTTTTTGAGGGAGTCAAGGGGGTGGGGTTATGTTGAGAGGAGTTATTTTATAGCTGTTTGAGAGATATAGAGGTTCTAGATGTGGTGTTTAGACGTTTAAGAGAGCTCTATTTACAGTATACGAAGATGTCTGAGAAGTAGTGTTAAAATCAGACAGAAGGTCTAATCCTACCTCAATTAAGCGCAGTAGAAAGAAATATCGTCTGCTTTTGTGAGTAGGTAGCAAAGAAGTGTGAGTCTAGTGTACATCTGGCAAAATTTATGAATGATATGTAGTAGCTACCAATTCTTTACTAGGAAGCAAATGGGTTCGAAAACTAGTTGCTAAATAGATTGTCATTGACTGACGCGGGCAGTCTGGTGTGGTTTGTTCAAACTCGCACTCACCATTCACTACACCTACGCACAGACCTTTTGCTATCAAACCATAGAAGTGTATTTCTTACAACACAGCTGCTTTCGGCATTTCTCTCATCTCAAACCTAAATCGTAAGGAGTGTCATGATACCATTTCTGAAACAATGGACACGTGCTCACTGACCGGCGCGCTGCACAAGCTAAACCAATGAACGCGGCTTTGGCTCGCATTCACTTTCACTTCAGGTGGGACAGTGCCTTGTTTTGGTCTGTTGGCGCGCTAATTTATCTTTTGTTTACGCGTTTGTCTTCTATTTTGCCACCTCCCACATTGCTCTCGCTCTGCTGTCGTACTGTGAGATCAAGGTAAGCAACGTGTACTAGACACTCGCGCCGATACTAAAACTGTCGAGGATAATTGTACTTGATACGCGTGAGCACATTTGTTCGTTCTGATACTGCGCTCGGCGTCTGTCAGAACGCATCTTGAGTTGGAGACTGCGACTCACGGCACCTGCAATCATGCCGCCCTATGGACTCTATCCGGTTCCGCGGCACCACCTCTATGACCAGAGCCCGCCTGGAAAGCGGCCTACGTTCAACAGCATGGACTTTCTAGAACTTCTAGACGAAGAGCCAGCAGCTACAGCGACAAACAAAGAAAAACTGGAGACTGCTGAGGAGAGAGCCCGAAGAAAACAAGAGAAGCGGGAGAGAAAAGAGAAGAAGAGACAAAAGAAGGAACTGCGCGAGGCAAAGGCAGTAGGGAAAGCCAACGATACTGAAAAGAAAAACCCACCTCTTCAGGCTGATTCAACGCCCGTGATTCCAGTCAAGAACGGTAGGTATGGTCCACGCGGCTCTTACAAGAAGAAAGAGAAAGACACAAATGGCAAACCTGTGTCTGCAACGAAGCGCAAGAGGGAGAGCGACGCGAATGCTTCACATGACAGTGCCACTGCTCTCAACAGTGATGCCTCATTGCTCAGCCCCAACTTCTTGTCGGGCTTGAAGGAGAGCATGGGTGACTTAGGCGCTGCGTTCAAAGAACCCAAGAGCACTGAGTCTCCAACGGAGCCACCGCGTAAGAAGAGAGGAAGACCACCAGGATCGCGCAATAGTGTCAAAGCAGAGTCTACCACGACTGTAACTCCAACCCCTTCCAAGTCTACTACCAAATCGACCTCCGGTGAAGTCAAGCCAAAGACGCAGAAGAATGAGAAAGGCAAAGACGCTGGCACCACTGTCGGTAAACCGTTCAAGATGCTCAGAACGCCAATTCCCGTTCCTTCAATCGCATCAACTCTACTCTCTGGCCCGAAGAAGACGCCTATTCCACTTCCTCCGAAACCAAGCGGCAGCATGAGTGAGCCACCGCCTGGTAGGGCGAAAAACATCCGCACGGAATCCCAAGTTCTTGTCACGGAGACGCCTCCATCTCAAATGCGTCGGATGCCTGCAACCACGACTCGCCAGCCAGCCATCCCATTCAGTCTTTCACAGGCAACACCTCTAAGCACGCAATCAACCAAGATGAAGAAAGGACCCACCATCGACGTCTCTTCTTCCGACTCGCCACCCTCAGCTTCAGAAAAGCCCGAGGAATCCAAAAAGCACATCATCGGCAGTCAAGGCTCAGTGAATCCCCTGACCAGCAGTCAGGTAAACGACTTTACATCATCAAACCTCATGCAATACAAGCAGAAGCTCAACGACGAGCCCAAACCGCGTCCCCGCAGTCGTCGCGCAGTCTCTGAAGCCACGAGCACAACATCCAGCAGTTCCTCGACGTCGATGAGCATCCGAGACATGTTGACCCGTATACCCAAGCCCTACACGCGGCCCGCGGTCGACAAAAACCCATTTGCGATTGACCCGTCCGAGAAGAAAGCAAAGAAAGAGCGAACAATGGAAACGCACGACGAAGCTTCATACACCACCTTCACCGCCGCCTACAAAGCATCCCAACACACCATCAACTTCACCGACGAAGCCGAGTATCTCAACGAACACATTACTCTGCTCGCCGCCAGCGCCGCCGCAGGGCCACTCCCCTGCCTCAACAAGGCAACGGGGTGCTCGCCGAAAAGCGAGCAGATGCTGCGTCTGCACCGCGAAGACAACACCACGGCACTCAAAATGGTCGTAACCAGCGAGTCCGACGCCGCCCTCTCCGCAACACACATCTCGCGCGCCCAAGCCGCCGACACACTGCTCCGCCACTCCATCGCCGCGCGTATCCCCGTCGCCCTGGGTCCCCTCGACGGAACCTGGAAACTCTACTGCCCGGACTACACTGCCGCGCACGTGGACAAGTACGGCTTTGGTCTGCGCACGCTAAGCATCCACTCTGTAGCCGGGCTATTCAAATCCAAGAATACGAGTGCCGGTGGTGACGACGATGTGCCCATGTACACGGCTCGACTGTGCATCCCGCCTCGTCCCATGGCGTTTAGCCTCGCCGAATTCACGGCTCCGCCTCATGCGAGTTTCCGCGCTACGACGCTCAAGACGGTGGTCGAGGGGTACAAGATGGACGTGGTGTTTCTGGGAAACGGGTATTTGAAGCTGAGGATTGATGTGCATTTGCTACTTATGGGCAAGGCGGCGGCGGAGAGTGGGGTGGGCAGTACCAAAGCCAATGGCAAAAACAAGGCCAAACCCCCTGAATACGGCATCTGGGATTTCCTCGGCGTCCACGACAAGGCTGTTGTCTGGCAGCCGCCCGTTGATGAGCTGGAGGTTGAAGGCAGGAAGCTGTGTGCCAAGTATGATGGCTGAGGACACTCGCTTACTTACTTACTTACTTTCACTCATTTCACGTTGTTCACTTCCCGACACCACTCCAAATCCGCAAAGTAAACGAGGAATGAAAGAAAAGAAAGAAAGACACAAGGAAAAAAAAGGGCTGGATTGAATAGCCATTAAAAGTTGGATACAACACAAGGGCCACGCTTGATCAGTATCATAGTCTCGAAAGCTAAATTACATACATACATCCAGAACCCCACATCCAACATACATAACACATGATTCTACTTTGTTCCCCCCCCCCTCCCTTCCTCTTTTCTTTCCACACGTGCTTTTCAGGGTCCAAATACATACTTCCTCCGCCCCTATGTATAACCCCATTAAACCCCAACAACAACAACAACAACAACAAGAACAAAAAGCAAGAAGGATTTCTCACACGTAAACAAGTCCACTTGATCTACCTTGCTCATAATAGCACTACTTGATATATTTTCAAGATCTAGCCCCACCTACTTAGCTATTTCCCTCGACTTCGTTTCCAAAATCCCCATTTTCTAGCACTTCCTCCATCCACCCCTTCCCCTCAAAAACGTCTCCTCGCAGCACAACAGATACATGAACTGAGCATGCATAGCTTTGATATCAGGATTGCGGGTTTCTGAATTCCATTGAATGACATGTTACATGGACAAGAAGTTGGAGTATCAGGTTGAAGATGAGGGGGACAGGCGTTTAGAGTGAGGTGTGGAGGTGTGGAGGTAAGTGTGTAAGTAAGTGGTTAACTAAGTGTGTGTATATGATGCCAGGTACCTCAGATAAAGAGACTGACAAGTAGATAGATAGTTGGGTAGGACAAGCAAGCTCAAGGGAGAAAGAAGAACAAGAAGAACAAGAACAAGAACAAGAAAAAGAAAACCCTCACCATCCTTACTCTAATAACCAAAAAAAACAAAAGCGTACATGACACGACTTCCAAGTTCCGGGTTAATTTTTTTCACGTAGGGGATTTTTTTTTAGATTGTTCATTCATTTTTTTTCCAATTGCGTTTACAGATCAGATCAGATCAGATCAAATCATCATCATCATCATCTCTCTTCTATTCTACTTTTGATTTGCATTTCCACTACCCCTCTCTCTCTTTCTCTCTTACACACAGACACATAACACACATAACACATGTAAACACACACACACACACAAATATATGCCCAATGTCTATGTCTATGATATACGCGGTGACTTTTCTCTTCTCTTCTCTCTCTCTCTCCGTCTCTCCGCCGCTCTAGTCTTGTCTGTGGTATGACGGCTGAAGAAGAAAGAAAAAAAAAGGGGGGAGGGGAGAAGAGAAGAGAAAAAACAAAAGATGAAGACAAGACAAGACAGGAGCAAGGAGCAAAGAGCAAGTTTACTCCTTCTTAGGCCTTCCGTTCTGCGCTTCGATGGCAGGCATATTCAAGCTACCCTTTTGGGTGAAGTGTTTGCGTTCGATGAACTTGAGGACTTCGTCGATGAGGCTGGGGTGTAATGGGTTAGTAAAAGGGCGTTTGTATGTGGAGTGTAAAAAAGGGTGACTTACATAATAGGCGCGCTGATCGCCATAACAGCCTTCCACTCATTACCGTTAAGCGGGATGACGCTGAAGAGACCTTGCAAGAAGGGGACGTAGAGCAGGGCAAAGTGAAGAGCCATGGATAGGCAAATGGCATAGACGAGTACCATGTTCTCCCACAGTGGCAGTGTCAACAGACTCTCTGAGCTACTCAGTGCGTTCATAGCGTTGAGCATCTCAATCACAACCAGGATGCTCAAGCTGACGGTGGAGGCGGCCTGGGCAGACGAGTTGCCGAACATTTCGCAGCCGATTTCCGGGAATTGAGTGGAGCAGCGGTGGAAGTGGCGGAGTTGGGAAAAGGTGATTTGGGGGCCTTCGCTGTTGAACATGAACCACCAAGCGTAACCAGCGACTGTGGCGGCGCCGACGTAGGTTCCAATGACCATGTAGCGGAAGAACAGCCATCCGCTGATCAGAGGCTCATCGCGCTTGCGAGGTTGACGCTTCATGACATCGTGGTCTGGAGGGTTGAAGGACAAAGCGGTAGCGGGGAGACCATCGGTTACAAGATTGACCCAGAGGAGCTGGACAGGGATCAAAGCCTCGGGCATACCCAGGGCAGCAGTCAGGAAAATCGAGACAACCTCGCCGATGTTGGAAGAAATGAGGTAGCGGATGAACTGCTGGGTATTGTTGTAAATGGAACGACCCTCCTCCACAGCGCCCTCAATGGTAGCAAAGTTGTCGTCAATGAGAACCATGTCGGCGGCGAGCTTGGCTACGTCGGTTCCAGAACCCATGGCAACACCGATATCAGCCTTCTTGAGGGCAGGCGCATCGTTGACACCGTCACCAGTCATGGCAACGACTTCACCGGCTTGTTGGAGGAGGTCGACCAGCTTGGACTTGTGCGTAGGCTCAGTGCGGGAGAAAAGACTGGCGTTCTTGGCTGCCTTCATCTTGTCCGCTTCAGACAGGTCGTCGAATTGGCGACCGGTAAACGACTTGCCAGTGAGATCTTCGTTGGCGCCAAAGACACCGATATCGCGACAGATGGACTCAGCCGTGCTCTGGTTGTCTCCAGTAATGACCACGACACGGATTCCGGCGGAGCGGCACTTGGCGATCGAGTCACGAACTTCAGGGCGGGGAGGATCCAACATGCCGCAGAGACCGATAAGTGTCATGTTCTGTTCGAGCTGGGTGTACTCCTTGGTAGTCTTTGCCTTGTTCAGAAGCGGGTGAGAAGAGATGTCTTCAACCGAAGCCACAGCAATGACGCGAAGACCACGGTTACCATATTCGATGATTTCCTTGCTGATGAGGCTGGCGAGTTGCGGGCTCATAGCGACCTTCTTGCCATCCTTGCCAACAACCACACTTGTGCAACGGTCGAGAACAGACTCAGGAGCGCCCTTGACAAGCAGTTTCTGCGAGTCGCCTTTCTTGACCAGGACAGACATGCTCTTGCGGTCGCGAGAGAATTCGTACGTGGCCAAACGAGTGTAGTGACTTTCGTAGTGCTTGGTCGAGAAATCGACACGTCCTTCGGGCGAGGTGCTGGCGCGAGTCGCGTTGTGGGTAGCATCAGGTGTTCCAACCTTTTCAGCGAGAACACGGAGTGCACCTTCAGTAGGCTCACCAACCAGGCTGTAGGAACCGTTCTTGGGGTCGTAGGCAAGAGCTGCATCGTTGCAAAGGGCGCTGACCTCACAGATCTGGCGTACCGTGTCGAACTGCGCAGCGACGTTTTCCATTGGCTTGCCATTGAGCGAGATTTGGCCCTCGGGGGCAAAGCTAGTGCCTTCAACGTCAAACTCCTCGAGTCCGCTGCCGCTCTCATTGAGGAAAACCATCTTGTTGACGCTCATCTGGTTCGTGGTAAGAGTACCCGTCTTATCGGAGCAAATGACACTGCAGCTTCCAAGCGTCTCGACCGAAGGCAGGCTTCGTACAACAGCGTTCTTAGCAGCCATTTTGCGTGTACCCAAAGCCAGACATGTGGTGATGACGACGGCCAGACCTTCGGGGATAGCAGCGACACCAAGCGAAACGGCAATCTTCAGGTAGTAGATGGCACCCTTTGCAAAGCTTCCATGAGACGGGTCGTTGAAGTTGCCAATGTTGATGATCCAGACAAGAACGCAAATGGCCGTAATAACCTTTGCCAGCTGGTCACCAAAGTCGTTGAGCTTCTCCTTGAGCGGGGTAGGCTGCGAGATCTGGGCCGTGATGCTTTCGTGAATGTCTCCAATGGCCGTGTTACCGCCAGTCAAGACAACAAGCGCAGTTGCATGGCCCGTGACAACCGTAGTACCCGAGAAAAGCATATTGACCTGGTCTTGCTTGACAGCGTTTTCATCCTTGACAGCCTTGGTTTCCTTTGGCACACTCTCGCTCTCTCCGGTCAAGATGGACTGGTCTATGTTGAAGCTGTTGCTCTGGATGGACAGAATCCTGCAATCAGCGGGTATCCTGTCGCCAATTGTGACCGATACGACATCTCCGGGAACCAAATCATCTGCCTTGATGCGTTGAATGTGTCCGTCGCGTACGACCTTGGCCTCGTTGGCCGAGTATTCTTGGAGGGCGGCGATGGCTTTCTCAGCGCTAGTTTCTTGCGAGACTCCGACGACGGCATTGAGGATGAGGATGGTGAGAATCTGGAAACAGGGTCTGTCAGCACGCGTCAAGGCCTCTTTTTGGCGGAGCGATACTTACAACTGCTGGATCAACGAAAGCCGTCCAGCCTTCTTCCTCGTCAAACAGTGCGAGTACAAAGGATACTGCTGCGGAACCCAGGAGGATGATGACTAGCTGGTCTTTGAACTGCTCGAGAATGAGCTCCCAGATGGGCGTTGGAGGGTCTTCTGGCAGCGCTGTCGGTCATATTAGCACTCGCTCTTCCGCCTCGTTCGCGTGCTGCCTCTCGGCGAGTCCAAACATACCATTCTTGCCATGCTTCTCGCGCGCGGCCTTGACCTGCTCTGCGCTAAGACCCTTGTGCTCGTCGACTTGAAAATGCCTCAACGCCTCAGCGGGCGTCTTTGTGTATGCATTCTCCATGCCCGGACTCTTCCACCAATGGGCTCCTCGCTGGATACCACAGGATCGTACGTCTGTCGCTCGGTTGTCGCGCGGCTGTGTTACTGAGCGCAGGGATGTACTTCTGGAAGAAAATGAATGTCTGTAACCAGCGAAAGTACCGAATAGGTATATTATCGGTATCTGACGTAACGACAAAGTCAGGACTGCCCCTTTGGACGTCTTGGTATTACTGTCGAGAGAGAAGTGACCGTATTCCCAGGCACGAATCTGGAGACTAGAAAAGGAAACAGGAAGAAGATTCTGCAGGCGTCCACGGCAGAAACGGCAATATGGCGGCGCAACAGCACTTGTCTCGACTCTGGCGCGCCACAAGAAATGTGTCCTCTAGATTGACCCGCATGCGCCACACGCTAAGCCACACTTAGCCACTTTTTTGCCGATGCCACGTTTCGTTCAGACCCTTACGATTCGCCCACGCACACCGCAACCTCTCTGGTGTTGGGCATATCAAAACTCTCAACAACCTGTGGCTGGTGATGAAGGCGAGCCTGCGACGTCTATATCTGCAGCCTCGTTGAAGAGGCTGGGGGGGAAGCGGCCCAGTTCCGACACACTTCGCTGCATTGGGCGTCCTCAGCCTTGCCCCCCACGATGCAGCCATCCGCCCCCCACCTTCGACATCATCACGTCCACGTCCAGTGTCTGCGGCTCGAGATCGCCGCGCTTTTCGGTGCACTCTCGGCGGCTCGGTCTTGGCAGAACTTCACCGAGCATGCACATCGTCATACAGACATGTTACGTCCGTACGCCTGCAGCCAGCTTGACAAGCTCCGCTCATTCTACCCATAACGGGACAAGGCGTCTTCGGTAATCGTGTAACGTTTCGTATTACGCGTAAATGCTACTATCGACCCATATCCTGAGGTCATTCCTAACATGCAAGTTCATCAAGGGTATTATTCAGCCCGCCCAAAAAAATAGCCCGATCGCCAAAACGCCGCAGAAGAAGAAGAAGCCATCCAACAGCTTCGGCTAATGCTATCGTGATCATAACATGTCCCTTACCCAGACCCAGCTATCCCGCTCCAGGCAATGGTCGTGCGGACGGTATACAAACAACATGGCCGTCTTCCCAAACACAGCACAGCAGTCTGAGCCGCCGTGCCAAAAGGAAATTTTGTAAATTTATGCAATCGTGCAGTACGTCCGAAGCAGTCGGGCAATGTCGCGTGTGACAAAGGGCTTGGTGACGAATCCTTTCATGCCACTCTTGACTGCTTTGTCGAGAGCAGCGTCGGTAATATCTGCACTGACGGCAAGCACCGTAGGCTTGGTTTCAAGTTCTGGCATTGACAGTATCACCTGCGTGGCTTGAAACCCATCTAGTAATGGCATCCACAGGTCCATGAGAACAACATCGAATACTGCTTCTGGAGGCCCGAGCGCGTTGCGGCGAACAGTGTCAACGGCGTCATTGCCATTGAATGCTGTGATGATGTTCTTGTAGCCCAGCCTGCCAAGCATGCTTACGAGAACGCGCCTGTTTATGGCATTGTCGTCCACAACCAGAATATTGAGAGGAAGTTGATGACCGAGATTCGATGGAATCGCTTCCTTGGCCGAAGGCAGGGCACGGGCAGCAGTACGTCGTGGAGGCGATGAGGTGCGGCGAGGGGTGGCAAGGCCTACATTGGTTGGCGGGCTTGCATCGTCGACAACAATGGCAGGCGTGCTTGGTGCTGGGCGCTCGCATTCGCTTTTGAAGGGGTCCGAGTTGAGCGGAGGCGTCACGAGGCCACGGTTGAGATCCAAGCGGGGTACCTCGGGGTCGAGAGACATGCGAGATTTGATAGAGGGGGTAGGCGATCCAAAGGGTGTCGCGGGACGGCTGCAGATCTCCCCTGGTGTAAGAGGAACCCGCATTTCAAACTCGGACCCTCTTGCTGGTCCAGAGACATGTGAACGGAGGCAGAATAAGTCACCGCCGAGCTTCCTTGCAATGCCTTTGGCAACCATGAGTCCAAGGCCCAGCCCCTCGCTCTGTCTTGTCATCGAGTCGTCTTCTCTTGAAAAAGGCTTAAAAAGATTGGGCAGAAAGGCTGCCGGGATGCCAGAGCCAGTGTCCTTGATGTTGATGACGATGTAGCGGCATTTGGCGCTAAGCGTGGCCTGGAGCGTAATGGACCCGTCCTGGGTGAACTTGATGGCATTCAAGGCTACGCAAGACACCATCTTGGCCAGGTCTCGTTCATCAATGACGATCGTGTCCGGCACGTCGGAGGAAACAGTCCACTCTATCCATTTGGTGTGTGTAGCTCCATTCGAGCTGCGTGTCCGCACTTCGATGCGTTCTCCTGTATCCATCGCCTCGGCAACGGCAGAATCTGGTCTTCCTCCTACTTTGAGAGCGTCGTTGATTACGTACTGCAGAACTTCTCGGAGGTTTGTATGTCGCAGTCCAGGTACGGTAGAGTGCTCCGAGGCGAAGATGGGCGAGGTGGCCGAGTCACACTTGCCCAACGAAGGCGTGTGGGAGCAGGCACGGTCCATTTGTTCCATTTCCGTAGAGCTTGGGTTTGGGGGACAGGACTTGGTGCCACGAGGAACAGGCTCTCCCACCGGGCTTGGTCGAACACGCTGGCGAGCCTGCTTTGCCACTCGCGCCTTCAAAGCATACTCTGCCCCAGGCACCTCCTGTCTCCTTCTCTTGATTCCACGGAGGGGTGCATGCAGGCTATTGTCAGCAATCATAAGATCAGGTCGCACCTCTCGCCAGAACGTATTCCATTGGTCAGGCGTCTTGTCTATCGGCGATTGTGGGGTCTCAGGAACACCCATATTCATGTCGTAAGCATGGACCACATTGTCGGCTGCCTCGACTGCGCGTCTTGAGCTGTCTGGTGGATCGTCAGTATCAAGTCGATCAACATGCCCAGAAGCAACCTGATGCCACAAATCGCTGCAAGGGATCGTGACTGACCTTGAACAGCCTCAATGTTTTCCTTGAGCGTGCAAAGTATCTCGCGGGTGCGTGGATCCAGCTGGAAAGACTCGGACGCCTCCTTGACGTTTGCCATCATGACGTCGAGCATACCAACGACACCTTGCATTGGGGTTCTCAGTTCGTGAGAGAGGCTTCTGGCGTAGGGCTTGAGCGACTGAGCAACCGTGACAGCCCTGTGTGGCACGATCTTGGGGACTTGGGCCTCGACAGGCTCTGCGGATTCGGCGAACTGGTTGCCTTCGAGCACGCGCTCCAAAATCATGTCCTCGAGACTGTGCATCATCATCTCCAGAAAGCCCCAGCTCAGCACACGTCGCTCTGCCCCCTCTTTTCCCCACATGACACCAAAGTGGGCAAAACACTTGCCCTCGGCAAACAGCGGGATTCCCAGGTAGGCCTCTCCGGGAATAATCAGGTCGTTTGGGTTGTTGATGATGAAGTCGTTGAGCTTTTCGGGTATGATGAAGACCTTGTCGTGCTTCATGTAGGCACAGGGGCACTGGTAGGCATGGTACTTGAAGTTCCGCAGGTGGCCCGGGCCGTTGCCGTTGTCGTCGTTGATGTAGAAGGCTTCGCCCATGAGGCAGGCGCCGGGCTCTCCTATGGGGGGCAACTCGACGGCAATGTTCTTGTCGTCGACGAGAATGCGCTTGGAGACAAAAGCATACTGGGCATCGGCAATCTGGGCAAGGCCCTGGGTGAGGTCGATCCAGAAGGTGTCAGTGTCGGCTTGCCGGAGGGACTCCTTGAGGCGGACGAGCTGCTCGGCAGCGTTGCTCTCAGCGGGATCAAAGATGCGCGACAGTCCGTCCTTGAAGCCCGCGTGGCCCTGTTGCACAACCATGCCTGGTATGGGGCGAGAGAAGCAGAGTGACTGGCGCTCGATTATATCAGGTGGGATGGTAGTGGTTTCCCCCATGGCTCAGAGATGCATACAGGCTGGCCTCGGAACGGGTGTCCAGGATGGGCGCCGGGGTATTGGTCAGACACGGTCAGAAGTGGGTAAGGCGGCACGAGCAGCGTGGACGGCCAACAGTGGTGCAGAGCTTGGCTAGCAGAGAGGAGCACAGAGGCTGCAGCAGACGCATTCAGGAAGGGATTAGTAACCGACGGAGCAGTAGCAGTAGCAGCGGCGGCGGGGGCGGCAGCAGCAGCAGCAGCGTGATACGGGGGTGGGAAGGGCAGCAGGGAGGATGGCGTCGTGGGCGGGTCAGCGAGAAGAAAGGCGAGGGATGGCGGGCCAGCGAACAGCAGCAGCAGCAGGCAGGCAGGCCGGCAGCGATATGGTTGGTGTGGCAGGCGTGTCTGGAGAAGGCGTGTGTGCTAGAGTCGTCGCACATAAGAGGGCGGGCGGGCGGCGGGCGATCTAGAACGCGACCCGGAGCGGTGGCTTTGCGTGCTGCTAGCACCCCTCGAGGCCCGCTCTGGGTGCGCCTGTTATCGGTAGTAGCAGCAGTAGCCTTCGCCGTCATGGCAGTAGCGGCGGCGGCGGCTGTGAAGGGCGACGTCGAGGCCGCGGAGGCGATCACGGCCGCATCTGGACGGCGCCATAGCTGGGAGGGACGCCGTTTGCACGGGGCATGGGCATAGCCGGGGTTGCAGAGGCGCTCCAAGAGGCTCGTCGCGGTGGGCTGGCAGTCGTCTGCTTGTGCGTGTGTGATAGGCGGCGGGCAGGTTGTGCTTCGAGGGGCCCTGGCAGGCTCGGGCTTGGGTCTCAGCGGCACGGTGGGGGGGGGGGGAGGAGTGGGAGAGGAGGGGGGGGGAGGGGGCACGACGCGGCTGCTGGAACAGTCTAGACACTCTCGGCTGCCCGTCGCTCCTGCACGATTTGCAGCGCTACCCCGGTCGCGCCTTCCGCTCTGGCCCCTATGCAAACACGGCCTGCACTCAACCGCCGACGCGCTGCCCTCGCCCAGGACGCCTGGCAGCAACGCATGCGAATTAAACTTTTCCATCCTTCTTCTCTTTTGCTTGGGGCCGGCGCCGAGAATCATCCCATCTATTTGTGGCTGTCAAAAGCTACGGTGCGTGCCTTTTCTCGCAGCGCCCCTGCCCCCTGGTCTCTCTTGTCCGTTCCTTCGTTCCTTTCTTCCTTCCTTCCGCCAGCCCCTCAACAAGCAGCCACGGCCGTGTTTCGACGCAGCAACAGAGCGGCAGTAGCAACAGCAGCAGCCGCATGACGTCAGTGGCACGGCATGTGGCTGCACGCGAGCCCTCACCGCACCTGGGAGCCGGCGCAGCGTGTGTCGGCTTCAGCGTGTCGGCGTGCGTGTGTGCGTGTATGTGCTATGGATGTATTTAGTAGTATCTAATTCGCATGGTGGTGGACATGCATCCAACCACGGCGCCAGATCGACGATCGTCCGAAGCCGAACCTAGCGCTCTTCTTGCTGCTGTCAGCCTGTGCGCCGCCGCCGCCGCTGCTGCTTTGGGCCTCCTCAGCAGCAGCCCGCCGTCGCCTGGTCGGCGTCGTCGTGGTGCCTACGCCGGGCTCAGACTAGCCCCAGGTCCTCGTCACGCCTGTTGCACCATGCCTTCTGACCATTTTCGACGCAGCGCCCGCTTCACTTTGCATACATCCGCCCATACATCTCACACACACACACACACACACAGCAATGCCCGCTGCACGCGACGGGCGAGCACCATGTAGGTAGTGTGTATGTCGTATCTGCGCACATGGACGAACGTGTCATCTCGACGAGATCCAGGCCCGGCTTGGGGGTTGCCCTGCTCGGCCCTTCGCAGTCGTGGTCGTGGTCGTGGTCTGGTCGTGACTTCCCGCGCTAGGCCCTGCCGCCTGCCCAATCAGCCGCGGCGCCCCCAGCCGCCCCACCCCCAAGGCTCACTCGCTCACTCGCTCACCCTCTGCGCGCGCCGCGTTTGCTCCAGGCCAGACGACGCCTCACCAGCCCTCAGGCCGGCGTAACGTTACATTGTCTGTCATTTTGCCTGCCCAGCTCTCGCCCACACCCGCGCCCGTTTCAAGTCAGGGCACTCACTCGACGCCTGCCCACGCGTCGCACCAAGCCCTCGCTCTACCACCGCCCGCCCCCATGATCGACAAGCAACTCATGAACCGCGCGTCCCACTCCAGTAATGATGTGCATGACGCTCGTCAGCTGGGTTGATCCGCCTCTGCACCCCCCCAAGCCCATGGCCAGGGACCGGTCAGATAATGCTGGCCATTTTTCTTCTTCCGTCTCTCCACCCATGGACGTGTGCTCCCCCCCCCTTTGTGCTCCATGTACAAACATCTCTAGTCCACCACTGACAACAATCCACCCGCCGGGTGCGCGGTTTCTCACTTGTCCGGCGCTAGCTGCCCACCAAACCTCCAAGAACATCAAACCTGCCGGCACCCGCATTCACCACTGCCACTGCCAGCTGCTCCGGACACATGCCGCCATCTACGCACTCGTTACCGCAACTAAAGAGAGCTTACCTATGTGCCCAGCAACGCCGGCGACACCGTCTCGGCCGCGTCCAGCCCACGAGGCCAGCCGGCACTGTTGCTGTGCAAATCATTGTCTTCCAGGCATCCGGCTCGATCTGTACACCAAATGACCCCACTCGCGGGTCTACCAGGCGCGTATCCTGATCGCACGTCTCACGAGAATTGACGCAAAGCAGGTAGGGCGAGACTTTTTGTTTGCTTGTTACGCTGCCACCACACTCCAAAAAGAAGCGTCTGGAACAGGAGAGGAGCACAAGAAGCACGATACACGCTCCACAGGCCATGTACCGCAAGTAGTCCGCCCACGTATTGAAATGACGGCATCGCGGGCTACGCGAGACGTCTTCAGCCGCGCTTCTTGGCTCGGAGCCTTTGTCCCGTTGTCAGCTTCAGGCGCCTCTCCAGCTCGTACGAAGCCGTCCTGCCAAAACCACAAACGCCTTTTTTCGCTGCGCTGTCCGCCTTGATGACGACATGCAGTCACCCCATGCTCGCAGGCTGAATTGGGCGCAGATCTGGAATTCTTGGCAACGGCCTGGACCTAGCTAGGCCGGGCCCTTGGCTGCCTCGTCGGCATTAAAGCCACCCCAACGCCTTACACTGCATGCGAGGCCCTGTTTAAACAGCTGACCTGAGTTGGTTGAGAAGACGTCCGGGAGGATTATTATTTCCGGACCTCAGGCACATCCCTACACCGTGAGCCAGATGCAATATAACGCCCCATCAGCCGGCAACCCGCTGAAACGGCAGCCGCCCGTCTAGCCCAACAATATCGGCGTTGCGCCTACGCAGAGACTTGGGAAGAGATGGAGTCAGTCAGCGTTGAGCTGTGCACTACGCAGCTACCGACATTAGCGTCGCTAGCCACGACAACTGACTAGACAGACGAACACGTACAGGGGTAAACCACCACTCACGTGCTGCGAGAGCTGACCTGATGAGCTGCCGCCACTTCTTGCGCCGCGTCTAAGAAGAACTAGGCGTGGCTGAATGCTGGGCTTGGCCAGATGCGCCCAGAACACCATGTCTAGTCCATGCCTCGACGGCAAACCGCGCCGCTAAACTCGTCGCCATGTTATCATGTCCACGCCCAACATCCCAACCGCACATCTCAAGGCCCCCAAGTGCCGAATTTCCCGTAGTCTCGCACCTGAGTCGGGCGGCCCAGTCCCCCTTTCCCCCTCCCCAGGATACTAGCCCTGCGCGAGGCGGTGCTGTGGCGCTCCTACTGTTTTCTTTGATCAAAGGATCTACTGCGTATGAACCTTAAATCTAGTATTTTGGACATGTTAAGGTTCCTGCTTCATCTCTCTTTGTCTCTTTTCGTTCCCGCCTGGAGGGGACGGCATGGAACAGAGACTGGTTGACTGGCCAACTTGGCGACCGTCAGCTCCGAGGAGCAGAGAGACTTTTCCGGTCTGCGCTCTATTTTTTTTTCCAAGGTAGCGTTAAAAGGGGGAGGGAGAAACCGACGAATACAAGGTTGAGTAGCTGCACGTTGTTGCTAGTAATAGCGTCTTACCCTTGTTCTCGATTTGGTCCTTGAAGTTAAGAAAACTATAAGTTGAATATTAAGAGGTTCGAGGCTCTGGCTTTTCGCTTACTGGCCTATTTTTGTGAATACTCATGCATGTGCATATGCATGTGCGTATGTGGGCTAGCTGGGAAGAGGGATTTTCGAGAGAGGGGTAATTCGTGGAGTGCTGTTCTGTCGGTCTGTTTGTCCGGGGTGCTTGCAGTAGTGATCTGGGGTCATGTTACTTTTTATTCTGGCTTGGACGTGATGAATCTGTTCATCATGTGTTGAGCAAGCGGGCTTGATGGTATTGGGTGAGAGGGCCTGGAAGAAGAGAGTCTCATGAGGATTCCCAGACACGGCAATATCACGATACAAGACGGGCTGCTGTCCCCACACTCCCTGTCTCAAACAACTCGACCAGTCCCGCGCCTAGACACTCTTCCAGCGCCCATTCAAACCGCATCCCGTAAAAAACCTTCCATTTCTTCGTCTTCCCAGGAAGCACGCCTGCAAATTCTCCTCTCAGCTTCTTCCGTTCAGCTTTGACATCCCCGGCTGCTGCTGCGACGCCACCGTCCCAGCGCTCCGCCAGGATATGTAGCGGCAGTTCCTTGTACTTTGTCTTGTTCAACAGCGCGACAATATGGCTTCGTGCTTCGACGAGGAGTTTGATATGCGTGCCCATGCTGGGCAGAGAAAACGTATACTGCGCTCTTAGTGCTGGCCGCGACCCAGACAGCGTGATCCCGCCGTGCATGTGCTGTGTAGCGTGTATACCGCCAACAGCATCGAGGGACCCTGCTGCATGGCGGAAGCCACGTGTTGAGACTGCAGCCAGGGCTGTGGGGCTTGGAGAGGCGAAAAGAGAAGATGTCGATGAATAAGAGCTAGAGACCGAGGCCGAAGTCAAGAAGCCGGTGGTTACCAGAGCGGATAACTCCTGTGAAGTGAATGCTGTCCCCGGGATACATGATGATGTTGGATTAGCCGCCATACTGGAAACGTACTTTTCTATACGCTGCGTCAGCCATGCATACTTCCAACCTCACAGATGGCATCTTCGTACCCTTCACATCATCACTCAGTTCCACATGCGCCCTCACAAGCGCCTGCCACTCGTCCACAGAAGCCACGCCCTCGCCCACAGCCGCCGCTCCCACACCACCGCGACGCGGAACCGTGACTCGCCGCAGGATTCCTGCCTGCACGACGTACTCAGCGCGTTGATATGCGCAAGCGTTACAAACGGGGGGAGGCGCAGCCGAAAATTCAAGACTTGGGCTGTTCGCACAGAGTTCATGCCGCTTTTCTCTGGTACAGCGCTAAACATGCGGCGCTGGATGTAGGAAACGTATTGGGGCACATCGCGGAAGTTGAGGTCGCTGGCGAGAGAGGCTATGACGCCTGTGTCGTTGAGCTGGTAGTCATCATCGTGGGAGGTGGAGTCGTGAGATGGTAGTGGCAATCTCTTGGGACCTGTATTGGGTGTGGATGAGGTCTTGCGCTTTAGTCCTAGGGCTGCTGCTGCGCTTCTTCTCCGCGGCTTGGTGATGCGCGATGAGCGGGCTGGAGTGGCTTGGAGTGACATGGTCCTATGGTTCCTTCTCTTGTCCAGAATTGTACGAGGGCGACCGCGAGAGTATCAGTCTGGTAGCGGCTTCATCAGCAGCGGCGGCGCCATGGCTGCTGAGGAAAGAGCATGCCTTCGAAGAGACCAGTCGCGAGTGGCGATATGGTGTGAGGCGGTGCTGGGTCACGTGATATGACCCATATGGAAATGCAAGCGCCATAGTATTATCATCATACTACCTACACTGCGAACCCAAGACATGAGTCCGACCTATTATTGTTTTGCAGTCACCCCATGTCACAAAACATGGCGCCAGGTTGTCTTGTCTCGTCTCACATACATATGACAGCCTGTCACGCTGTCACGCTGTCTGTCTTCTTGGCCTGTGGATCGACGTTGCCGCGGGACCCTATGAGCAGTGGCGCTGGCCGCGGCCGCCGCCACAGAGACCAACGTCATTTCCACGCGGAACGTCAGGAAGCTCCAACGCGCGCTATGCAACCCAACAAAACCCCAAACATGTCCTGACACTCTTCTCTATCCACATCGCCCACCAGCTCGCTCAACTCCCGCCCATTGCTAGCCATGTCGCTGAACCCCGAGCCCTCTGCGCCTGAGGAGCGCGCTGAGCGCGACCTGCCGCCCAAGTCGTACGCTGACGCTGCCGAAGAGGCCCTCCACCCGGGCCCACAATCACATGCCAACGGCAAGAATAATGAGGTAAAACCCAATGGCATCCCGCATGCACAAGAAGAGGACCAGACGTTCCACGAGGGCATTGGCCAGGACGGCACGCCCAGGAGCCCGACAGCAAAAGGCCATCGTCGTGTGTCGTCGCGCAGCTCTCAACACACGCCCGGCCACAAACAGGACAGCCACCCGCCCAAAGCCATGTTTGAGAGTCATACAAATGGTAACGGCCATGCGCTGACCAGTGTAAAGCCGCGGCAGGATATTGAACTCGCCAAGAAGGACAGAAGAATCGACCGCAAGCGCAGGGACTCGGAGCTCACCACGGGACGGCAGGCTGGCGCAGGATGGTCCAAGAGCAAGTAAGTCGACGGCCTGTACTATATGTTCGTTTGAAAGATTACCTGCTGACTCGATGGCGCCAGAATACGATTTGCGCCTATGAACATACCCTTGCAGCGCCGCCTCCAGACCCTCGCCGTGCTCATGCACACGCTCAGCATCGTCGGAAGTCTCGCCATCTTCTTCTTCCTGTGCAGCATACCGCTGCTCTGGCCCATTCTCCTCCCGTATACCGTGTACGTGCTCTTCTCCAACGCGGGAACGTCGGGAGAGCTCTCTCTGCGGAGCGATTGGTTTCGCCGACTACCCGTCTGGTCGCTCTTCGCATCCTACTTTCCGGCCCGTCTACACCGTTCGCAGGAGTTGGAGCCAACGAGAAAGTACATTTTTGGTTACCACCCACATGGAATCATCTCACACGGTGCTTTTGCTGCCTTTGCCACGGAAGCTCTAGGCTTCTCGCAGCTGTTCCCTGGTATCACTAATGCTCTGCTGACTCTTGACTCTAACTTTCGCTACCCAATTTATCGCGAGTATGCGCTCCGCCTCGGCATGGCTTCTGTATCCCGCGAGTCGTGCGAGAACATCCTTTCCAAGGGAGGCCCCAACAACGAAGGTATGGGCCGCGCCATTACCATTGTCGTCGGAGGTGCCCGTGAATCTCTCGATGCTCGCCCCGGAACCGTCAAGCTCGTTCTCCGTCGCCGCAAGGGCTTCGTCAAGATGGCTATTCGCACCGGTGCCGATCTCGTACCTGTCCTTGCGTTTGGCGAAAACGACATCTACGACCAAGTCGATACCGAGTCGCATCCCTACATCCACAAATTCCAGATGCTGGTCAAGAAGTTTATGGGTTTCACGGTGCCGATATTCCACGCTCGAGGCATCTTTAACTACGATGTCGGAATGATGCCTTATCGCAGACCAATCAACATTGTTGTTGGACGCCCAATCAGGGTGGTTCAAGACCAACATCCCGATAACGACTACATCGACAAAGTCCACCAGCAGTATGTCGATGAGCTGATGCGTATTTGGAACGAGCACAAGGATACGTTTGCCAAGCACAGGACAGGCGAGTTGGAGATTGTCGAGTAATAAGTTTGTGTGCGCGATGTTGTTTTCATCACTTTTTCTTTGTAGGTATAATTTCTATGGTGGACCCTTTTTTTTGAAAGTGGTATGCGGAGACTGGGCTGGGACACACGCGAATATCCATTAGTCTTGTTAATCAGACAGACGTGTATGCGGTATCATGCTGAAGGATAGATGAATTACACAACCGCTTTTTTTTGAAGTCATGTTTGCTTTTGACCACGCTTGAAACATGCTCTTTCTCTCTTTCTGCATAGACGGCTATGCGAAGCGGCTTGCTCCGTAGCACTTGGTCTACAGTAATACAATCCTCATGGTGTCTTGGTCTTGGTTACACCACCATTACACATGCGGATGCAATGGTAATTGTAAATTCACAGATTTGCACTCGAGACAAGGTGGCCTGAGTGAAGTGCAGTAAGTAAGCGTGCAGAGGAAGAAAAGAAAAGAAAGGAAAAGAGAATGCTGGTTTCGCTGTGAATGGGGAGAACTGTCGCACAGAGATGGACATGTGATATGAGATGAAACGACTCGAGACAGAGGGAAAAGAATACAGGGAAGGGAAGGAGCGAAAGATGGAAAAAAAGAGAGGCAATATCAAGACACTTTTCACTTTTCACTTTTTTACTCTATTTTACCTTTCTTTTTTTGTTCCTTTTTCCTGAGAAAAAAACTTGGAAAGAAAAGTAAGGAAGGAACGAAGGAACGAAGGAACGAAGGAACGAAGGGGGGGGGGAGTGCGTTAGCATACGAGAGCATAGCAAAGAGGACCCTGGGAAACGCTAGTGCAGGAGAAGAAGAAGAAGAAGAAGCTGGAAAGTATGGGCAAAGTGTGGAGAAGATGGGGGGGAAAGGGCGAGGTGAAGTGCAGAGATACGGTATCTTATGCTCATGATATGGTGATGCTTTGGTGAAAGAAAAGAAAAGGAAAGATTGAGATTGAGACTGAGACTGCGGTGGGGGATGGAATGAAACGAGTGGAAAACGAAGAAAAGGGAAAGAGTAGGGAGAGAGAAGGGAAACGAAACGAAACGAGATGAGACGAAATGAGGTAGAAAGGTCTTGGTGGTTTTGAAGTGGGATGATGGGGAAGGAGATAGGGGGGGGGAGAGAATGCAGGATGCAGGATGGAAGGGTGAAAATGGTGAGAATGGAATGGTGAAGAGAAGAACGAAGGGGGCCAGTGTGAATGTAACTCGGAAAACTGGGTGACTCAGTACAGTACATACATACATACATACAGCGTATTTATGAAACTTGGGACTTATGAAAACACTCCCATACACACTTTTATTGTCACAAAGGCTGGATAACTAGACTAGTGTATTTGCATTATGTTGCATTAGCCTAGCTTCGGCTTCGGGTGATGGTGGTGGTGGTGGTGTGGGTAGGGAGAGAAAGGCAACAGGAGTTCACGCGAGGTGGTGCGGGAAAAAGAAAGGTGGTGTGGGAGGAGTGGGAGAAAGAAAGAAAGAAAGAAAGAAAAGAAGGATTGAAAATGAAGGCGATGTGCAGGGCTGGTTGGATAGCGAATAGAAAGAAAGAAGGGAAAAAAGTAAAGATTGAAAAAGCGATGCTGTGGAAGACAAGGAAGGAAGAAGGATGGGAAGGGAAAAAAAAGGGGGGGGGGAGGTGCAGGATGGATAGAGGGCTATGAATATTGTCAGAGCTGTACTATGGTGTTTTTCCTGCCTACGACTTGATTTACACAGATGATTAAACTCTCTTCTTCTTTCTCTCTCCTCTTTCTCACCCCGTTCGTATATGTGTGTCAGTGAACCCCATCACCCATATTCCCCATGTCCCGTGACCTACATATATCCCACGTCCATGCGTGCACCCCCACCACCATCTATACACGTGGAAGCGAAAAGGCCAAAAAAAACACCCCAAACCAAGCCCAAACCAGAAACAAGGGAAACGAAAAATGAGAGGCAAAAAAGGATAATATGGCATTTCTGAAAACACTTTCTTTATACAGCAATACATGTTTCAGCCTGTTTGTCTGTTTGTCTGTCTGAGCCTAGGATGGAAAAAAAGAAAAGAAGCGCCAAGAGAGAAAGAGAAAAACAAGGGGGGGAATAGAAGCCAAACGAAGGGAAAAAGAAGAGGAAGAAGAAGAAGATGAAAGAAAAAGAACTAGTCTGTGTAAATCTGTGTGTGTGTGTGTCTGTGTGTGTTTGTGCAGTACATGTGCACTATTTTTCTTTCTTTCTTTCTTTCTTTTCTTCCTTCCTTCCTTCCACTGTCATTACGTACAACAACGGGACGGGGGCGCACGTGAATTTCCAGAAACGAGACATGTGGTACAAAAAAAAGTAGGGAAAACGAGAAGGAAAAAAAGAAAACATGGGAATTAGGAAATAGGGGGATATATGTGCAAGTGTTTGTGTGTGTTTTTTTTGTTGTCCTTTTACCCGCTAAACCGACTTGTGACTCGACTAGAGTGTAGATCGTCGTCGGTGGAGAAAGCATGGATTTCGTATTCGGCTATCCGGGCGACGCCTTTGCCTTTGCCATTGCCATTTTCGGGGCTGCTTCTGCTGTCGTCGCTTGGGCGTTGTGCGAGGCCCGATTCGACGTCGCCGGTATTGTTATCACCCGTGGTGCTGTCTTCCTTTTCGTTGATCTGGCGGCCGGTAAAGAGGTCGTCTGGGTAGGGGAAGAGGGTGCGGCGGCGTGGAGGAGACTTGTTTGTTGCCGTCATCCAAACCAGAGCAGTCATGTCTTTTCCGAGGGCTTCAATGATGGGCGTGACTATCGGGAGCGCAGCGAAGAGGACCCCGTACGAGGTTACGCCTACAATGGCAATGTTGACGCCGTAGCTGAAGCCCCGATCGGCAAGGAACACCATAAGCCAGGAGCCGTAGGACCAAAAGACTAGGCCATGGATGAGGTAGATGGTAAAGACGTGGGGGAAGAGGATCAGGAATGGAGGCGTTGAGAGGACCCATTGCACGGCGGCGGAGAGCTCCACAATGGCCTGCATGCCGCCCGCGAACAGGAGACCATTGAGACGCGGCGTGTAGTATGGTGGGTATCCCGCTTCATCTGTGTTGAGAATGGCTTTACCTGTAACGGGGTCGGGATGGATGTTTCGCTCCGCGGTGCTAAAGTTAAAGTCTGTGTCTGACCAGTTGGGAATGACGTTGACAGCAAAACTGGTAATGATGCAGGCCCAGAAAAAGGTGACTGTGGCGTAGTAGGCGGCTGTCCGAGTGCTCAAAAAGGCCTTCCACTTGTACGTGACGTCGAGGTCGGTGAGCAGCAGACCGAGCCAAAGGTAGGTGCCCCAGGACTGTGCATACCAGTGGTTGACGAGGCAGAAAGCGTAGTAACACATGCGCTTCCACGGTGTCTTGATTTCGTACACAACCAGGACGCCGAGCAGCACAAGCCACGAGCCCTGGAGTTGCACGGCAATGGTCCAGAGCACACCAGTGCAGAAATGCAGAGTAATCTGTGGAACAGCATTGGGGATGAGAAAGATGAGCTCCAGAATTTCAGAAATGTACTGGCCGAAATGTTCGAAGCGCGTGACGTATGGCCAGTTGGACCAGGTAATACTGGGAATGTATTGAAGAAACCTCGTGGCACCAACGTCGATGAGAAAGTATTCCATCAACGCGACCGCCGCAACAGGAATCATGAGACGCGGTGTTCGACGCACAGCTGCCTTGGCCAATTCTTCCATCTTGCCTTTGCGAAGGTACGGTGCGGTCAGGAAACGAACTGACGTGGTGAAAAAGACACCGAGCCACATCTGGTTGAGCAAGAACGGGCCAATGATCCTTTGCGCCCAGGGTTCCGAAGCATTGTGTGCATCCGCACCCGGTTGGACAAGAGCAGGCAAAAAGGTAAGGCCAAAGTGCATAAGCGTGACGACGAGCGAGCAGAGTGCTGTAAGACCAGCAAGATGGTCGATACGGTTTCGCACCGGGGGAGGCTGCGGACGCATACGGGGAGCTGGCAGAGCAGACTCAGTCACAGTCTCCATTACAATCTTGTCAGGTCGTGACACTTGTGTGATTCGTGGATCGCGTAGCGTGAGTGATGAATCATGGTGATTGAGCGTACGCATTCCTGGCAGAGGCGGCACAGGAGCGAAAAGGTCCTCGCGACTGGTATGGAAGTTGCTGTTGTAAGGCGTCGTTGCACGGCTGTCCATAGCGATAGAGCTGTGGCGTGATCGGCCAATTCTAGGCGTGCTGCCTCCAAGTGTTGATGAGCCCGGCCTTGTATCGATCCTTTCGATGGTCAAGTCATCATCAAAACCGTGTTTCATTGAGGGAGTCTGGCCACGAGTGTCCGGACGTTGCGTGCTATCGGAAGATGAAAATGAGTGTAGACTCTGACCATATGGGCTCTTGATAGCCTGAGCCAGCGATGGCTCTGGTGCTGGCGCTGGTGCTGGTGCTGGTTTAGGAGGCTCACTTTTGACCTTTGGTGCTAAGCGTCGGATGAGCGTGTGTACAAGGAGAATGGTCGAAAGTGCAAGACAGGATATAGAGATCCATAGTGCCGGCATGCGTCTAATGTCTCTGTTCCCGTGCTGCCTCCACTTCTTTGTGGCGTCTTCTGCATACGAGGTGGAGCCACGCAGTTCAAAGTCGTCCATGGAGCAAGCATCAGTCAGAGGACAGCGTGCAACAAAGTCTTCACGAGAGTCTTCGTTCATCAATGACGAGTTGAAAAAAATGCGAATCCACCCAATTTCGGCAATCGATTCGGTGCGCCGAGGAGGCCCGCCCATGGAGTAGCGGTTACCCGTCGACCAATGCTTGAAGTAGAGGGCTGAGGGGACTGATGGCATGCCCTTGTTGTCCTTATGCAGCACCCGACGAGTCAGATTACCACCAATGTAGAAATCAATATAGTCTGCAGTCCAGTCGATGCGGTACTCGGTGAAGTCCCATGGGTTAATGCTGCCGTTGCTTAGCCCGCCGCCAAGTGTGGTGTAGTTATTGTTGGCGGCAGTGCTGCGGATGAGCTGACTAAAGTTTGCTCCAAGGTCGTGTGTGGTGAACTCGTTGTTGACAAACGTGCCAACCCATGGCTCAGCCCGAGAAGGAGGATTGTTCATAATACTAAGCTCCGTCACTTCGGTCTCGTTGTACTTCCACATCATGGAAGCAGCTGTTCCTGGAGCATCTTGGTCTGCAGGCTTGATCAAGGTGCGGAAAGAGCCATGTTGAATATCGCGCCTCTTGGTGCGAAGACTAGCGCCTCTGACAAGATGCTCGTCTGTCGATGGCTGGACTACCAGCTGCAGAGACTGGTCATTGTCGTGTAGGTTGTCTGGAGTGGCGCCAGAACGGAAAATTGCATTCTAAGAAGGATTAGTTGGAGCGTCCAAGACACTTATCACGTACGAATAGCCCCATACCCAGTCCTTGACATAGTTTTGTTCAAATTCCTCGGCAACAAACTCAAATGGCAGCCCTGTTGTTTCATTGAAATACACAATGATGGAGTCAGTGTAGAGCTCCTCGGTCTGATTGTCGTAGAAGCCGCAAGTGCAGTTTTTGGTTCCACGTGAAACCTCTGCCAGGGCAGGCAGAATATGAAAAAAGGCAAGCCCGAGTAGAGTCGAGCGAACCATGACGATAAACGAGTGACTGAACAAAGAAGGACAAGACGAAGAGCAAGGCCGCGTTCTCGAATCCAAGGTGGTATTTGTCTACCATACGTAATTGGAGTACACGGGGCCAGTCCAATCGGCTAAGAAGATTAGTGCAACCATGCTTTTCGGGCAGAGAGGAGCCGTGGTCTTCCCGGGAGGGCCGTAAACATGGAGGAGTAGGCTGCGAAGGCTCTCCTTTCCCAAGGTCTTGGCCCGCCCCTTGAGGTCGTCATCGAAGCGGTGCTTCAGCCGTGCACCGTGCAACAGGGCAAAAAAGCCATGCAAGCTTCCCTTGGCAGGCGCATCGATTATTGGGGGAGCAATGGGAGATGTCGCAAGAGACGGAGGGGGGTTGGGCAAGGTGCGGGACCGTGCACCGGCGCTACTTACTGTAGCAGGTCTGCACAGTCCATTCCTCCCACTCCTACTCGCACTCCCTCTTCTACGCCTCGTCGTCTCGCGTTTGTTGAGAGAGACTCGGCAACCGTCCTAGCCATTCACGCTCTGATCAGTGATCTTCGCCCCCAGCATTATCTCGTCTTGTCACAGCATGCTCCAGGATCATCAGGGTCTATGATGCACGCTCCATTACGGCGGCAGCGGTGCCATGCTGCACGTACACAGCCATTGGACAATTGCCCTGTTGTCAAGATATCTAGAGCAATGGCACATCTCTCAGCTGCTGCACGCTCCGTCACACCAATATGCCGTATACCAGGGACCATGCGGCCCAGAATGGCGGCAGGATGGCTTTGCCTGTCCTTGGACATTCACAAGCGCGCCGTTGACGTGCAAGACACTGCGACAAAAAGCACGCCATTGGCTGTCATGCACGAGGAACTCTAGTTCGACAGCCAACTTGGCGAATATTCCCCATGCCGATGGGCGTAGGAATGCCCAAGGTGGGGCATGGGGGTCACCCGCTTTGGTCCCATTGCTGGAGCCGGGCATTGTTCATGCCCGTGCCGATCCTAGAAACAATTGCAGGATGGTGCAAAGGCAAGCCCTCCTAAGCGGCATTGCACAATGGACGAGAATCCGTACACGAGGTTGTCGCTTTATTTTTCGCAAACGTTAGCTGTCCGCCACACCCTTTTCTTGCCGTACCTAACAAATCTCCTAGTATATGTTCTGTCTCTGTCCCTTCGGTCGTTTGAGCTTCGCTGCTGCAGTCATCCTTCTTTCGCTTTGACTCCCCCTTCCGCTCGTTACTGTCACATCAATCACTCCTTTATAAGATGTCTGACAACAAAGATTGTGTCATTGAGGTAGGCGACGTCACATCCCCGTTGCCTGCCGTCGACGAAAAGGCAGCACCCAAGACTAGCTGGACTCCCTCTCAAGTCGTTGGACGCTCATCCTCGTGGATCTCGGAATGGACACCCTTCGGTCTGGTCTTCTCCTACTACGTCTTCTCGGTTTGCATGTACATGTATTGCAATGATGGCCTGATCGCCATTTTTTGGTTTATATACATGTGTACCAACTTCTACATTGCCGGAACTACAGTCCTCGAGGCCTTCTTCAGCATCACGCCCTGCCGCGAGGCACGCGACGTCGTCACGCAAGCGCAAGAGAAGCAGTGGCTATTTCCTACGCCGAACAGCCAGCTGCCCATTTTGGATCTTCTCATTGTGGCTTACCTGCCCAATGAGCAAGATATCATCATGGATCGTGCTCACTATGCGCTTAGGGAAATCGCTTACCCTAGCGATAGGATCCGCATTAATATTCTCTATAATACACCAAAGCCAATCGAGCCACTGGAGACGGAGTTGGCCGAGCTTCCACTTCATTTTCCCCACGCTAGGGTCATCAAAGTCCCCGGCTCGACATCAAAGGCCGACAATCTCAACTACTTTTTTACACTCGACACTGGATCCGACCTCATCGCCATTTATGATTGCGATCACTATCCCCATCCCAACGCACCCCGGTGGGCTGCTGAGCGCTTCATGGCAGACAAGGACGTCGACATTGTGCAAGGCCGATGCATCGTGTTCAACTCCGAGGACTCGTTCATGACCAACATGATCTCGGTCGAATTCGACAAGATCTACGCTGTTTCCCATCCCGGTCGCTCAACTATGTGGGGGTTTGGGCTTTTCTGCGGATCCAATGGCTATTGGCGCGCCTCTCTTCTCCGCGACCTGAAAATGGACGACACCATGTTGACCGAAGACATTGATTCGGCATTGCGTGCATTTTCCAAGGGCGCTAAGACAGTCCACGACCTTAACGTTACTTCGTACGAACTGGCCCCCACGACATTTGCCGCGTTTTGGAAGCAGCGCCTCCGGTGGGCTCAGGGATGGGCTCAGGCCAGCATGCGTCACATGAAAATGGTATGGAATGGCGTCAAGGATCCATTGCACGAAGAGCATGCCAAGCGTAGCTTCACGGCCCGGTTCGGCGTGCTTTCGCTGTTGCTCATCCGAGAGTCGTCGTACTATCTCGTCACACAGTACACGTGTCTCGTTGCATCGTTCGTTATCGTCAAGTTTCCCACAAACGGGGAGGAGCTGTGGAGGCTGGTCTATTTTCAGTATCCCCTCTCGCAATGGCTCTTCATTATCAGGTTCGTAGCACACATGCACTGCCTGGTCCTTGGCCTTGCTGACCTTGTCTCACAGCATCATCTGCCTGTTCGCTACACTGTGGATCACCAACCAGGTCAAATCCGAGTTTGTATCCAGGAAGATGATCATTCTCTTTTCGGCCTTGTACCCATTTTATCTTGTTCTCAACGCCACCATCGGCCTGTACGGCCATGCACGGCAAATCGTCAAGTACAGCTCTTGGAATCCTACGGCTAGGAAGTAGCCTTGCAGATCAGCAGTCTCTTATGTTGTGTATATCCTAGTGGGCGAAGGACAATCGCCCTGTTTCTTTTCCCAGTAAAAATAGTCACGCGGCTTCGTTAGGCAGATGGACGATCTTAGGCTGCAGAATATATCCGGATGGTGTCAATAATACTTTTTTTCTCTAGACACACGGTCTATTTTTGCTCGAGTCTATCGCTTGTGAGGATGGAGCGAAGGATATCGTCCCGCCAACCCATTGCATGCTGCGATGGCGTTGTGTCAATAGCCACATACGCGGATCTTGACCTCGAGTACCTTGGCAGGTTCTGGCCCTGATCACTATGCATGATTGGGGTAACGCACCTTGCGCAGTGAAAACGCAGAGAAACATTTGGCAAGACTTGACCAATGTCGTTGGAGGCTGCGGGCCCTGGTGTGCTGGTGATGGTGGCGTACATACGCGCAAGCGACAGCGGGTAGATATCTAAGGAGCGCACTAGGGCTCGACAGGCTTCTCTCGCCCGAACGCCCCGACGTGTGCTGGATGTATCGAGAGAAGATGGGGAAGTGAAGTCGAGGATCTCGGCTCGGGAGATTACCAGGGAAACACGCGGTTGATCGACGGCACCTAGCCTAGTGCCACGCGCTCGGCCCGCGCTAGTGCTAGCGCGCCTCGCGGGATGAACGTCACACAAGGTGCAAGGGCCGAATGGACTGTAGCCTTAGTTCACGCATCCTTCAGTCAGACGCTCCAAGGACGCCAAAACGAATCCAGCATGTGGACGCCCCTGTGTTGTTTCTTCTGCCAACGATCGATCTGCCTGCCTTGCCACTGTGGTTGTTGACCCCGGAGTACGACGGCTCGGTGCGCCCGCCCCCTGAACCACCCATCCCTCATCACTCTGATACACGTTTGGCCTCTCGAGGGTGCGTATGCGCATAGACATTGGTAAATTCCAGGGTAAAGGCTGATAGGTTAAAGAGTCCTAGCCGTGTCTTTGCGCCACGCACGGAAGATCCTTATCACCACCCCCAAAACGTGCCGAAAAAAACTTATCTATCAGGTCTTCCACCAACGCCACATGTCACCTTACAGGCAGAAACAAGGCCGCGGATGCAAATCTATAAACATCCATGCCGATCTTGAATCGCGACATGCAGATTTGGCCCCCGCTGGTGACTGTACTTACAGTGACAGTATTCCCGAAAGCCAAGCTGGGCGTGAACCAGACACACACACACAAATCGGTAGTCTAACTCACGGCGTAGACTAGATGTAACGCTTATCGACAATTTCCCTAATGACAGGCTGACACGCCTCAAAAGCAAACATGTCGGGCGATTCCTGTTTCTGCCAGGGGTTGCTTTCCTCGGGAATTTGGTCTGCAATGCATCCGTCGTACCATGCAACACACCCGAAAAGGAGAGAGACCCTCGATATGTATTGGTTTTTTCTCGCACCCTCTCTCTTAGCGCAGCCAAGATGATGATCTCGCGTCCCCCCCGGAGCAGGTAGGGTGTGTAGGATTTGAGTTATTGGGAGTATGCGTTTACGGCTGTGCGCACCCTGGCCGATTGTTTGTGGTGTCTGTAGTGGTGGTATCTGACCAAGGTGGGTGGGGTGTATTGTGTCGCCCTGGTAAAGATTGTCCTTCTCATATCAGGTCCGTTCTTCGCGGCATGAGAGCACCAAGACCATTGTTCCATCATGAAGTCCGAACTTCTATCCTCTCCTTTAGCCATGTTCGCGGCGCCATCGAGCCCGCATGCGACTAGCAACCAGAACTACCTCATTGGGTTGCGGGGTCTTTTTGTAATTCAGTCATTCCTCTTCGTCTTCTTCCAGACATTTCTTCCAGCAGCCGTTCCTGATTCTAAAAATGTCGACGGGCCAAGTTACCAGGTCGGACTGCGCAAGTCATTTTCGGTGCTCTTTTGCAACCCGTCGCTGATTTACGGGTGGATCATTTTCCTCTCGGCGCGAACGATATGCTTACCGTACCTGGCCAACAAGACACGCGAGGTGGGCGCATCCAGTGTCTTTCGCCGCGGCGTCCGACTATGGATCCCGACATTTATGGCGTATTCGATTGCGGCAATGGCCTTCAGCACCTCTTCCACGGCCTACATTGCTGACTTCATGGAGGCAACTGGCAACATCTCGACCAGCGTCCCTATGCGCCTTGACGGTTTCATAGTCTACTTCAACTCGCTGTTTCAGATTTTCTGGCTCAACAAGAACTACAGTAACCAGGCCGCCAACAATGTTTTCCCATCCGGCACCCTCTGGATCGTTTCCGTGCTCTTCCAGCAAAGCTACACCGTCTATATGACCATGGTCATTGTCCCTTGTACTCGCACATCCTGGCGCGTTAAAGCCATGCTTGCCTTTATCGTCGCTGCGTTCTGGGTGCACAGCTGGGCCTGGTACAGCATCACTGGTCTTCTTCTTGCCGACGCCGTACTCAACATGGACTTTGCATCGCGGTCCCGCAAAGGGTTTAAGCTGTTCAAGTACGATCTTCCGCTTTGGCCACTGTACGCAACCATGGTCTTTACCGGAATCCTGCTACACTTTATCTTCATCTCGGGGCTGGAGCATATGCGCGACAACGAGCTGTACGGCCACACGGGCATCTACACCGGCGGCATGCTCAATGAGCGCATGGATAAAGATCAGCCCATGGCCCGCCTTGACAACTACCTCGTTATCCTGGGGTCAATCCTCTTAATCGAAACATTCGAGTTGCCTCGAAGTGTTCTTTCCGGTAGCTTCTTCGTCGCGCTCGGAAGGAGAAGCTTCAGTAAGTCTTCCTTGGTTTCTCAATAATGGCAGACAGCTGCTTACAACATGCAGGCTTCTTCCTCGTCCAATCCATCATCATATACACCGTCGGAATCAAGACGTACAACCACATGGCTGCAAACGGGACCAGCACCGGCGCAAACGGTTTCGTATGTTTCCTCGTGTGCGCACCCCTCGTAACGTTGCTTGCCGAGATTTTCTACCGCCTCATCGATCTGCCCAGCGTGGTAGTTGCAAGAGGCTTTTGGGCGTTCATGACGAAAGAGGATAGCGTGGAAGGCAGTGCTTAAAGTGTCACCAGGGCGTCAGCCAACGACGCCAACTATGCTTACTTGAGTTTGGCTTGTCAGCCTTGTCTCTTTCCTAACGTCGCTCTATTCCCTTAGCTGTAATTTTACTCGCAAGAAAATTTCTTGCTCTTGTTTCATTGGCGACAAGTACAATTGTCATCGGCATATTTCTCCTTGCGGACTCGGATTTGTTTCCCCGCATCCCTTGTCGAATCCTTCGCATCATCGTTCCCCGCACTTTGCGACTACATGCCATGCACAAGGGAAGGAAGTGGACAAGGATTTAGCCTAGAAAGCAGGCAGTGATTTGAGATCCAGAACGATAGCATTATTCCCGTCCATAGTCTCCATTTACCTCGGGCAGTCTCGAGGTTTCTTAATATCCATCACTATTGAAGCCCGCTTTCCTGCACATTTGCTTTCTCATCGCACTGCTACTCATGGAATGATATACTACTCGTACCCCAAGAACATCAAGCACACAGTTACAATGGATAAACCACACGAACACGACGACAAAACCACACATATCGAAAAAGCCACCACTATCAATGAAGTAGCAGACCCCGCCCTCGATAAACGGCTCAACCGAAAATTCGACACTCATATTCTCCCCTGGCTCTTCGGAATATGGTAGCACACTCACCACCCCTCCACATGCACTCAGCGTCTCCAAACTAACACTGTCTCCCTACTTCACCAGGCTCTTCTCCTTCATCGACCGCAGCAACATTGGCAACGCCCGCATCGCCGGACTGACAGACAGCCTCTCCATCACAACCGGTACCTGCTTCAACATCGCGCTGCTCGTCTTTTACATCCCCTACATCCTCGTCGATGTACCCTCGAACCTGCTCGTCAAGCGGCTGCGCGCAGGTCTGTACCTGCCCGCGCTGATCACTGCATGGGGTCTCGTGTGTACGATGATGGGTTTCGTCACCACGTTTGCGGGGCTGGTTGCGTGCAGGTTACTACTGGGGCTATTTGAAGGCGGCATCCTGGGCGGCGTGATTATCTACCTCGCCATGTTCTACCGGCGCGGCGAGATGCTGCTGCGCAGTGGCTTGTTCTACTGCGCTGCGCCGCTGTCTGGCGCGTTTGGCGGGCTGCTGGCGAGCGGGCTGGCGAGGATACGCGTGGGAGGGTATGAGCGGTGGCCGTGGATTTTCTTCAGTATGTAGTGTGTTTCCTGTCTCCCGTCTCTTCTTCTTTATCCCAATTCCTTCCTGGCGAATGGCTTGTGCGAACTAGGGGTCTGCCTGGCTGATACAATTGCCTAGTTGAGGGCGCTGTAACAGTCGTCTTCGGACTCGTCTGCTTCTTCTTCATGCCCGACACCCCCGCCGCAGCGCATTTCCTCTCTGACGCCGAAAAACAATGGGCGTTGCGCCGCATGCGGATTGATGCTGGTGGCGCCACGGATGTAGATGTCGACGAGGAGAAGCTGAGCTGGTACTGGGTGAAGATGGCGCTGTTGGCGCCGCAGACATATCTGTCGGCGTTTATCTGGTTCTTTCTACTCGTCCCGTTATACGTAAGTTTTGTGATATACTATAATTTTGAAGGCGGTTTCTTGGGTAGATACGCCTGTGGTGCTGACGATGTGTATCAGAGCTTCTCCCTATTCCTGCCTAGCATCATAGCAGGAATGGGATATCAAAGTACAACGGCGCAGCTATTCACCGTACCACCCAACATGGCTGCGTTTCTCACCGTCATCGGCACGGCCTATGCGTCCGACAGGCTGAAGAACAGAGGGTACTTTATCATTGGGGGTAGTGTACTGGGCATCTGCGGGTATGTCATGTTGATTGTAGCCACGACCAACGCAGTGCGATATGCCGGGACGTTTTTAGTTGCGATTGGCGTGTTCCAAGGCTCGCCTATGCTCATGGTAAGTCTTGTTACCAGCCTATCTATTTCAAACGCGCTGATAGAGAATAAGGGATGGGCATCGAACAATCTCGCGCCACACTATGTGCGGGCGGTCGGAATCGGGATCATCATTTCCATTGCCAATTGTTCAGCGTTTATCGGGACATTCATCTATCTGCAACGCGATGCGCCGCGATATACGCTGGGCCATTCGATCAGTCTCGGTGCGCTGGTGATTACAATTTTCCTAGCTGCAGCGCAATGTGCGTATCTGAGCTGGGAAAACAAAAACAGAGAGCAGAGCCAGAGGGATGGCAGATTGTTGCAAAGTGATGCCGGCAGACTTGGACACAGGCACCCGAACTTCAGATTTACGTTGTAGGCGCTGGGACATTAACAGGGTACGCGAAACTATGAATAGCATGGCTGAAGACGGCTTCAGTTCCTATTGACGTTACTTCACCTTCTTATCTGGCCCTCCAATCATGCCCCTCTGCGTGTCGCTATCCTTCTTCCACGGCGTCAAGCTCCCGCCGCCAGCTACCCAGCCAATTCCCATGACGATGAGCGTAAACGGTATAGCCGTAGCAAAGTACCATCCATATGTATCCTTGAGCGCCGATACACTCTCATTCATGCTATATAAGCCCGAGATGAACGTCAGTGGAATGAAAATCGTCGCCAGCCAGGTAAGGCGCGCCATGTTGTGGTTCTCTTCGAGCCCGCGCCGAGAATCTTCAATGGCGATTTCAGCAGTAACAATGCTAGTGAGGCGCTCTACGCGCTCTTGGAGTTGGTTGATGGTATTGAGGACATGACGGAAGTCGGGCACGATATCCTCGAACCCTTCTACATTATCAAAATTTATGACGATCTTTTCAGATAGACCAGATCGTGTGGTGTAAGACATGGGTGACGATGGCACAGCGGAATATTGGGATGGCGACATGGTTAGGCGTGCTGCTGCAGGAAGTGCATGCTCGATTGTCTCGGTGACCATGTCCCGGAAGACTGGTATTTGGCGTCGCCATGTATGAAGACGTTTTAGCGAGCTGTCAATGGCATCGCCTTTGGATCGGAAGACACGCGGGTTTTCCAGCTCCCATTCGATCTGGCTGAGTCGCGTCCTCACATAGTCGCATACGATGAGCCACTCGGCACAGATGGTGTACATGGTTGGTTTAGCAAGGACCTGGGCATTGATTTCGTGGCCTTCTGATTGCTCAAACCACGGAAAGGCTGTCGTCATCTGCACAATATCCTCGAACCATGATACCGAAGATTGTATCGATGGATAGACCTTTGTTGCCATCTTTGGCGTTGGCAGCCAATTGCTTCGGTCATACCCTGTTGAGGTTAGTAACCCCTACCGGCTACGCATACTGACTGATGCAGTCACTGCAGGAAGAGATACTTACACAGTGGCCGCCCTTGGCTGACTGTTGGGTCCAACAGCACGATACCGACCGTGCCGTTACCACATTGTTTATCCTTACCAATCCACATGGTTGTACGTGTGCGCATGATTGATACAACCGCGTCGTCTTCATCCAGGAAGTTCCAATGATTATCATCGTTATCAGGACGGCGGAGCACATTCCAGCTGTTAGCCTCTAACCTCGACTCTTCAAAGTCTGTCTTTGTCTTGTGATATCGTAGACGCATGTTCCGCATGCGGAACCACTGACGATGCTTCATGTTGGAGATGAGGCTCGGTGGCACTGCCCATGGATCCCGAGTGTTGTGCCACACGTAATCGTCAATCTGCTCGCGGAAGAAGAGTGGGTCAATGTCGAAGCGCTCCCCTAGAAGCTCCACAACCTGTTGGGAGAGATCTTCTACAATGAAGAGTCGAAGAGGAGGCTCTCTCATACGCTCGTGCGATAGCGACTGAAGAGTCTCATGCAGCACAGAAGACGTCTGGATGCGATTTGCTTTTGGTTCTGATGCAGGTTGGTACTCGATGAAAGTGATGTTTGTCTTGTTGGCGCGTCGATCGCGTTCTTTAGGGTCTTTCTTGAGATCATTCCATCGTAACGGCGTTGTACCGACCTGCATCCAATCGGCCAAATAGCGCAATGACCTCCATGAGGTGGATAGTGACTTGATGTGTGCTAGATATGGCAGGCTTTTGCTTTTACTGCGCGAATCAGCACCAGCTCGAAATTATGACACGGTTGAGCACCTACGGGTCGTGTATCTCCCACTCATCTGCCACTGATATCCGCTCGTATGCGTCTCCAATCAACTCGTATGGGTTTGGAAAGTTTTCGCTGTGAGGAATATTCTTCGAAGACCACAGCGTCCCTCTTTCTGTCGGTTCGATATCGACCTCTGTAAGTTCGGACGACATTATTGTTTTTCAACAGTTGTCAAAGTAGACGATGAAACGATGGCGAAGTAGCTTGAGTGACAACAGTACATGCAGGCAGATGACACGGCGACTATAAGGGCCGAAAAGTGGATTTTACAACGTAACGGGGGCCGGAATTTGGGCAAGGCTGAGGGCTGAGACTCAAGCGCGACGATCCCCCAAGCTGGCGTATGGGCGCCGTATGCGAGTCTCTCACCGCCCATGTACGCGCCTAAATGCACAACTCAGGAGCTGAAGGTTTGCCAACCTATTGGATAACCTTGAGTCCTCTGTTGGTGACTCCCGCGTATATGTGCGGGTAGCCCCGAGGACCGAGCAGAAAGTGGATGGAGTCGAGGGTGGGATTGTCACCTGAAACCAGCATGCACCAATCCGTGGCAGATGCGAGTTTTAGGCACCCTGCAGCAAAACTAAGCGACGCTTGGGAGGGTACTGAGGATCTGTTGAGCTGCACCATGGTTGGCCGACACCTAGAATTATGTTGTACAAATCTAGCTGTTGTATCCGCGCGCTTGTCTTGATGGCATGGCGTTGGGTTGAAGATGTCAAAGTGGGTAATGGTGTTGTTTGAAACTCCGGTGGAAGGAGTGGCTGATCTACTTACGTACTATCCGACGCTAAGACTGTTCTAGTTAAGCGCTATTCGACCTACACATGACCTGCACCTTGTACAGACGTTTGACAAGTTCCAACTCTTCTCCCGAGACTCGGATCCGCCCTTTACCCATTTGATCACTTGTTTTCACCCTCTCCTGTATCCTCTGTCTTCCCAAGCTAACAGCCTGGAGCAGCATAATTCCTTTCATCGTTGCTTTTCGTCCAAAACCGAAGAAATATGCAGGCGTCAAGACCACACAGTGAACAACGCGGTGTGCGTACTGCCACAACGGATATCCAGTGGGGATCCCTTTGCACATATTCCAGCAAAGTACATACCCCCAAATACAATTCAAAGACTTTCCCGCAACCAAGTTCCTGATTCCCCACCTGCTTCAACATGACGCATGACCTCCTCAAACAGCACTGGTCCAGGTACATCGGACCCGAATCTCCAGATCCTCATACATACAAGTACAACCCTCAGTCTGGACCTGTATTCTCGTCGCCATTCGGCCCCCTGCCACCTAGACCGGACGATCTCAATATCCACGAGCTCTGCTTCCCACCGGGCAATCCCTTGCCGGAAGACTACCCCCTCTTCATCAATGCCGTCACAGAGGAATTCGTCACACTCCACAGCTTCTTCGCTCGCGTCTGCGCATTATCCCTTGTGTTCCGGCAGGATGGACCGAATCCACTCGGGCTAGGTAGAAGTCCCGTTGACGACAAGCAAGACGGCGAAATCATGGCGTTATTCTCGCAAAACCACATCCACTACCCCATGGTTGTGCACGCGTGTTTCCGCTCCGAACTCGTTTTTGGCGCGATCAGCCCAGGGAGCACGCCATACGAGCTATGGTGGGTGCTGCGGAAGATGCAAATCACAAGTCTCATGTGCCACGAGACATTGCTTCCCGTGCTGAGTGAAGCCCTCAAGCTGGGGTCCGGCGAGAGCGACAATCTGCCTTTGAAACTTAAACTAGATGCTCGAAAGATCATTGTGCTGAGCGACAATCCACAGCTAGACGCCGTATCTGGACACCGCACCGTCGAGTCGCTCGTAAGACAAGGCATGCAGCTGGCAGAGCGCCCACGCAGACTCCACGGCGGCCACCGTCTAGCATGTCTATTCCAGTCGTCCGGTACGTCTGGGCTGCCCAAAGCCATGATGATAACGCACTATAACAGCGTGAGCTCCAGCCTGCAAGCCCCCATCTGCAACGTGCAAGCCGCGCGATTCGCCGGCACCACGCCACTGAGTGCGCCGATAACAACGCTGGGCATGCTGCCCATGTACCATTCCTACGGCATGGTAACAAGCATTCTACGTATCAACCACTTCAGAAACACTCATATCCTCCTCCCAAAATGGGACGTCCAGCTGGCTCTACACGCAATCCAGAAATACAAAATCACTACGCTGCCCCTCGTGCCTCCTCTAGTCCGCCACCTCGCACTCTCCCCTTTGCTCGATACCTACGACGTAAGCTCCGTCGTCTCTGCGTCCAGCGGCGCTGCACATCTCCCGCCAGACGTGGCAGCCCAGCTCGCCAAGCGGCTGCCGCGCTACGGCGCAGCCCTGATTCCCAGCGGCTACGGGCTCAGCGAAGCCGCGAGCATCGCGGCGCCAACCGCCCCGGGGCTTTTTGGGCTTCCGCCCGCGGGCCCGGGTACGATTGGCTACCTGTTCCCGGGGATCTCAGCGCGGATTGTGGATCCCACTACGCTGAGCGATGTGGGTGTAGGCGAGCCCGGCGAGTTCTGGGTTGCAGGGCCCGTCGTCACGCCAGGATACTTTCGAGATGCCCGCGCAACAGCCGACTTATTTGCGGAGCCCGGATGGCTTCGTACGGGCGATCTAGTCCGGCGAGACGAGCATGATCGGATTTACTTTGTGGATCGCCTCAAGGAAATGATCAAGGTGAAGGGCTTGCAGGTTGCGGCGACCGAGGTCGAGGATACGCTGCTGCAGCATCCCGAGGGGCTTGTCCGCGATGCCTGTGTTGCGGGTGTGGATAACGGGCGGGGCGATGGCTCGTCGTTCGTTAGAGCGTGGGTTGTGCTTACGGAGGGAGGAGAGAAACTGGGGGAGGAGGTGGTGGCGGCGAAGTTGGATGTGTGGGTGAAGCAGAGGTTGAGTAGACACAAGTGGTTGACTGGGGGTGTTGAGGCGGTTGATTCGGTGAGTTCAATCTTCCTCTCCTTCTGTTTTCCGAAATAGCGACAATTACACTAATCGCAGATTCAGATACCCAGAAATCCCGCTGGTAAAATGTTAAGACGCGAAATGAGAGATCGATATCATGCTCGTATGAAGCGGAGTGGTAGCGCCAAGCTATAACGTTGACCATGTTTCCATCTCTCAATCAGCAGACTATCAAAAAAAAACCCCCACAGTTGCCACTGGCTCTACTCATCCTCCTCACTCTCCGTCTCTCCAATTCCCGTCGTTACAAGCTCTCAGTCTGATCTGATCTACCGCTATCTACCAAGCCAACACTCCAATCTGCTTTCTCTCTCTCCCTTGTCCCTCCTCCAAATCTCACTCCTCGCCCTTCCCAGCCGCCCGTCCCCTAACCCTCTTCCCCTCCCTCCTCTCCCTGTCTCCGCACCCCTTCTTCTCAGCCACACGCTCCAGAATCGCCACCAATTCCGCATTCCTGCCCAGCAAGCCCCGATACCTTACCATTGTACCCTTCAACCTCTTCCGCAGCCTCGCCTGCGCTTTAACCGCATCTTTAACTCGCCTCCTGAGTCCCAAGTTCGACAGAGCCGCCGTGCCGTGATCCTCAATACCGGCATCATCATTCTTATTGTTGTTATCATTGACGTTCCTCTCATCACGCTGCACCATCTCCACCTCCATCTCCAACACCTCAACACGTTTCTGCAATTCCGCAATCTGCACTTCTTTATCCGCGAGCGCATCTTCCTTCTCCGCTGCTTCTTCGCGCAGCTGCTGCGCACAAATCGCAGTTTGATCTTGCAGCTGCATTTCCAGCATACCCAGTTTATCCGCCAGCGCGGCGTTTTCCTTGTGCAAGGCCATGTTGCGGCGTTTGAGATCTCGAGCTCGCTTTTTGGCTTGCTTGATGTCGGTGGAGGAAGAAGATGAAGGGGTGTTTGTAGCATCGGCATCATGGTCATCGACTTGGTTCGTTTTTTTCGCTTCGGTGCTGCTGCTGCTGCTGTTGTTGTTGTGCTTGGTAGTGGTAGTGGTGGTGGTGGTGATGGAAGAGGAGAGCCGTGTTTTCAAAGAGCTACACTCGTCTTTAAGGAGCTGCATGCTGCTTTCAAGTTGTATTTTTTCTTCCTCGAGCTGCACGTTGCGTGTGCGGAGGATCTTCACCTCACTCCCATTCATTTGTCGCTTCGCACTCTTCAACATCTCAACTTCAGCTTTGAGCGCCCTGTTCTCCTTCTTCATCTCCTCTACACTCGCCTCAAGCCCATCCTTCTCCTGCTGCAACTGATCGTTCCATTTTCTGAGCAGCCGCATTTCCGTCTTTGTAGCTTCATCCTGCCCCGAGGCTCGAGCTTTCCACATGGCGAGTTCTCCCTGTACCAGCGCATTCTGCATCGGGGAGTCTATGCCGGTTTTCTGGTTTACGGCTTCTTCGAGCTGCGCGATGTAGTCTTCTGTGCATTTCTTCTCTTGCTTCAGGAGCGCTCCATGCTGTTCTAGGGTTTGTTTTCCCAGTGCTTGTTCTAGGGCATGGCGCGTCGCGAGCATAAAGGCTTCTTCTTCTTCTTCCGATGGGGGATTCTTCGAGGGACTGCAGTGTTGCACCACTTCGGCAAGCTCGTTATGCCGTTCAACGACAGAAGGCGTGAGGACACAGGCTTGTGCTGGGGCGGCTCTTGCCAATGCCGGTTTGCCTGGAGAATCGACCTTCCGTTTCGGGGTCTGTTGTTTTGGCGTGGCTCCTACGAAGATGATGTCGTCCATTGTGATTGGGCAGCGTCGGGTAGAAGTCTTGTCGTACGTCTATGTGTTGTTGCGGTAGGAGAACGAACTAATATATCAACAATCGTGTCCAAAGCGAAGGTTTTTCATACACACTAGATATGCGGTGAAGTGAAAGTGAGCGCCCAAAAATAACAGACTGTTGAAACGCGCGGTACCGGAAATTGGCTGGACTCACCGTGAGGTGAAGGTGAGTCCGTTTGCCTAGCAGGCACCGCCACAGCATAACAGCTTCTGATAACAAGAAAGGTCCATACGCTGCACACTTCCTGACATGTCAAGTCATGCCAGGTCTATTCGATTCATGGCTTCATCGCTAATCCAACATTGAACTCCTAGTAGATGCCGCAAAAGCACCTGGTACATGAATAAATATTCTTTTCCCCAACACCGCCACTCTACTTCTTCTTAAACAGTCCCTTGCCAAGCAGATTCTTCAGCTTGCTCTCCTTCTCCTCGTTACTCATATTCGCTTTTCTCTTGCCCTCAGCCACGCTTTGTCCCTGCGGCTGGTTCGATTGTACTCCAGAGCTTTCTTCTTTTGTCGGCTCCTCGACCTTCAATGCTTGTGCCTTTGCTTGCCATTCCGACGACAGCGCACTTCGACTGGCTCGCGCCGCTGCACTTGCGTTATCCGCCCATTGGAAAGTGATGAGTTCATTGTTGAAGAAACGCAGATCCTGTACCAGGCGCTTGTCGTCTTTGGGGATAAGAACCAGACGACCCGTTGGACCCGTGTTCTTGAGTTGGAATGGTTCATTCTTCTTCTCTAGGAATCCCCGTACAAAATCATACAGACCAACTGCCGTATCGTTCTTGTCAAAGGACATTTGAATAAGCGCACCGTCAGGCATGCGTATCCGTAGTGAACCACCCTTTTCAGCTGCTGCATTGATCTTGGCCTGTCGTTCTTTTTCTTGCTCCTCGAGCTCCTTGTCAGACAGTAGCCGTGTGTTTTTGGTCCTGTTCAACAATGCATTCTGGTGCGCCTTTGCATGCTCAATCGTTGGAAGGTAGTCGCTCTCGTTGAAACCATTTCTTGCTGCTTGTGGAGTCGACGAAGTTGGTGCAGAGAAAATCTGAATGTTGCGGGATTTCTCCGATGACTGTGATGACTCGCTGGCAGACTGTGGTAGAAGTTGAGAGGGCTCTGCTGGCGCAGGCGAAGCTGTTGACGTTGCCGCAGCCAGAGCTGCAGCTGGAGAAGTATTCTCGACGCTCTCGGTCGCATTTGTCTCCGTTGAGACCTCGGGCTCCTGTGTAGGTTGAGCAGCAGGCTTCGGATCGACTTCCATCGGCTCCGGATCAGGCTCGTCACTGCGCACAGTCTCGCCGGCCACGGTTTCCGTCGCCTCAGGAGCGGCCTTTGCTGCATCCGGTTTTGAGGCCGATTGATTGGATGTTGAAGCATGTGCGCCTTCTGCTCCCGCTGAAGGCTCGCTAGGCTTGAAATATTGTGATATCTGCGCCATGGCCTCTTCTAACGGGGTACCGCTGTTTCTATACGACAGCTTCAGTAGAGCCGACCCGCTATCAAACCCCAACTGGCTGAGTGTCTGCTGCAGCTCGACAAAGCTCGACTGCTCTTTATGGCCAGGCATCACGGTTATGACAGGCTGCTCATAATGCAACCTTCCAGCACCAGATACGCCACTCATCTCCGGCACACCACGCTGCGTGAAGTTGAAGTTGGCCCCCTGGGTGCTTTCAAAATGGCGCAAAATCTCCCATAACGACGTGTTGCTCGCAAACTTGTTTGTGAGCCGTGCATTCTTCTCCGACGCTGGAAGCTGGAGCGCTACAGATATGACGGTGGGCGATCGCGAGGCCTGGACAAGCTCTAATCGAGCGCCCTGGGGGAGGTTTGCAAGGCGTATCTGCTGGGAGAGGGAAATGGGCTTGTTGTTGTATCTGCGGACACGTTAGCGATGGACTTGGTATACAGGTAATGCTCCCTACTTCAGCGTAAACTGGTCCTTGCTGACGCCAAACTTTTGGCACGCCTCGTCCCGCACGTCCGTCAGGTACTTTGTGGGTGTAGTGGCAATCTTGAACGACCTCGCGTACGAGTTGAAGACGACAACGTGCGACATTATGCGCGAAATAGTCGGTAGAGATTGTGCGCGAGCAGGAAGGCAGTGGGTGCGTTTGCAAGCAGAATGGCTCGCGAGTACCAGCAGTCCCAGCGATGGGCTCTTCGGGTGGCGTCGCTTCTTTCAATGAGCAGAATCAGGCTGGCGAGGTGGAGCAGCTTTGCTTCGGCAAAACTAAGGAAGAGGTCGCTCGGGCCTGCCATCAAGAGGCGATTAGGCTCTGGATGCACACAATGCTGGGGACGGTCAACGCCAGGAGGGGCGCTTACCAATCCCGCGTGCGCGTGAGTGTATGTGTGTAGATGAGGCTGATTTAACAATCTGCAGCGGCGCAGTCAAAGGCGGCGTAGACTGTTAGTGGCAGCGAGGATGTTGCTTTGAAAGCGCGTGGGTGTGTAGCGACACGACGGGTGTTGAGGGAACGTGTGAGGTGGTCTAGGCAGGCGACTCGACGACACCAAGCCCCTGAAGACGAGCGGGTTTGCGTATCGTATGGGTAAGCGACCGGCGGCGTCAGAAAGCAGGCGGTGTTCTGGAAGCTTCGTTGTTCCTCGCCGCGTCGTGGGGGTCGGTGCCTGACTACACGCATACTTCCTGACTTGGACGGGTCGTGGTCGGTGACGGAATAGCCACACCCCGCCCCCACTAAACCGGAGAGACGGCCAGACCGAGAGAGAGAGAGAGAGAGAGAGCAAGAGAGCTGCACGTCGCGCCTCTCATACAACACCAACCCCCGCGGATTCCCTCCCCTCGCAGCACCCACAGACATGTCTGCAACCGTCGAAATCAAGTCGCCGGCCCAGCTGAGCTCGCTGCTGTCGTCGTCGCGCGTCGTCGTCGTCAATTGTAAGAAACCGCCCGCCACCGCCCGTCGCAACACCGGCCGCACGACACCACGGTTGCACTATACTGACCGCAGCTCCGCACAGTCTACAATGAGGAAAACACGTCGAGCAAAGCCATCGCGCCCGTATACGACCAGCTAGCCGGGCAGCTGTCAAGACCGGGAAAAGTCACCTTTAGCAAGGTCAGCACAGTGCAGCAGGCCCAGATTGCGCAGAGCTACAACGTCACCAAGTAGGCCAATATTGCATACACAGACGAGTTTCGTTAGCTGACTATCTGCCCTCCCCCAGCACCCCCACATTCATCATCTACAAGAACAACCAGCAAATACGGAAGTACTCGGGCTCGAATCCGCAACAACTCTCGGAAGCAATCAAGACGCTCGCCGCCGAGGCCGAGAACGAGGGCAATGGGCTCGACAGCGCCAGTGGCAGCAGTGGAAGCGGTGCATGGACGGGCGCCAGCCTGCCACGCGGCTACACGGATGTCACCGACGTGGTCGACGTGCGCGGGCTGGACCTTCTCAATGCCGACAGCGACTTTGGCACTGTGCGCACGCTGCTCGAGACGTCTGCGCCCTCGTCGCTCAGCAAGGGCAAGGCCGCCCAGGGCAAAAAGGACTGGGTGGAAAGCGACGTGGACAACCAGCTCATGCTCTTCGTCCCCTTTACCGCAACCATCAAGCTGCACACCATCCACCTGACCTCATACATCTCACCCGACAACGCCGAAGACGACGACGAAGCCCCCGTCCGCCCAAAAACAATCCACGTCTGGACAAACCGCCAGCACAACCTCGGCTTCGAAGAAGCCGACGACGTCCCCGCCACGCAGGTCATCGAGCTCAAGCCCGAAGACTGGGACCCCACCACACACACAGCCAAGCTGGAACTGCGCTTCGTCAAGTTCCAAAACGTCGCTTCCGTCGTGCTCTTCGTCGCCGACGCAGACGGCGACAGCGAGAAGACGCGCATCGACCGCATACGCTTCATCGGCGAGACAGGCGAGAAGCGCGAAATGGGTAAGCTGGAGAAGATTGGTCAGGACGATTAAATGAGAAGAAATGAACAAAAAAAGAAGAAGACTGATGAATACGCATTTGGCTTTTTTTTTACTCGCCATCGTGAGGCTACGTATACTGTGAACTGAGACACGTTGTCAAGACTACACTTTACCTTGGTCCTCGCATGGGGCGTTTCACGAGGACTCTTCTTCTTCTTCTTCTTCTTCTTCTTCTTCTTCTTCTTCTTCTTCTGGATAGAGTAGACAGTACCCCGAGTAATGTGAAATGCTTCTCTACTGGAACACCCAAGTACCTCCTGTCGACGAACTTTCGCAGTCGTGAATCAGATGCAAGAAAACACTACGAATGTGTATGTATGTCCACGCCTCTACTCGAGACCTCACACACACACACATACAGAGTAGTGTGTGAAGCCTGAGCAGCCTTGTCTCCAAGCAAAGCGCGTTTCAATATAAGCATTTCTCGGCCCTTACTCTGCCATGGTCAAGGGCAAAAGAGTAGGAATTTGACATCCATGCTAAACAAAGGCAGCAAATCAAGCAAAGAAAAAAACACATCATCACCAATGATATGAGCACACCTCACACACATGCGCACACAGGGGACATGGTGTTTTTGGCGTGAACCAATTCGTCACATTTCATCATTTTGAAGTGACACATGCTAGGTTACGTTCTCAGGAAACCGTCACTGTCCATTTGCCATACTCCGATAAGACCGTGTGTGTGCCATCCTGTGCTTTGTTTTTTTCTTCTCTTCCATATGGTATTTGGCTGTGAGTGACGTTTTCCGAGATCGTATGTGTCGAGCCGCTCCTGTTTGTGTAAAGAAAAAAAGAGACCCGAACACCCCAGGACAGAAATCGGAAAGTAGGGTCAGTCGGTCGGTTCGTTCGCCGTTCTTGCTTTTTCATCCACCCGCGTATCATGGGAAATAAAAACCGCATTTAGTGACCCGCGCGCCTCGACTCGGCAATGACCTTGGTCATCTCGTCGACCTTTCTCTTTGAGCGGCCAAAGGTACCGAGCTGTTTTGCCATGTCAGTACAATCTACTGTGTGAAACGAAGAGCGGATTGGAAAAATTCGAATCGTATAGTGCGGTCGGAGAAGAGACGTACCCTCTTCTTAGCTAGACGACGGGCACGCTTGTCCTTGGAGTTTCGGAGCAATTCAATGATGCGCTTCTCGTAGGGGGCAAGACTGCAGGCACAGCGTTGTTAGCGAAAGGCTCCAGGCGGAATTGCGCAGTCTGCAACGTACCCAGCAACCTCCTTGGTGATCTCACGGACGAAGGCAGTGCGCTTGGACAGGAAACCCTTCCTCCTCGAGATCCTGGGAGCGGGAGTCCTGGGGGTGACCTCTGTTGGTCAAGTTAGCGGCTGTGCATCCCAAACGATTCTTCCCACGTAGCCAGGTCCAGGGCGGCGAAGGCGGGCGGGCGGGGGAAGAGACGTACTGTGGCCGGCGTTAAGGCCAACGATGAGGCCAGACTTCTGCTTGACTTCTTTCGGCATCGTGACGGTCGTGATGTTGTCGGTTGTCGATGAGTTTCAAGGTCGCAGTTTTGCGAGGGTAATTTTGGCTCGGCTGTGCGGTGGTGCCAAGATGGCGCTAGCTGTAAGCAGGCACGTGCACTGACTGGTCCGAACACCACATGCGAGCACGACTACGTGCATACTTCTGGATGCGCAATAGTAAAGTAAAGGTAGCAGGAATTTGAGTGTGCGATTTTCTTGTATACTACAGCCGGTGATGGGTATCTAAATTATGCAAAAATACGCTCCCACTGCACTGACTAGCCCATTCCATCCTGGTCTCAAACCTTTTCAAAGCCACTTTTCCATCAATTCCACCTCTCACTTGTGATTATCCCCCCAACACCAGAAAAAACTTCCACAAACGCTCATATCCACGATGCACCAACCCCATCAACCCAGTCAATCCGTCACAGCCAATATGCATACAGCGTATTCCAATTCCTCTGCCGCCCCATCCCCCCGAATCTCTCCCAGAACCCAACCCAATCCTCAGTCGCAGCCTCTCACTCCTCCACCTCAATCTTAACCTCATCCCTGACAACATACCACACCCTCTCCACGAGGCTATTCCGCTCCACCCTGGCACAATAAAAAGAAAGGCAGCCATCCGCATCAAACCCCCACGCAATCTCTCCCTGCCTCGCCAGATGCAGTCTTAAAAAAGCCGGGTTCGCCACATTGTTATTCGTATCCGTCTGTACGAACCCGCGTTTTTCAGCCATGAGCCCTGGTATGCCAAGTAGATGCTCCATGAGGAATGCATTAGCCATGTTTTTGTCGAGAACGTTGTGCTGAATCACGTTGGATGTGAATATAAGTGTCTCGGAGCGTGCGCGCTCGCCAGCGACCAGCTTGTACTTGGTATCTGGGCTTTTCTGGAGAGTCTTCTGCCGCAGTGCGGCTTGGTAGGTGTATAGGGTTTGCTTGTAGGCTTCCTGTAGGAGGGATTGAAGGTCTAGTGGGAAGACTTTGAATTTTGGGTCTAGCTTTACGAGGAGTTTGAAGGGGGCGTTGGTGGCGGCTTCGGTGCTGTCGGCGGTAGGTGACGCTTTGAGCTTTTTGACACTGATGATTTGGATGTCGTCGGCGTCGGTGTCGGTGGTCTTTGCTGCTTTTCGCTTTGGGGCATGCTGACTGGGCATGCTGACTGGGGTGTGGTTAGACTATATTTAGTATCATTTGTGGTAGTGACTTACTGAGCGGTACTCTAGGAGTAGTCTGTGACATATTGATTGTTACTGCGATGCTTGTTGCTATGATACTCGTCCCTGTGGTGCTTGTTGCTGTGACCGTCGTTGTCGCATACAGCTAAGTTGTGAGAAGCCAGTGGATATGTGACCAAGGGTGGGAGAGAGAAACAGACAAGGAGGATAAGTGTAGTATTTCTTAAGCCCCACTATATCTTAGCGTATACAGTAAAGGTAACAAACAGCGACACCGCAGTAGCGACACCTAAGTAAAGGCACGCTAACCTACAACTTCGCCTTTTCCTTGCTATCCTCCTCTTCCTGCGCCTTCACCTTGAGCATCCGCCGGAGGATCTTCCCACTAACCGACTTGGGGATCTCATCCACCCAGCGCACGCCGCCCCTAAGCCGCTTGTGATGCGCGACCTTTGTGCTGAGCCAGTCGATAATCTCCTTTGCATCCGCGTCAGTCTTGCCGAGCCCGTCTTTGGGCACAATGTAGGCTCTGGGGAGCTCGGTGGCTTCGTCTTTGCTGTAGATGCCAATTACCGCTACGTCACTGGAAGAGGGTTAGCCAGGGCTCGGTAAGAGAAGTGGAAGGGATCAACGTACTTGACCTTGGGATGAGAAACTAGAATGCCCTCAAGCTCTGCGGGTGGCACCTGGAAGCCCTTGTACTTGATGAGTTCCTTAACGCGGTCCGTAATGTAAAAGTTGCCGTCCTTGTCTTGGTATCCAACATCTCCCGTCTTGAAGTAGCCGTCTGCTGTCTTTGCATGCGCGGTTCCTTCGGGGTTGTTGAGATAGCCCTTGAAGACATTTGGACCTTTGATCCAGAGCTCGCCAACCTCGCCAACCGGCATCTCTTTCTCATCTGCTGACATGTACTTGGCTGTCTGATAGGGCAGCAGTTTACCAACGGAACCGATGGTCTTGTTCCAGTCTTCCCAGGGCTGGGTGTGCGTGGTGGGACTGGTTTCTGACAGGCCGTAACCTTGCTTGACGGGGATCTTCAGTCTCTTGTACACGGCATCTACGAGCTCGCGCGTGAGTGGTGCGGCGCCAGAGTTCATCATGCGGATAGTGCTGAGGTCGTATTTTGACACCAAGGGGTGCTTGCTGAGAAGAAGGACGATTGGCGGTACGACATAGGCAAATGTGACTTTGAGGTCTTGGATGAACCTGCAAAAGTCCTCGAGGTCAAACTTTGGCATGACAACAAGCTGGAGGCCAGAGAATAAACTTTGGTGGATCAGACATGTCAGACCTGGGAATGATTAGCGGGTGTCTTTGGACTCGGCAAGATGCTTCAATATACCGTAGATGTGGAAAAAGGGCAAAAATGCAAGAAGCTTGTCGCCTTCGCCAGTAGGGCCGCCAGTCGGCTTGAGATTGCCAGCCTCGCCAACCTTGATCATCATGGTATTGGCCACAATATTTCTATGAGTAAGCATGACGCCCTTGGGATGCCCCGTGGTGCCCGAGCTGTAGACGAGGAATGCCAAGTCTTCAGCTGGATTAGGCGCCTTTGTCCTTCGCCACCTCGCGGTACCCTCCATGTTGACGATACTTGTAAAGTGCTTGATCTTGAACGAGGGGTCCTTCTCATCTCCCATTACAATGACCCTGTCGAGCGGCATGCCAACCTTGGCCGCCGCCGCGTGCGCATTCTTGATGAAGGGCAGCTGTGTTACCAAGGCCTTTGCGCCAGAGTCCTTGAGCTGGAAGGCAAGCTCATCGACCGTGTAGTTTGGGTTAGCTGGAGACAGCACACCGCCAGCCCAATGACAGCCCCATGTGATGGCTGGGGTGTCAATGCAGTTGGGAGTGTACAGCGCAAGCACGTCGCCTCTTTGCCAGCCCCAGTGGCCCTTCAAGCCCTTGCCAAAAGTGATTGCAGTGTCGCGGACCTGTGCATAGGTGTAGGACCGCTTGGTGTATGGGTCAAAGTAGATTACTATTCTTTTTCCTTAGCGCAACGTCCAAAGAAGCAATATGCCGATCCCATGTAAGTACTTATCAAACGCACCTTTGTCATCTGCAAACGGCTTATCCTTTCTCTCAAACATGAACGTCCACTGGATTGCAGCCCCAGCCGTCAGTAAATCACGGCGCCACCGGAGCTTGCACCGTGGCCACAGCGACACTTACAAGGTCCACATCGGGAATGGGCAGGCCGGGGTACTGGCTCTCAGAAGGCATCTTGGCACGTGAGGATGTGATTTGTATACGCGACACGACTCAGCTCGGCAGAGTCACAGAGGATGCAGAGTGGAAGTAGGAGGCATACGCAGCGACATGGCAGACGCGCTCCCCACTGGACCTCGGCGACGAGCCGTGCGGTCTGGGGCGGCGTGTCAAGGCGCCCTGTCAAGGCGCGGTGAGGATGCTCCAGCAGGGATTCTCCCCACACGTGCGACTGCAACGACCGAGGCATTTTCCGTGTACGGGGTTAGCGCAACCATGACCGCTCACCCCCGAGGTTGGCGGTTGCTGTGCTATTACTCGAATGTGTGTTGTCAACTCTCATTGATATTGCTAGCGGCGCAGTGAGAGAGGATCCGAAAGCTGCTGCATCCCAAAACCATCAAGCCGCCACCATGCCAAGCTGGCAAGAAGCTACCGCTGTGGAGAAGCTCTCCTCCCACACGTACTCGTGCACACTGCACGACGATTGGTGCATCGGCACAGGTACGTCACGATTCGCCCCGACTCTTGTACCACATTCCCTTTGCTAACATGCGCAGTTCCGAATGGAGGATTCGTTACCGGATGGTAAGGGGACATTGCAAGCGTGCAGTGGGCATCCGCTAACCTTACTTGCCCTGTCAGCCTTCTCGAGGTAGTCAAAGCGCACTTCAGCACGACTCTGGCAGGCCAAAACCAGCCTCACACAATCGCCCTGCATGTAGAATTCCTGCGGCGCACCCAGGCCGGGCCCGCCATCTTCACCATCCAGGATGTGAAGCTCGGCCGCCAGACGACGACAGTGCACGTGAGCCTGCAGCAAGAGGGGCGAGAGGAAATCGTTGCCTACGTAACAAACTCCAACATGACCGAGGGAGATGGCTTCAGCTACGACACAGAGTACAAGCCTTCGCCGCCAATCCTCTCGGTCGATCTGTCCAAGCTGGAGCAAGGCACGGATCCAACCTGGAAACTCGCCACCAACATGCCACATGCCAAGTTCCGCAAGGCAATGAACCAAATCCATTTCCATTTCCCGCAAAATGGACGCGCTGCTGTCAATATATCCGACCAATGGGTGTGCTTCTCTGACGGCAGTAACTTTACTGATTCATCAATCGGATTCATAGCAGACATGTTTCCACAGATTGCCGAAGGCTTCAGAGAGGACAATGCCAATCCGCTATGGTATCCGACGCTGCTGATGAACATCGACATGAAAAAGGCACTGCCGCCAGGGGGCGTCAAGTGGCTGCTGACTCGGGTCGAGATCAAGAAGGTATTCAAGGGGAGAATGGACCTGGAAGTGTGGGTGTATGATGCTGAAGGAGACTTGGTGGCCTTGAGCCATCACGTTGGCCTTATTGTCGACGCGAGTAGGAACACGGCGGCGAGGAGGGTCGGCGATGCCAAGATCTAGATGCAACATGTGGCGTAGACTATGCTTTACAGTTAGACATGCATTGGAATTAGACGTTTGGGCAGTATCTCGAGTCCATGACATACGAGAGCTTGCAGACTTCTTCTTCCATTGTTCGTTCACCTCAATACTCGCAGCAATGATAGCCGACCCTAATATACACGGAATGCCCATTACGCACCCCTCATGCTTTCAAACGCCAATGATGCCGTGCATCAGATGCTCATTGCTCTCCACAGCACGCTTCCCATTTCTGCGCGTCATTCTCCCACCCGATCAACAAAGCGCTTATTTGCCCTTGGGGTTGTTGTACTGCTGCTCGTAGAACTTGCCCGGCCAGACAGGCTACAGCACGCATTAGCCTCGACTCCGCCACACCCATATTCTCTACAAACACCACTCACCTCGCTCTGCTGATCGCTAATGTTGGCCTTGAAGTGCTCTGAGCCCGGCCCCTTGCTGGGCCCATCGTGTCTTCCCTCGTTGGCCGTCGAGCTGCCTACACGATAAGCTTACGGTTAGCAAATTCTGCGCTGCGCACTTCCAGATAGTCAGTCTGGGGGACTCAAAGTACCCGTACCACGCTGGCTTCCAGCAGCAGGAGTATGATCGGGCGCAGCGCCGCCTGACGAAAAGCGGTCCTCAATGTTCTGCACGCCCTGCGTCTTGTATGGGTTCGGGAACCAGTACTGGCGCATGTACAGGTAGTAGCCGAAGCCGGCGGCACCGCCAGCCATGAAGATTTTGGGCACGGAGAGCGGAGACATGGTTGGTTGCGCTTCTGGTGTTTCTTTCGTCTTTGCCTAGTCGCTCTCTGTATGGATGTGTCGCGATGGCGGTGGTGGTGTGATGACCTCGGCGCGCACCAATTTTTTTTTTGGACAATTTACCAAAAAAGGAAACACGGAATTCCTTGGAAATGCAATTGTCGCTTTTCCGGGGGGCGGGGGGCTTTGATGTCTTTTATCAATGCCGTCTGGAGTCTGGGTGGAGAAAGAAGCAAATAGTGCAATCGGGCCTACGATCTGGGCGGCTTCTTGTGCTGGAGCAAGAAGTCGAATACGTACATAGACCATCCGCACAGGCGTCATGTTGGCGTCGCGATGATCGCGTCATGGCTGCGTATTTTGGGGAAAGCTCCCGAGGAGAGAAGCGCGCCATGGCCTGAAGCCTCTCCACACACACACCCACACGCCTACCAAACAAAAACCCCCAAAAACCGCCCACGTGCTGACGTAATTCACGCCTGCTGTGGCTGTGGCTCAACCGTCGTGTGGCTGATGCGTAATTTTAGTCCCTTGGAAGTTTGGGGGAGACAGTCGGGGGAAGTGGACACGCGCTAGAATCTTGCATGGACATGTGAGATTGCGTTCACCTCCCCCCTCCCCTTTGTGCCACCACCTGGACAAGAGACGGGACTGACGGGCTGCTGAGTCGATACTCGCCGGCACAGGGCTTCATGACGATACCGCAGAAGCAAACGCTGGGACGCAGCCACAGCCACAGCCACCACCACCACCACGACACTCGACGCGCATCCGAGAAATGGACGGCGATCCCGCCGTCGAGCCTGAAATCGATGGCTTCACGCGCATCCTGCCATTGCCATATCGCGTGGCCATTATCATCGTCCTCGGTACGCTTCTCGCCCACTCAATTGGCACATTGACATTCCCTGCATTGCTGCGCCCTCCTCCCTTTTCCCACTACCACGACTCCAAATTGCGTCACCAATACTTCACACAACTAACCCCAAACCCGCAGGAATCTGGGCCTGGGGCCTCAACCTCCACTACCTGAGCCTGATCAAAATCGACGTGCCGTCGCTGATCCGGTATCCGTCGCGCGCCTCTCCACACCACCCGCCGCACCACCTGTCGTGCTACCGCATCGCCGCCTTTCTCTCGCTGCCCCTCGCCTTCTCGCTGTTCCTCTTCTGGGCCCTCACCCACGGCAGTACGCAGGCCATCGCCGCCTGGGAAATCCTGCCGAACCTCTACCTCCTCGTGCTCGTCATCGGCTTCATCGCCCCCGTACCCTTTATAAGCCGCAATGGACGCTCGCGCACGCTGGGAACGCTCAAGCGCATCAGCACAGGCGGCATTGCCGAGGCGCAAGACGGCAAATTCGGCGACATTCTGCTGGCGGATGCGCTGACGAGCTACGCCAAAGTGCTAGGCGACCTGTTCGTCTCGCTGTGCATGTTCTTCTCGTCAGGCCACAGTTCGACGGCGTCGCCCAACCGCAATTGCGGCGGCACCTTCTGGGTCCCCTTCATCATTGCAGTGCCGTCGCTGATCCGCCTGCGCCAATGCATCACCGAGTACTACCGCGTGAAGCGCGCCAACGAGCGAACCGGCCAAGTCAACCCGGCCACAGGCTGGGGCGGCACCCACCTAGCCAACGCCGCAAAGTACTCGACCGCCTTCCCCGTCATCATCCTCAGCGCACTACAGCGCACCCCGCACCCCGACAGCTTCGGCGTCTCGCAAACAACCTTATACCGCATGTGGCTGTTCGCCGTCGTCGTCAACTCGGCATACTCATTCTACTGGGACATAGCCAAGGACTGGGACCTGACCCTCTTCTCCAGCGCCGCCATGCGCAATTCCCCCGAGTACCCCTGGGCCCTGCGCCGCCACCGCTGGTTCCACGCAAAGGAATTCTACTACGCCGCCATCGTCGTAGATGCTTTGCTCAGATGCACCTGGAGCCTCAAACTAAGCCCCCATCTCGACCACTTCAACGACCTCGAGGGCGGCATCTTCACCATGGAGCTCCTCGAGGTCCTCAGACGCTGGATCTGGATCTTCTTTAGAGTAGAGACCGAGTGGGTTCGTAATCATAGAGGCCCTGCCCCTGATGATATTCTACTCGGGGATGTTGGCGCGGCGAATACATATGATGATAGTGATTAGACTTTGTTTTATTAGACTAGAATTTATTCTTTTTTTTTCTTCTCCAGAATTATTGATTTCGGTGGAGAATGTCTTATGTCCTAAGTGGTTAGCTTGTGGTTGATATGTAGTTCGACTAGGTGATTCAAATCGTTGTCAAGAGGCATTGCTTCCATTTCTTTGGTCGAAACGTTGAAAATGCGTAGTTTCCTGATTTCAATACCAAACCAACACAATCAATCAATCACCTATTTCCATCATCATCCAACCCAAATCCCTTCCAAACGCCAGATGCAATGGGCCATACTGAACCCCAATTCTGCATATAATAATAAAAAAACGCCCTTGACATGCATATTCGCCAGTCCCACCTTTACTCTCCTCCACACTCAGCCTCCCCCCTACCCCCAACTACCACCACCACCAATCCCAAACCCAAGATACCGACTTCAACGACGCTAAAAGTTATTCTGCTCTCTCTGCTGCCTCTCAGCCTCGCCCTCACTAACGATGCGTTTTCCAAGCCACTCGGTCTGAAAGCTATCATTGAGCTTGGACAAATCGGCAATGACCTCTCTGCACGTCTTCATGACGGCTTCCTTGGGGGTGATGGAGCCGTCTGTCTGAACGCGCAGCTCGAACGTAGCGAAGAGCGGGTGCGGCACCTTGTACGCCGAAAACATGACGGCGGGGTTCTTGAGGAGCCGCTGTGCGAGTAGGTTGCCCAGCGTGTGGTCTTCTTTGTTGAAGGTGAAGACGGCCGTGTTGGGGACGCCTAAGAGGGGGGGAGGGCGAGGTTAGCTGGTGCTGCGTGGATTGGAAGGTGTGTGTGTGTGTTGTACATACGGGTCTCGGCTTTCTCCTCGACTTTTTCCTGGCCTTCGTCGAGAAGGAAGAGCTCGAATCTGGTGTTTGGAGGCTTCTTGTTAGCGTTTTTTTTTCTTTCCTGAGATACAGCCGGGGGTGTTCTTTGGGTTGGCGCGCAGTCCACAGGTTGCGCCTTTTTCCTTAAATAGCGTGTCTGCGATTTTGGCAACGAAGCCGTGCTGGATTGCGCCCTTTCGGGAGTCTATCGCGTACGTCTGCAAGGCGCGCAAGCTGCAATTACTGTGCGCATATCACACACGCTCATAGCAGTATGCTTCATCCAGCTCCCTCACGAACCGGCGGCAAACGTAGAACCCAAACGCATAGACACATCGCCGTCGTTGCGGAGAACAGGCTTGTGGACTGCGCGCGCGGGGCCAACCCTATGAAACAAGACATAGTTGAAAAAGAGGCAAGACATACCGATCTGGTGCGTTCATGATGTCGGTATTGTCTTGTTCCTATGTCCAAATCTTGCTCTTGTCTGTGTGTATGGATGCCGTTGCCTGTGACGCGCGCAGTGTAGACGCGAACTTTTGTGTGCGAAAGACGGACGGGTATGCGAATCCAGAGGACGAAATAACGCGATCGGACTGAAGCGGGTTATTGGCGACAGACAAAGGTTGCGAGAGTCGTGTGTGGCGGCTGCGAGACGTTCGGAGGTGAGGATCGAGGTCCGCACACCATGTTCTTTGTGCCGCCCTTCACCGCCCTGTCACCGTGCGTCTCCACCCAAGAGCCCAGATCCATAGTGGTATTCCTGCCAAGAGCTTTCACGGAACATGGTAAACTCATTGTCTACGAAGCCCGATCGGGCCCACGGCTAAACCTAGCAGAGCAAGCAAAAACAGGCTTAATTAAATGGATACGACCGAATACAAATCGATAACCTCACATCACCACAAGCAAACTTCACGCAACCGCATAAACACACATGTTGATGAATAGTTATTTCTCGATATTGTTGTCGAGTTGCATGATGCTCGCAAAGTTCTACAGGCTTTTTTGAAGCCCTACCAAGGGGCATGAAATGTCTCTGGCAAAAGCCAGAACACACAAACGCCCCGTTCACTGCCCAAAGCACACCGCTTGCATGATGTCCAACCGCGCCGCTAAACGCCCCAAACACCATGCTTTCTTACAAGACATCTTCTCCGCCATGTAGCAAATGCCAGAATTCCCCACGCTTTAGAAGAACAACGCTAACAGCAACATTAAAAGTATATACAAGGCAAGGGTTCGGAGGTGGCTTCGCGCGGGCTCCCTGCTGCCAATCGGGATACCTAGGACCGGTTGACCTGCGCTTGCTGCATGCCCGGGCTCTGTTGCATTTGTGGGTTCTGGGGCGTTGCGCTTCGACTCGGTGGTCGGCCATTCAGTCCTGGACTACCGGCTTGCTGTCTGGCCATCAGCCGCTGTTGCTGGACAAGTTGCTGCTGATAGTTCTGTACCGCGTTTGGCTGAGGAGTGTTGGTCATACCACCGTTCTGCTGGAAGTATTGATTGTTGGCCATCTGTGGACTAGGAGATACGCCAGGTGATCCAGCTGCTGCATTCATTGCCTGTGTACGTTGCTTAGCCAGGAAACGGGAGAGGTGGTCGGAGGCCTGTTTTGAAACTTGTTCTGGGGTCCAATCCGGATGCTGTACCTTTATCTGGTTCTGGAACTGGAGGAGTTGAGGCATGTGCCCGCTGGACAAGGGCCGGGCTGGTGTTTGCATGTTTCCGTTGCCTTGGTTGATCCGTGGAGACCCAGCATTGTTCGACATTCCGTTCATCGCATTGTTCATGTTCCCGTTCATGGACGCGTTCATGTTCTGGTTGGGCATGGATGCCATCATGTTTGCATTGGGCATGCCGTTCATACCCATACCCTGGGAGAGGTTGCTGGCCATGTTGATCTTTTGTTGCTGTAGCTGGAATTGGTGTTGCTGATTGGCGTTGAACTGGCCTCGTTGCATGGCCATGCGCATCTGATCCGGTGGACCCATGCGCTGGGCGCCCTGCATGTTACCCTGCATTTGTGCCTGGGGGACACCCGGCGTGCCCATAGGAACACCAGGCATGTTACCGTTGCCGAAATTGGCTGGCATACCCTGCTGAGATTGGTGTCCTCGTGCCGCCATTGCCGCGCCATTTTGCCCCTGTTGCAACGACGCATTAGCCATTTGTGGAGGGACATTATTGCCGCCAGGGGTTCCGTTGCGTTGCATTTGGTTCACACCATTTGCCATTCCTGACTGTGCCTGCATTTGGGCCTGTTGCTGCCGTGCCGCCATTTGTTGCTGCCTGGGGTTAGAAACGTACACACTTGCGGGACAGGGTTTTCTTACTCTAGCCATCATCTCCTGCGCCATCTGCCTTTGCTTCATCTTCTCTTCGCGTTCCCACTTGAGTCGACTGAACTCTTGAGGCGTGTGAACATTGTTCTTTGGTGGCGCAGGCTCATGTGCTTTGCGAAGCGCAGCGGCCTTTTGGGACTCGGCTTGCTTGTGGGCTGCAGATTCACGTTTCCTCGCAAGCTTGCGCATACCATCAATGATGGCGAGATGGCGGTTCTCTCTTCTCCTCTCAACTCTTATTGGCGTCGTCGTAGGCCTTCTTCGCGGCTGGCCTGACGTTTGTCCTTGCTGTTGCTGCTGCTGTTGCTGGGCCTGGAACTGAGCAAACACAGTCTTATTGGCCTGCTCCAGTCGGCCTTGGTAAGTGCGGAAGTATTGGGTCTTTGACATTTCCGCTGGCAGACCCTCAAGCTGAACCCAGCGTTCAAAGCACTCCCATGGCGTTCGACGGCCTGATCCAGATACGAACAGTGAAGGCAAGGAGAGTTGCTGGGAAACCAAAGACCAGTTGAATGTGTACTCCTTTACTAGAGCGCGCAACTTCTGGTCTTCCTCCCATAGCCATTGAGAAGGTGTCCGGTTCTCGAAGAAAGACACAGTGGGCATGTTGAACTCTGTCGGTGGCCTGAATTGGTGGGCGGCTTGCAAACGGTCACGGACATGTTTGTTCTCAGCATTGAACAATGCAACGTTGGTCATCTCTGGTGGCAGATCGTTGCGGCAGAACAGTCTCCGACCTGGAGTAGATGGCATCGAATGTTCAGCCGAAGTTCCGCATCGGCTTGGCGGGGTGGAAGGCTCGTCTTCAGAGTCATAGTCGTATCGACTCCGCTTCTTTGGTGGGCCTTGTATTTGCGAAACCAGCTTTCCAGTGACGAATTTCGAGACGGGAAGGATGGGTGGTTCAGAGAGTGAGAATGGGTTGGTGTCGCTGGAGCCCTCGAACATGGGATCGTACAGTGGCAGTTCCCGGAACATGGTATCGCTGGCGGGTGTGCGATCAATCTTCATAACAACATCGTTGTAGCCGAGAGAAAAGAGACCAGCAGGAGGGTTAGCGTTAACAGGCGTGAGAACGTCGTCTTCGTCGCCGTACGTCTCGCTCTCTGTCTCATGCGTGCTAGAATGAACAAGGTCTGGTGTGGGGGCATCATTCATGTCTTCATCGTTGCTTGTACGCCTTGCAGTCTTGGGGATGCGCGCATTGATACGCAAACTTGTCCGCTCCTCGGGTGACGAGCTCACATACTCGGCGCACCACTCTGCAAACGTAGCAGCCAAGGCTTTTTTCCATTTTCTTTCTTCTTTAAAGTCGGTCTGCATCCATTTCATGTCGAGCAGAAGTTGATCCTGGTGGGTAAAGGGCCGTTCGGGTTCAGCTGCTTTCTGAAGTTGTCGCAAAGACCATCGGTTGGCGTTTTGCAGCTGATAAACTCTCTTGAGAATTTTGTAGTCTTGATGCTCACGAATCATGGCAAGTGTTCCTGCTGTTGACACAGTCTTTCGTGCGGATGCAACAAGGTCCTGTAAAGGCACAGACCGTGGTGGATGATGAGCCTGGTATTTGAAGAGTCCCTCGAGGTAATCTCGGCTGGAGTCTTCTGAAGCACCCTGAAGAGAAGCGTAGTCTTCATTGTACGACTGTAGAGCTTTCGACGCCCGTGTTGGCGTCTTCTTTGCAAAGACAACAGTCGAAACTTCTTGAGATTTGCGCCGCGCGGTCCTCGGTCGTGGAGGGCTAGTCGAGGCTGACATGTGGCTCGAGCGAGGAGTCAGGATCGACTTGTGAGCAGCTTTGTCTGAAATAATCTCTGAAACAGATTTTTGCCGAATGGCTCCAGAAGCGACGCGAGTAGTCATACGCTCATTGAGGGATGCAGATTGCTTGGGGGAAGTCGTGGTATGTGTATCCATTGCTGGTGCATCCCGCATTTCCGTGTCGACATCTGCAGGGGGGGTTGGGTGATCAACGGTGGCAGAAATGGGTTGTGGCTGGCTGTTTCTCCGCTCGGCATTGTCGCGATCCAGGACCGAAGGTTCAGCAGCAACCGTAGTCGGTGTGGGCAAAGAGTCGACAGCATTGTCTTGACTAGCCTTCCACTCACCCGACTGGTCCGTCTCTGGCGCTGTTCCGCGTGAAGCATCCTCGGCACCCTCTGTCAATGAATGACCGTCAGCCCCAGGCTGTGACCCGCTCAAGCGGCTCTTCCCATCGCGGGCCATACGTATTGCTTGCTCATCCTCAATCTGTTTCTCAATGTCGGGTGTTGGCGAGTCTTCTTCTCGTGCTCGAGCATTTTCTCTTGCCTCCGTCATGCGTTTTTGGAGCGCACGCTCGTGATCCTCCTTGACCTGTTGAGCAGCGGGATCGAGAACATCATCATCTGGTAGCGGTATGTTGTTACGTTCCTTGTAGGCCTCCATGTCTGGGCTGGTGTCGGGAGAGTGGTGCTGCGCATGAGGAGTTGCTTGAGAGTACGGACCGACTGTTGATGACGGCGAGGACACATCAACGGGCGCGTGCGTGATAGGGAGAGCAAGACGCTCCTCTTCCTTTCGTTCTTTTTCTGCAATCTTGCTCAACTTCTGCTCCGTCTCTTGCAGTCTGGCTTCCTGAACCTCCTTTGGTGGTAGATGCACGACCTTTGGTGACTTGGCCTGGCCTTCGGTCGACGACGCGGGTATTGACCCGTTAGGAAATGTAGCAGCGTTCAAGTCTTCAGCAGTTGGTGGTGCGACATCGCTGGGGTCGGCAGTATCGACAACTGAGTGCTTCTGATCTTCAACATCCTGGACGGCGGGGGCTGTTTCACGATTGGCCGTCTTGGAGTCCTTCTCTTCCGTGGTGGGCGTTGCAGGCTGCGATGGCTTTACGCGGGGGACGACAACGATAGTGTCGCTTTGCTCCGAGTCCTCGACTGAGGGCAGCGTTTGGTTCGCACCAGACGGCGAGGCAGAAGCGGCGCGAAGTTGCTCTTCAATACTTGGGGCGCCGGTGGCTGGTGATGGCGACGACTTTGCAGAGGCCGATTGGACTTGGTTCTGTAAGGATAGCGAACTCGAAGATGCTGGCTGGCTGTCGGTGTTGGCGACGGGGTAGGGCAGGCTTGCATCGTTGAAGCGTCGACCTCTACAGAACGCGACCGTGTTAGCAGAATGGGGCGACGACGGCGACGCGAACAACAAGAGCAGTGACGGCAGTGCGGGTGCAGGAGGATAGGCATCTTACTTTGAAATGTCGTTCTCGTCGAGAAAACGGCTCTCGTCTTCGTCGGGTTCGCCATAGACGAAGTCCTCAGGCCGGGGCTGATGGCCGTTCAGAGCGGCATTGCAGCAGCCCGTGACCTTCCAGAGAGCCCGGAAATGGCGCTGCAACGTCGTTGATGCGAGCCTGCGAACATGACATTAGCAACAACACCACCACCACACGTTAACAAAACAAAAGGAGCGATTTTTCTTTGTCGCATCGGCGCATTTCATCGAACCCATCGGTCAAATGACAAACGCGATGCACAGCGGGCGAGTGGTACTTACGCGGCTTCATTTGTCTTCTCCTGGCGTAGGGTTTCCCGTAAACTGTCGAGGGACATATGAAGGCCGACGAACGGAGGCCGACATCCGTTATCCACGAGTGCCGCCGTTGTGATGAATTATGGGAGATGGTGGTCGCGTTGGTTGATGGAAGAGTGGTATGCGATATACTGGGCTTGATGCGCGGGACTTGCGAGAACGTGAGGGAGAGAGCACCCGCTTTCGCTGCTGCGCGCCGCATTGCAGGGTTGGGGCGATAAGCCCTGCCTAGCTTGGGCCCAATAGGCCTCCGCTACTGCCGCCTTGCCGCGACGGGCCTAGCGCCGCCTGCTGCATCAAAAAACTTCTGGATCTTGGACACGAGCAGCGCACATGCAACAACCACGGCCGCCGTGACACCAGCAGCCCAAATAATTTCGCACAATGGCAAAGAGGAAGCGAGAGGCGCCCGAGAGCGCCGCCGCCGCAAAGGCCCTGAAGAGCAGGAAGGACGACGTCGCGTCGACGCCAAAGCAGCCCGCGCCACAGGACATCGCAATCCGCAAGAGAAGGGAACCCGCAGTCACCAGAAAGGCCGCCGCAGAAAAGGCCACACAGGTGAATGGCGATGCAGCGAATGGCGACTCGCCGCCCGACACGATATCCATCCAAGTCGTCACTGGTTCTTATGAAAGAGTTCTCCATGGCTTTGCAGCGTCCATCCCAGGCAGCCTGCTCGCCGCGGAGCATGCCTCCACATCTGAGGCCGAGCGGCCAAAAGTCGACTTCACCGACACATTTCTGTTCAACGCCCATGCGTCCGCAATCCGCTGCATGGCCATTTCCCCGCTGTCGGACGAAACATCCAAGGTCACGCTGGCAACAGGCAGCACAGACGAGCGGATAAACCTGTACTCCATCTCAACGGCGCCGCCGCCAGCATCGTCGAAACTGCAGCCCAAGCTACCCTCTCTCAGCGGCGGCTCCATCACGGAAAACCCAAAGAACAAGGAACTCGGATCGCTGCTCCACCACTCGTCCAACATCACCGCTCTGTACTTTCCCACACGAAGCAAGCTGCTCAGCTCCGCAGAAGACAGTACCATTGCCATTGTCCGGACACGCGACTGGACCGCCCTGTCAACCATCAAAGCGCCGATTCCAAAGCCCCAAGGCCGGCCCAGCGGCGACACGGCCGGCCCGGGCGAAGTGCCCTCGGGCATCAACGACTTTGCCGTGCACCCCAGCATGAAGCTCATGCTGAGCGTGGGCAAAGGCGAAAAATGCATGCGCCTCTGGAACCTGGTCACGGGCAAAAAAGCCGGCGTCCTCAACTTTGACCGCAGCATCCTCGCCGCCGTAGGCGAAGGCCGCTTCTCCTCTGGCGAAGCCCGCCGCGTAATCTGGGACCCGGAAGGCGAGGAATTCGCCCTTGGATTCGATCGTGCTCTTGTCGTCTTCACCATTGACTCCAAACCCAAGGCCAAAATCGCGCCTTTTCCAAGATCAAAAATACACCAGATGGCGTATTTACCAGAGACGCTACAACAACCCAACATCCTGCTTGTGTCGACCGAGGATGGCAGAGTCCTGGTTTACGATACGAGTGCTACAGATGCTTCGTCGTCTACAGACCAACAACAGCAACACAATGCATTCGCAAAATCCAAACAACAAGACACCACCATCCCCCCTGCCAAGCTCATCGCGCAAATCGGCGGCCCGGCCGCAGGCATCACCAGCCGCATCAAAGATTTCGAACTCGTCCCGCTCTCACCTCACAGCTGCATGCTCGTCACCGCATCCAGCGACGGCACAGTGCGCCTCTGGGCGCTGCACACATCTGAACTAGACACATCGAACCAACAACAGCAACAACAACAACAACAGAAAGACTCTGTTCCCGCTGCTGCTACTACTGCTGCAAAGGGTTTCTCGGCTCCCTCGATCGGCTCCCTGCTCGCTTCGTATTCCACGGGTACCCGCATCACGTGCTTGAAGGCGTTTCCCTTGACGGGCGATCCCGATGATGCCGACGATGACGCTGTGCTGCTGCAGCGCCGGAAACAAGAGGCCGAGTCGAGTAGTGATGACGACGATGACGATGATGATGATGAGAAGTAAGGGAAAAAAATCAAAAAGTGCATGGATACACAGTATTCTTGCTGTTGATGAACAAGATGGACATGGTGGTATCCCCAATCAGAAGGTAGGGGTGGGGGCGGGGGGCAAACAAAAGAATCATTACTGTACCCTTTTTTTTCTTCTTTTTTCTTTCTTCTTAATTCTAGGTCATATGTGTGTGTGTATATATATGGTATATAGTACGGCCTTTTCCCACCATGCTATAATTAGATGCAAGATCCATATTACTTAGTGCCATGATATATTTTGCATTCTCCCGAAAAACTTTGAAGAGAAAGAGAGAGAGAACCCAAGAATAACTCATTGTACGTTGTATATATATATATATATATATGCATCCGTGTTAAAACGCCTCTTCATGATGTCTAGCACTCTCCAAAGGAAACACACCAACCCCCCCAAAACACACTCATTCCATCCATCCATCCATCCATCCATCTATAAACCCACCTCCCTCCCCCATCCCCACCCCATTCCCAGCAGGCCTCACAAATTCATCGTAACAGTCATACTATTACTATGCACGAGCAGAACAGGCGGTAAGCCCTGACACAGGACCTCCAAATCACTAATATACTTTACGCTCTCAGCCTCGCTGTCACAGGTGCCCTGGAGGGGGCTAGGCAGGGTGGTGAAGACGACGGCGGTATCGTCTGAATGGCGGCGAATCAGCTCGTTGAGAATGAGGTGCTGGGCGCGACATGGTAGGTCGTTGAAGGAGAGGGGGATGGATTGGTGGGCGGGGAAACCCGAGGCGAGCGAGGGGGTCGAGGTACCTGTGCCTGGAGCTGTGCCTGGGGCGGTTGGCGGCATGGAAGAGGAAGAAAGGGGAGGTGGAGGAGCAGGTGACGACGATGATGTATGCCTGTTTTCGGGTCTGGCATGTGGAGACGGTGACGACGGAGTGTCAAGCGGGTTCTGGGCAGCGGCAGTGCTGGGCTTGGGGGTATCGACAAACATGATGGATGGGCCGGCGGTGGATTCTTCGGTTGAAACCGCGGCGCGAGGCGTGGGATTCGAAGTGAATTTTGGAAGGGATTGGCGGCGCACGGGCGGTGGTATTGTGGTTACTGGTTTGGGGCGGGAGGAGCTGGAGAGCTGCGACGAGGAGCTGGCGGCGCTGTGGGGCTTCGACGGCTTGTCTGCTGCGCGGAGAATGGCTGTGTCGGAGGCACTGGCGTCCGAGTGTGGGCGGAGCGGCGTTGTGGAATGCGTGGTTAGTCGGTCGTCGGTTTGTGACGGCGCGTCTTTGTGTGTGCCTTTCCACATGGCCTTGCGGAGGTCGAGCTGGCGGGAGAAGAATGAAGTGCTTGGTGCTGTTTTCGTCCGTCGCAGCGACTTGCCCTGGCCGTCTTGCTCACTGTCATCGCTCGATGCATCCAGGTCGTATTCATCGAAATTACTGCCGCTGATGACAGCTTCACTGTCTGATGCCGCGGCTTCGTCATCAGCATCGTCCCCAGGGATGGATGGCTGGGTATCGCTGTCACTGTCTTCGAGCAAATCAGCAGGGAGCCGTTGACTCCGCATTGCGAGCCTCCCGCCGCCTCCGACATCACCAACCGACGACCTGCGCTTGGCTTTGCGTAGCATCCTTCTCAGCGCAGCAAAGCGCCTCGAATTTGCTTCTTGCCTGCCGTGTTGAAACGAAGCAATCGGCCAGTTTGTCACTGCTTCGAGAATGTCGACTGTCTGTTCCAACTCCTGACTGGCACTCAGGTCCTCCGGTTGACGAAGCCGCTTGATGTCTTGCCACCAGCGCTCATCTTCCAAGGAGTAGTCGATGTCGCGCCCAGTCTGGTCAAAATCCCCCTCGTCGCGCCCATTGATAATGACCTCGTACATACCCAAGTCGCCGCACGACAGCCAGAAGACGTGGACCTCGGCTTCTATACGCAGGTTACGCAGCAAAGTAGTAACTCGTCCACGCTCCTCCTCGACGTCCGTCTCGTACTCGACAAAGACACACACTCGTAGCTTGTATATGCGTTTCCAAGAAGGCACGGTGTGAAGGATACAGCCTAGTTGGAGAATGAGCGTATAGGTATCGAAATTCGTAGTTAGGACATTCTTTCGCAGAGGTTCGTCGCCAGTAGTAGCAACCTCGGCCGACATTTGAATTGGCCAAAGGTCAATGTACTGCTTGGATGGGTCGTCAATGTCGATCTGACTCAAGCCAAGCACGTTGAACGCCTTTTGCTTGGCGGTGGGCTTGGCGGGCGGCACCTCAAGCTCTTGGAAACCCTTGGCTATAGCAACGTTTGCGTGTAATCTTAGAACGAGATCTTCTATTACGGTGACGTAGTTACGGATTGCGATTGCGTTCTCTGGCTTCATGGCATCTGTGGGAAGTGCGCTATGTGTATTACCTGTAACGCGCCGCCTTGCCGCTGCTTGTATGGCTTTTCGAGAGACGGGGTGGTTTGCGGCCTTGCTAGCTGGACGCGAGGGTTGGGGTGAGGGGATGCCTACTGATGGCTGAGATTGCCTGAGCTCTGGCAGATTGTAGAAGCCCATGACGACAATATTCGGCCTCATGCCGCCCAAGCCTGCACTTAGTACAAGGTTGCGAGCGCCCCATTCTATCGTAGGTGAGATGGCAATGTTGACGAACGCCTTGATTCTGGAAAAGTCAATGTACTTTGTCCAAGACTGCTGTTGCCGTCTGGCCTCGGGCACAGCTTCGGCAAAGTTGTCCGAGACAATGACATGTCCAAGAACGAAGAGACCTCCCTTTTTCAGCGAGTTGCAGAATTGAATCAGTTTGTACTGGCGCCGTGGGTCGTTTACGAGGAGCAGGATCTGCGGTCTCCAGAACTTGACATGCTCTTGGCGTAGACGAAGCAGATACTTGCGGACCTGATGGTAGATTAGGCTCTGACTGACGTCGCCCCATGGCTTTGGGGGCGTGGTGTAATGAATCAAGAGGAAAAGGACAATCAATAGAGCTACGCAACCGGAAGCATAGAAGCCATCGACGAAGAACATGGTCGCTCCGGAGGCAACTGTTCCTATCGCTGCCGTCTGCCAGTTGAAGTAGTGAAACGAAGGTCGGAAATTCGGTGCAGATCCGATTTTGAGCAAGAAACAAGCCAGGTTGGTGACGAGAAAAGTCATGAGATACTGGTAAGATTAGCGTTTGGAGTCGAGGTAAAAGGGCTGATATACCGTCATGGTGATGAAGGATGCAATCTGGTTGATGTCTGCAAACATGGTGACTTGGGCAATCATATATGTGAGAACGATGGCATAGATGGGCTAATGAACCAAATCAGTCGGTGGACTCGTTCGCAAGAGCCTCGAGACCTACCTCGTCTGACTTGCTGGTCCCTTGGCCAAACACAGAAAGACCAGGAATGAGGCGGTCGCGAGAAAGGGCTTGGAGGAGCTTGGATGAGCCAATGACGCCCATGAGCACCGAGAAGATTGATGTCGCCACTTCACCAGCAAGAATAACGGCACCGGAGATATTGGTTAGTTGGATCACGTTGGTGTTGCGGTAGAGGGACTCGCGGGTGACTGTTGCTGCCATGGCAAAGATTACGACGGTGTAGAGGACAAAGGTCAGCCCAATGCCCCACAGAGTGCCCTTGGGGATGGCTTTACTCGGGTGCTTCAAGTCTCCACTCATGCTGGCACCGGCGAGAATGCCCCCTGTGGCGGGGAAGAGAATGCCAAACAAGTCTTGGAAGTTCTCGCGATGATGAATCACACTGCCTGCGGCGCCCCGGGTAAAACGGGGAAGCAGGTTCTGACGGAACGTGTCAAGGCTGAGGCCTGTAAAGACAATGTGTTCCTTGGGGTCAGAAAACGGCGGCAAAACTGCAGCTGACAAGGGGATGCTCACGGCGGCAACAAGCAGAACAACTAGCAACGCATTGCTGCAACGTGCAAATAGGCCACTGCCAGCCAGACACACAATCGTAGACGCGGCCAAGATCAGGGTAGCCCACAGGAATTGCCACCAGTAGCTTTGGGGCAGCCACTGTCCCATGTTGCCGCCATGGCTACCAAAGTTGTCCATCAGACAATCAACGAGGCCCACGGCGTTGAGCGAGGTGCTGAAGACGGAACCAAGGTAGTAGACGATGCCAATGCTCCCGCCAAACTCTGGGCCGAGACTTCGCGAGATGAGATAGTAGGCACCTCCGCCCCTCACTGTGCCGTTTGTAGCGACGGCCGAGATGCTGAGAGTAGTCAAGAGGTTGATGGAGTAGGCAGCAATCAGCATGCCCATTATGCCGACCAGGCCAGCCTGACCCAGCAGGAAGCCAAATCGCAGAAACATCAAAATAGACAGGACATTGAGGGTGACGGGCACGAAGACACCGGCAAAGGTGCCGAGCTTGTCAGTGCCTCCAACGGGTCGAGGAAAGGCTCCAGGCCGTGGTTTGGAGGGTTCCGTGACCGAGTCTCTCTTGCCATGGCTGGCGGGCTGTGGTGAAGAGAGCAAGGTCGCGAACCAGCTGCGCGTGCCCCGCCGTCGTGCATCCGTCTCTTGGGGCCCGTCTCCTAGCGGGCGTGGACCATGCGGGAGAAGGGGAGTCTCTTCGGTTGGCGGGGGCTCCTGCTGGACAAAGGAGCGGCGATGCAGGCGCTGGGTGTCGTCCTGGGCAGTGCGAGTCGCAAAGTTGGACCTGGCCCGGGGCAGCGGCCGGCGTGTTAGACGGTCCTGAGAGTCGTCGTGCGGGACGTCGGCCGTGGCCATGGTGCGGGCACTCGCATTCGGAACGTGAGCATGGCACGTGTTGATGCTAAGTATGCTACGTCGCCGGGGGCCAGAGCACGGGCGCGGGAGCCGCCGATGGCTGAAGGGAGCGTCGGCAGGTGGCTACGACGGGACGGCCGAGGGTGAGGCCGGTGGCATGTGTCGCGAGTCGCGATGACGCTGGATCTGCACGCGAGGCAGAGGTGGGTGAGTGAGTGAGTGAGTGGAAGCAGGAATGGATCCATCGTCAGGCGGCGAGGCGAGGCGAGGCGATTCAGCAGGTGCAGGCGTGCTGCTGCCTCACTTGGCGGCTTCACAGCTGGGCGCGGGCGTGACATGGCCATCCCGCGCCCCACGCCGCGGTAGGCGCTCGCGGGCGAATGACCTCAACTCAAGCTCTCGGCACACAGTCATCGTCTTCTTGCTCCATCTTGATCTCGTGCAAACCTGCGCCCTTGTGCGTTGCCTGCTCTCTCCCCCTCGCCGCCGTCCCTCGACACGCTCCGTGCAGTGTAGTGCAGTGCAGCGTCTTGTTTGCGCGCCGTTGCCAATCGGCTGCTGCAGGTCCCGTATCGCGACGTTAGACGCAGATAAGCGAACCGAGTGCCTCTGCCAGCCCAACTTCCCCAACACCACACCCACGCCCACACGCCCACACACAACACAACATGGCCGCCGAGCCCGCCGAATCCGCGAATCCGCCAGCTGCGGCGTCGTCGTCGTCGTCGTCGTCGCCTGGGCGAGGATCCCGCCACAGCTCGCCCGCCGACAGCCAGCCCATCCGCGCAAGCTCCACGGCGAGGTTGTCGTCGCCCATTCCCTCCCTGCCCACTGGCACCCCTACCGTCCGCCAGATTCCCACGCCCGCCCAGACAGCTGCCTCGTCCTCGGCTGCCTCGCCCCTGCCTGGACGCGCAGACCCGCAGTCGTCGCTGCCTGGGCCCTCCGAGTCGAATCTCTCGTCGGCGCTGCGCGAGTCACTGGGCAACTCTCCTCCACGCTTCGGCACGCCGCCCATACACCCTCTCTCGCCCGCCCAGGAAGCGCCTCCTCGCGGCCCGCCCAGCCACTATGGCTCCTTTGACGGCCGCGGCCGCTCGCCCGTCCCCTACGAAGACCCCGAGATTGTGCGTCGCCATCTCGTAGGACACTATGCCTCGCCCAGCAGGTCCAACCGCGGATACATTGGCAACGACGATGCCCAGTCGACGGGCAGGAAACCCGAGGACGACGAGGAGGAGTTCTCGAGTCTGCAGCTGCAGGGCGGTGACATCACGCGCCAGATCTACAGGTGGAGCGAGCAGCAGCACGCCGAGGAGCAGCGCAGGATGCAGCGCAGCAAGAGCTTCCACGGGCCGCGTCCCAAGCCAGAAGACGAAGCGCTCGACATTGACTCGATCCGGCAGCCGGGCGGCTTCCGCCGCAACTACATACGCAGAGCCGTCGCTAGTCCGTCGCCCGCGCCCGGCCCGCATGGCTATGGCACGGTCCAGTCTCGGCCGCCGCCCGTCTTTACCAGCAACTTCCTCGAGTTTCTGACCCTGTACGGCCACTTTGCCGGAGAGTCGCTCGAAGAGGACGACGAGGTCCTGGGCCCTGACGAGTACTTTTCGTCGGATGCCTTGGACTCGGGCGCGCAGAGTGAGGACGAAGACCGAGAGTATGGCGAGTCGAGTGCGCTGCTTACGCCTGGCAAGCGCAGGAGACGCAAGCCAAAGAAGACGGGCACAGGCACGCCAACAGGCGCGGCTCTGCTGCTCCTCAAGTCGTTTGTCGGCACGGGCGTGCTCTTCCTGCCGCGAGCCTTCCTCAACGGCGGCATGCTCTTCTCCAACCTTGTCCTTCTTGCTGTGGCCGGCCTTTCGTACACGTGCTTTGTCTTGCTCGTCTCCACGCGCCTCGTCGTCGAGCACTCGTTTGGCGACATGGGCTTCCATCTCTACGGAAACTGGATGCGCAACATGATCAACACTTCGCTCGTCGTCTCGCAAATTGGCTTCTCGTCGGCCTACATTGTCTTTGTGTCGGAGAACCTGCAAGCGTTTGTGCTCGCAGTGTCCAACTGCAAGACGTTCATCGACATCAAGTACATGATTTTGATGCAGATGGCCATCTTCCTGCCCCTGTCGCTCTACCGCAATATCAATCACATCCAAAAGCTGGCTTTGGTGGCAGATCTCTTCATTCTCATGGGTCTGGTCTACCTGTACTACTTTGATCTCTTCACCATTGTCGACCAGGGCGGCGTTTCTGACATTGCCAACTTCAACGCCAAGGACTGGACTCTGTTCATCGGCACTGCCATCTTCACCTTTGAAGGCATTGGTCTCATCATCCCCATTCAGACCGGAATGAAGGAGCCGAAAAAGTTCCCCAAGGTCCTGGGAGGCGTCATGATCATCATCACGGTCGTGTTCCTCAGCGCCGGCGCCCTGTCGTACGCAGCCTTTGGATCCAAGACCAAGACAGTCGTGCTCCTCAACATGCCCCAAGACAACAAGTTTGTCAACGGCGTCCAGTTCATCTACTCTCTCGCCATCTTGCTCTCGACGCCCCTGCAAATCTATCCCGCCATTGAAATCACCAGCCAGCAGCTCTTCAGCCGAACCGGCAAATACAACCCTTACGTCAAGTGGAAGAAGAACTTTTTCCGCTTCTTCATGGTCCTCATCTGCGCCACGCTCGCCTGGGCCGGTGCCGGTGACCTCGACAAGTTTGTCAGTCTCGTGGGAAGTTTTGCTTGTATCCCGCTCGTCTTCATCTACCCTGTAAGTTTACTCTATATATTATTCAGATGAATACTCTTGCTAACAATCAACTAAGCCCATGCTTCACTACCGCGCTGTTGCTCGCACCACAGCCCTGCGTGCCATGGACGTACTCCTATGCATCGTCGGCGCAATCGGCATGGTATACACGACTACCCTTACTATCAACAGCTGGATCCAAGGCAGTACTCCCAAGACACCAGGTTACTGCGATAACCGGTAGTCCATCGTCTCGACGCTTTAAATCATTACTTCCCCTCGTTGTTGTTGCTTTTTTTTGGTTTGTTCTGATCCTCATAATGTTAGCATTTCAGCGATGGGAAACTTTTTGCATGATTTTCCTTTTATCTACTTGGATGGAATTGGGCCATATATATGAAATTTGATCACACACACACACATACACACACCCTACCTCACCATATCATCGTCATCATCGTTGTTGTTGTTATTATCAGGGGAGAGCGCACATGGAGTAATGGGGGTTCGGTCATGGATGAAAGACTATTTTGTTGGTATGAAGGATTGCTGCTTGTTAACTAAAGAGAGAGAGAGAGAGAAGAAGAAAAATTGGGCATGTGCATCTGAGCACGTAGATGAGCATATATATATATGTGTGTGTGTGTATGTATCTATGTATGTAGCGAGAAGCAGCTACAACAGCTAGTTAGTCAGTTGGACCAGTTAGCCAGCTAGTCACATGCATTACTTTCTAGCTTTACCCCGTGTCCTTGTTTCTCACGCGTATACCATGGTAGTACTGTATGTGTGTGTGTGTGTGTGTGTATGTGTGTGTTTTTTTTCTGAAGACTGCAGTAGCACCGGAGTTGGTGATAGTTGGTGTTGGTAGTTGGTAGTTGGTAGTTGGTGGTGGTGGGGCGGCTACCTGGAGTTAACCGGAGATAAGTAAACATTTTTGTACCGCATCTAGGTAATATATACATCCAAGTACGTAATATATATATATATACATGTGTATATGTATTGAAATTCCCATAGACTTGGTCTCACAAGTTACCTATGTAACTCTACCAGCTTACTTTACTCTACGTACCCGCTTACTTGGTTTACTAAAATCTCACCTTTGTACACAGGACGTCATATGTATATAAAAAAAATTTTGGTTGCGGCTGAGGTGGGTGTGGGATTGGTGTGGCGTTGGGAATGCTGATGCTGATGATGAGGCTGAGGCTGATGTACTGGTGGTGCTGGTGCTTATGTATGTTGAGGCGACAAGCAACAACAACAACAACAACAACATTTAAAACGGGGTAAACAGTCAAGTGTAATAATCAGATGATACATGTGCATGTACAATATGTGTGTGTATATATGTTGGGCGTCAAAAGCGGTCAAGAGAGTAATATGTGGTAAGTAGTAGTCCAGGCAACAGAAGAAACAAGGCGAAAAGAAAAAGACCCAACAGAAAAATGAACAGCAAAATCAAAATGTACATATGTGGCCTTTGGGGCATACTGTATAGACCGCCAATGACTTGCAGGTGCTCATTCTCCGGATCCGGGGGGGAGGGGGAAGGGGACATGCATGCGTAACACATAGAGCGGGCTAGACGGGGGGGGGAGGGGGGACATGGCAATGTGGGAAAATGACTAGGGCTGTGCAATAACTACGACACCCACACACACATACATGCAACCCGGCAGGCCTTCCTCGTCTAGCTGAATCGTACACTCGCACTTGAAGCATGTATGGTGTATGTGTAGCTAGGCTGGGGCTTGCGTGGCCAGGGTACATGCATATGGGGGGGTGATAGGTGGTTCGTTAGCAAAGACGCAAAGTAGGCGGAACAGGGGGGGAGGGAGGGGGGGAAGTGTGCGCATACCCCGAGCCTTGTGCTCACCGTGCTTGCGGCATGCGAGGTGCAATCACAATGGCAGTAAACAAGAACAGAAAAACAGAGAGAGAGAGAAATGCAAAACAGAGGGCTTGTCGCAGGGTCTCTCAGGGATGCGGGCGGCACGTTGAGGCGTGGACGTCGTGATTCGCTGCGTGGCGGGGTAAGCGAATCTACACCTATGGGACATGTGTGTAGACGAAGAAAAAAAGTTTGTTTTGGCGGCGCAAAGCTGATGTGGCTTGTTGCTGTTGGTATTGCAGGGTAAAAAAGAAAAAAGGACGGCTGGCTGGGCTGATTAGCTGGACAGATGGATGGATGGATGTGTGCAGAAGGGCGTTTTTTCTGCTCACCGTCTGATTAAGACATTCAGGAGGGGTGGGGAGCTGGAGAGCTGGAGGAGAGAGCGGCGGCGGCGGGTACAGCAACAGCTCCTCCGCCCGTTAGCGGGACTGGAAGCTAGCTAGTGCTAGGGCTTGTTCTGCGGTTCCCACTTTGTTTTGGGACCCGGGTCCTTTTTTGTTGTTGTTTTTTTCTTGACCCTCTCGTCGTATCCTGCTCGTACACCTGGCCGCACCCATGACATGTGGCTGGCCGAGGGGCCACACGCGCCATGGGCCCAGAAGCGGGAAGGGGACAGCAAAACAAAAGACGGGCGTGCTGGTGACATGTTAGGGGGGGGCAGCGCATCTCCGTGTTGGGAGCCGCACCCGGGCTGCTGACGTAGTGGCTCGGTGAGGCGTGTATGGATTGCGTGTGTTGGCGTGGGCGAGGAATTGGCTGGGTGCAGATTTAGAAACACCACCCGTCAGCAGGGGCCGCCGTGTAGCATTGACCGAGACTGATGAGCAAGCAGAGACTTTCGGGGGGCATGTCGTGGGCGCAAAAGCGGAGGGCAGTGGGACGGGGCAAGCTGGCCAGTGTTTCTATTTTGGAGGTGCTGCGCCTCGCGGTGCCTGAGAAGGGAATGGGTAATGGTGGTCGATCAATCCAGGAACAGCACCGGCCGACTGCAGCAGTGCTCCATTGGCCCGCCTCAGGCAAAGGGGAGGCAGCATGGCGACGGCGACGGCGACGGCGACGGAAACGAGGCTCCGTAGCTGCGACTGCTAGATAGCAGGCGTACGAGCCTCGAGCGTGGTTGAGCGGCGTCACGGAGGGGTGCGATACGCTGCATTGGCGAGACTAGCAAGGTGTAGTGGAGTAGGGCGCCGCTGGGGGCATGCTCAGTGCTTGGCCTGCGACGTATAAGTCAAACACACCACCGCTCTTTCTTCTGCCCTCTCTCATCCTGGCCTTCTTCTCCCCCGCCTCGCCCATAACCTTCTTCTCCCTGCTGCCAGTTCGACGCCCCGACTGCCTCACAATCGCTTCCGTTCACTAATCGACTCGCTTCTTTCGTTTCCTCGCCATGTGGTAAGTTCCCCACTGCCCCACCCGTGAGCTGTGAAGCACCCAGCAGACAGCGAGCCACGCGGAGACTGCACTGGACACGGGCTCATCCAGGCTGACGCTCGCCCAGCGGAATCTTCGGTTACATCAACTACCTGGTGGAGAAGGACAGGAAGTACATTCTCGACACACTGATCAATGGTGAGTGAAGCCCGTCCCCACTGCGCCTTTTCCTCGCCGTCTGGGCCTGTTGAGGCTGCGGGCGGGGCTCGAGAGCGACCATCACTAATGTTGCTTTTTTCACGAGCCAGGTCTGCAACGCCTAGAGTACCGTGGTTACGACTCGGCCGGTCTCGCCGTCGATGGCGACAAGAAGAACGAGGTCTACGCTGTCAAGGAGGTCGGCAAGGTCGCCTCGCTGAAGAAGCTGGTTGACGAGCAGAACTTCGACCTCAACAAGGTCTTTGACTCGCACGCCGGCATTGCCCACACACGATGGGCGACCCACGGTCCCCCCTCGCGTGTCAACTGCCACCCCCACAGGTATGTCCTCGCCATTGCACGGTCCAGACGCGCACGCACGCACGCATGCTAACGCCCCACGCCCAGGTCCGACCCCAACTGGGAGTTCGCCGTCGTCCACAACGGAATCATCACAAACTACAAGGAGCTCAAGACGCTGCTCGAGAGCAAGGGCTTCAAGTTCGAGACGGAGACGGACACCGAGGCCATTGCCAAGCTCACAAAGTACATCTGGACCGAGCACCCAGACCTGAGCTTCCCCTCGCTCGTCAAGGCTGTCATCAAGGAGCTCCAGGGTGCCTTTGGTCTGCTCGTCAAGTCTGTCCACTACCCCCATGAAGTGGTGGCCGCCCGCAAGGGTTCTCCTCTTGTCATTGGTGTGCGGACACAGAAGAAGATGAAGGTTGACTTTGTCGATGTCGAGTACAACGACGAGGGTGCCGCTCTTCCCGCCGAGAGCGCCTCGCACAACGTTGCTCTGAAGAAGTCCAACAACCTGCTCGCGCCCCCAGACAAGTCGCTCCTCCACCGATCACAATCGCGTGCCTTTCTCTCAGACGACGGTGCCCCAATGCCCACCGAGTTCTTCCTCTCCTCCGACCCATCGTCGATTGTCGAGCACACCAAGAAGGTGCTGTACCTCGAGGACGACGACATTGCACACATCCACGAGGGCTCGCTCAACATCCACCGTCTGCACAAGGATGACGGATCCTCCAACGTCCGCACCATCCAGACACTGGAGATTCAGCTGCAGGAGATCATGAAGGGCCGCTTCGACCACTTCATGCAAAAGGAGATTTTCGAGCAGCCCGACTCGGTTGTCAACGCCATGCGTGGACGTCTCGACCCTGTCAACAAGACGGTCACGCTTGGTGGCCTCCGCCAGTACCTGTCTACCATTAGGCGATGCAGGAGGATCATCTTCATCGCCTGCGGTACCTCGTACCACTCGTGCATGGCTGTGCGTGGTGTCTTTGAAGAGCTCACCGAGATCCCCATTGCCGTTGAGCTGGCGTCAGACTTCCTCGACCGCCAAGCACCCGTCTTCCGTGACGACACTTGCGTCTTCGTGTCGCAATCCGGTGAGACGGCCGACTCGCTCGGTGCTCTCCGCTACTGCTTGGAGCGCGGTGCCCTGACCGTTGGTATCGTCAACGTTGTCGGTTCGTCGATTTCGCTCCTCACCCACTGCGGTGTGCACATCAACGCCGGTCCCGAGATTGGTGTTGCCTCGACCAAGGCCTACACCTCCCAGTTTGTCTGCATGGTCATGTTCGCGCTCTCGCTCAGCGAGGACCGTGCATCCAAGCAGAAGAGGCGCGAGGAGATCATGGACGGTCTCGGCAGGATCTCTGAGCAGTTCAAGGAGGTCCTCAAGCTCGACCAGCCCATCAAGAAGCTCTGCGAGAGGTTCAAGAACCAAAAGTCGCTGCTGCTGCTCGGACGTGGTTCCCAGCACGCCACTGCTCTCGAGGGAGCGCTGAAGATCAAGGAAATCTCGTACCTCCACTGCGAGGCCGTCATGTCCGGAGAGCTCAAGCACGGTGTGTTGGCGCTGGTTGACGAGAACCTGCCCATTGTCATGATCCTGACGCGGGACGACATTTTCGCCAAGTCGCTCAACGCATACCAACAAGTCATTGCCCGCAGCGGACGCCCAATCATCATCTGCAACGAGAACGACCCCGAGTTCCCCGCCGACAAGACGGACAAGATCGAGGTGCCCAAGAACGTCGACGTTCTCCAGGGTCTCATCAACGTCATTCCTCTGCAGCTCATGTCGTACTGGATGGCGGTTGCCGAGGGCGTCAACGTCGACATGCCCCGTAACCTTGCCAAGTCGGTGACTGTCGAGTAAGCAAGCGGTTGTATGATTTACATGGCGTTCTCTGGGCTAGAGAAGCTATGTATACTTTGGGTTTGAACTACATGCGGGATTTACGAATGACAGCTCTGGATGTAGCTTATATGTATGGCACGGAACTTTACGATATCTAGGATACAGAGCGATGCGTGCTGCGCAGCTTCTGGTTCTAGAGCGAATGAATACAAATTTTCTTCATTGCTTTTCTTGTGCGTGCGTGCGTGTGTGTAGTGGTTGTGCTGATACCCGCAATACATGGGTGGGTGAAGGTCCAGTCACACGTCGGCGTTTCACACCCCCGGTTCGATGACAGCATTGCAACATATGGGACCCCTGTCTTCTCGGTTGCGGGGCAGCTTCCAGGTAGCGTGCCCGTTCCTGCATCCTTCAGCCCACTCCAGCAACCAAGCTTACCACTACCCCAAATCACTGGAGAGAGCGCCACCCACGAAACTTCACTCTGCAAAGCCATCTCACACGCGAATACACATCCCGAATCACAATGGCATCTCTCAAAGGCCCCGGCGCACCCAAGACGTATGATGGTCGGTAGCTCTCGCGTGCTAACCCCGCCCCCACCACAAAGTTGAGCCGCCTTTGGGAACTGCATGACTGACGGCGCATCAACAGGCTCTGCCCTGCGCATCGGCATTATCCACGCGCGATGGAACACCAAGATTATTGACGCGCTCCTTGAGGGCGCACGCAAGAAGCTAAGAGAAGCGGGCGTCAAGGACGAGAATGTGGTTGTGCAGAGCGTGCCCGGGAGCTACGAGCTGCCGTATGCCGTCAAGCAGTATGCGATGGCCGTCTTATTTCGGCTGCTACCAGCTAATGGTAATGTAACAGACTGTATTCGGCATCCCAGATTCAATCCTCCAACACGGGCGTCGTGGGCGCAGCAGCCGATCTCCTTGGCTCCGCAACCGACTTGACCGCGCTCGCCGGCCAGTCGGCCAACAAGACATCCACGCAGCCCTTTGACGCCATAATCGCCATTGGCGTGCTCATCAAGGGAGAGACGATGCACTTTGAGTACATTGCGGATGCGGTCAGCCACGGACTCATGAGGCTGCAACTCGACAACAACGTTCCCGTCATCTTTGGATTATTGACACTACTGAGCGACGAGCAGGGACTCATGCGCGCGGGTATTGGGGGAAGCGACGGCAAGTCTGGACACAACCATGGCGAAGACTGGGGTAGTGCGGCAGTTGAGCTGGGTGTCAAGAGGAAGGGCTGGGTCGAGGGCAAGTTTGTGGACTAGTCGCCTCGGACGGGTTTAAAAAAAAAGGGTAGCACACGAGAGAAATGAACAAAGAAGAAAATGCGGCCGAGTCGTCTGGCTACATGTGTGATTGCGCAAAACACGAGTGGGCCCCCGATACTCGCATGCTAGTGCCAGCTGCTCTCTGCCGCAGTCGCACTCAGCAGCGAAAAGAGGCCACGGTGGAAATAATTGGACATGACAAGCAGCGCATTGGGGGCGGTTTCGCCGGCGGCTTGTCCATGACGCAGCTGCGAACGCGCCCCCTCCCCAAGCAAGCAAGCCATGTGCCATTCTCACGTGCCATTGACTCAACAGGCCTGACACCCAAGATGGCCTCTTTACTCCAAATGTCCCTTGTCGCCATGGAGGGCTGTTTGTGCTGCAGAGCTAGCGTGGCTGCATGCGTAAGGCGATGGCGATGACGCCGCCGGGCTGGCAGGCAAATGCGTGCGTGGGGACGTGCCCTGACGAAGGCGGATGCGCAAATGCGAGGGTCGGTCTGGGGGCTCCAATTCCGGGCAGAGGTGGATGCTGACGTTTATGCGACCGTGTTGGCGACGGCGGCGAGGCGCATTGCCAGCGGACGGGCGAGGTGAAGAGGCATGGTTGGTAACGAGAGCACTCTCCTTTTCTCCCCTAAGGACGCTAGCTTGGCAGCCGGGATCCGCTCCTCACCTTGGACCTCCGATTCCTGAACGACAAGGCCTCCGCCCAACACCAGCCCCATCTGTGCAGGCTGAGCGCTGAGGACTGGATCGCCCGTTTCATCCTTTCTTCTCTCCAGGCCCATCCCCCCCTTGCCGCCCTCGCCCGGCCCGCCTGACACGTCCTCACCGCGCGGGTGCGCGTTGTTCCATATAGCCCTGTTACAGGCCTGCAGCTGTGTCGGATACAGCAACGCGCAGTGCCCCTGCCCACTCTCCGTCTGCCACCCGCGGCTGTCCAGCGATGGCGGGAGCGTACTCGTGCTAACGCAAAAAGTCGATCGGTACTGAGGTGCGCGGTGGCGGCGTAGCCAGCAGAAACGGGCCCTCGACATCAAGTCAGGTCCATGTCAGAAAAACTACGCGGCGAAAAAGACGACAGGTCACTGCGGCAACCCGCTCCGTATTACCACGACCCTCCCACCCTCTCCTACTCGGCTTCGGCTGCCATAGCGACGACACGAGTGGGCGACACGCGCGGCATCGGGCACAGCAACACACTCTCGCCCAGGAACGATGCGCAGCGCCCTAGCCATCTGCTAGACGACGTTGACTCGGACTCCTCGACGCCCGCCTCGTCCACCTTCTCCGCGCCTCCCACCATGTCGCGCCCTGGCCACAACCACTCTCTCCACGCCCTCACGCCCTTGACCAGCTCAGACTCTTCTCCGCCTGGCAAGCTGCCCAGTCCGCGCTCTTCCAAGCTCTCGCATGAGACGATGCACGCGACCTCATCCTCTATACACGCGGCGCCATCGAGCGCATCCACCAATGTCGCCGAGACCATCACACCCATAAACACACCGCCCGAGACGCGGAGATGCGTCTTCCCAGCCGACGGCGTGCTGGGCCAGCGCTCCACCTACGACGCACAGCTTGACCCAAAACTCGATAGACGGGCGAGAGCGAAGGGAACGGCGAAATACAGCACAATACTGGATAAGGTATGTGAAGGTTACATATACATAGATGTGGTCGCCCTGTGACGCCAAGGCTAACTCGACTTGTGTTACAGGGCGACCCGTCTCCTCCTCCAGACCCTCGTCTGGCCATTGCCGGCTATACCACTGGGAACTATGTCATTAAGACGTCGTTTACAGGTGCCCCCAAGTCGAAGCTCAGGATAGCGCCCTATGTCGCCAAGCCCTACTCTTTCGACCAACGCATATCATGCGGGCCAGGGCCTGCGACCCAGGTGGTTGTCACGGGATTTGATCCCTTGACGCCCGACGTCCAGCTGCGTGGCTTCTTCTCCACCTACGGCGAGGTCGAGTCCGTCCGCAACCAGGTACACCCGGACAACGGCAGCCCGCTTGGAATATGTCTGGTCAAATTTCGCGACACTCCGCCCGGCCGCGGCACCACGGGCATGAAGGCAAGTACTTCAGCAAAGCGGGCGGAGCGAGAAGGCACCAACCAGCGCCTTGCCCAGCATATAATCAAAGTGCAGTCTGATCGCGAGGGTCGAAGATGTTCAAAATTGGTGGATATGGCGGTGCAGCAAAGTCGCAAGGAAGAAGAGAAGCTGCGAGCAAAGTATGCTGCGAAACCAATCGGCTCTGCAATCCCTACTGCTCCTGCAAATTTCGACTTGCCAGCCAACGTGCCAAAAGGCCCCTCTGGAAAGGGCGCCCGTCCGCCGATAACGATACCTCGAGAACCGATGACACGAAAAGCCGCACTTTCGTACCTAATCGAACGCGAGCCGATCAAGCCTACGCTGAAACGAAAGCCGTACATCTTCATTGCGCACGCATACGTACCCGTTCTCAGCACTACAATAGAGCACCTCAAGAAGCGGTTAAAGAATTTTCGGTGGACTGCGGTGCGATGCGACCAAACTGGCTACTATGTGACGTTTGAGGAATCCAAGCGCGGCGAGGACGAGACTGTCCGATGTTACAAGGAGTGCCACATGCAGGCTCTGTTCACATATGTCATGAACATGGAGTGTAATCAATATGGCGACCCCAACTACGAGCGAAGTCCTAGTCCTGAGCGTGTAATGGCGGATAAGAAGCGAAAGGCCATGGAAAAACGGATAGAACAGGAAGAAGCAGACGATCTGGAGTGGGAAAAGAAGCAGAGAGCAGATTCGCTGGATCCGGTACGGGCTGCTCTGGATGTTCTGAAGCAGGAGCTGCAGGAAAAGCTTCTTGGGGACATAAAAACAAAATTGGCTGCGCCCACCATACTGGAATTGCTGGACCCCGAACTGCATGCGGAAAAGCGTCGCAGGCTCAACATCCCAGGCCCGCCTAAGAAGGATGAGGATGTTCGTCCCCCAGCGCTGCTTGCTCCAGGCTTCGATGCCTTTGGAGCAGGAACTCCGAGAGGTCGCAATGGAGGTTTTGGTGGCCGTGGCGGTCGTAGAGGCTTTGGCGGTTTTGATCCGAGCATCAGACGTGGAAAGAAGCCTCCAAAGGTTGTCAATGCGTTTGCGGATGAGCGGAGAAAGGCCTCTGCGCCCAAGCCCCGTGTGGCTCGCGGTTTGCATCGCCAAATGATCGAAATGTTTGAACCTGAAGAGTCAGATGATGAAAACCGCAGCCAGCTGACACGCGGTACTGAAGAGCAGGAAAGCCGGCCTATAAGCCGTGCTCCGTCTACAGATATTGAAGATGAGGTGGAAGAATCGTCAAGAGCCCATCGTGCCAAGCGGCGCCGCATTGAGACTGGTTGGGGTGAGGACAGTGACGAGGAGATGGACGATTCGCATGCGAGAAGTTTGCTTGCTCATTGCATTCACAAAGACCCGGAAAACATGGCGGAGAAAGAGCTGGAACAGGTTCTTGCAATCCTGCCACGTTCATCGCCAATTTGGAAGAAGGCGGACAAGGCACTCAAGGGTTTCAGGAGGTTGCGAAAGATTGAGCAAGAGGCGGACGTGATATTTGGCGTCGGAGAAAGCCCGATGGACAAGATGGAGCCCGAAGTTGTCGTTACCCAGGACGACGAAGCACTGAAGCCTATTGAGACTACCGAACCTGCCGAGACACTCACATCGCTCAAGAAGAAGGCCACCAAGCCGAAGAGGAAGACCAAGAAGCAACTCCAAGAAGAAGCCAAGGCTGCGAAGCTGGAAGCCACAGAGGCCGAAACACCTGCAGAAGATGAGGCGCCTGAAGTCAAGGATGTCAAGGAGGTTGCCGAGGAAGCAGTCATTGAGGAAACCACCCCGGAGCAAGATGAGCGGGCTTCTTCTGTCTGCTGGAGCGTATCTCATGACATTCCTCGCAAGACGGTTGAGGACGACTTCAGTGTTGTCATGGATATTGACGGCTGGCAGCATCTGCTCAAGGATGAAGAAGATTTGCGTCTTCTCAAGGTGGCGATGGAGTTGACCACTCCGGCCAATATTGGAGACGCGCAGTCATGGGCCTGGAAGCAAAAGTCCATCAAGCATCTCAACCGCGGCGGCCAGGAAGGCGTCTCCCGTACCGAGACCAAGATTGAAGGCTACTATGTTCCCAACCCGACCGGCTCGGCTCGTACAGAGGGCATCAAGAAGATTCGCGAGTCTGAAAAGTCAAAGTACCTACCGCACCGCATTCGCGTGCAAAAGGAGCGCGAAGAACGCCAACGCCGTGCCAAGCAAGAAGAACGAAGCGTCGTGTCTGTCGAAGGCTTCAAATTCCAATCCAGCGCCAACAAGGCATCAACTGCCAACTCGCGCGCCAACCGTGCCAACAACCGCCGCATGGTCAACGACATCAACATTTCCAAGAACCTTTCTGGAGCCGAGGGCGACGCTCTACGCTTCAACCAGCTGAAGAAGCGCAAGAAGCTAGTCAAGTTTGACCGCTCCGCCATCCACAACTGGGGGCTGTACGCGCAGGAACCCATTGCCGTAAACGACATGATTATCGAGTACGTGGGCGAAAAGGTCCGGCAGCGCGTGGCCGATCTCCGCGAAGCCAAATACGACATGCAAGGCGTAGGCTCGAGTTATTTGTTCCGCATCGACGAGGATACCGTTATCGATGCCACCAAAATGGGTGGCATTGCGCGCTTCATCAATCATTCTTGCACGCCCAATTGCACCGCAAAAATCATTCGTGTCGATAATACAAAGCGCATTGTTATTTATGCGTTGCGCGACATTCAGTCTGGTAAGTTCTCCCCCACCCCCCCCCCCTTTCCTTTCTCTCTTTCCAAATTTTCCCATAATCCCTAGTTTGAGTGGATGAAAGAGGCTAACGGAATGTTAATAGATGAGGAACTCACATACGATTATAAATTCGAGCGCGAAATCGATGCTACTGATCGTATCCCTTGTCTTTGCGGTTCCATTGGTTGCAAGGGCTTTCTTAATTGAAAGAAATCAAAAATAACGGAAATGGGAAATAAATTAATTCTACACTTTTATTTTTTTTACAACCCCACCTTTTTTTTCACAAACTTGGCTCTTTTTTTTAACTTGATAACTTTTTTGATAGACACGACAGATGAACAGAAAAGTGAATTTGTTATTTGTTTTTACTCTGTGTGTGTGCGTGTGTATATGTGTGTGTGTGTCGTTTTAGCTGTGCAAACGATTAAAAGAAAGAAAAGGAAAAAAAATGGAAATAAATCATATTTGCACGCTCTTTCAAGTTCTTGCTTTCTCCCTCTCGCTGTCTCTCTCTCCCTCTCTCTTTCTGTCCTCTCTCTCTCTCTCTCTGCGGTCACAATTATTATCGTCGTTATCATCGTCCCAACAGCGTGAGTGTGAGTAATCTTTTTTTTTTTTTAAAAAAAAAATCTATCTTGGACTGCTTATATTGTTTCTTTCTTTCTTTCTTTTTTAGTTACTTTATTATCTGTTAATTTTATTTCTTTCATATTTCCCTTTCTTCCCTTTTCGCGTCTTCAGTCTTAGCCTCGCTGTCAAACCATGGTTATGATATGACCGCCCTCACCAAGTCGATAATCACACAGCTACTACGCGGCATACGAGAGTTCTCAACTTGGTACCTTCACTGGGATTTAAAAACCCCTCGTTGCATGTATTTTTGTTAAGTACTTAGAGATGCGTAATAGGTGTGAGGATCAGACGGATGGTAGAGTTTGCATCTAGCATGGATGGATGGATGGATGGATGGATGAATGGATGGGAGATGAAACTTGCCGTCAGATCCTCGCAATACTATGCACATATAGAGTTGACAGAGTCTGAAGCACCATCCACTGTGCACAAGATTCAAAGTACAATTCTGATCGCACAAGGCATTCGTATTTTTTCTATAAAAGTTTTTGTTCTGGCAGATCTGAAATCTCTGCAAAGCTCCGAGTATGCATGGTACACAGACCGGTGGACCTACTCGTCATCCTCAAGATCTGCCCAACGACCCGGCATAGGCTTGATAGTAAGATGCGCATCATCCGAAGACGTAGCGTTGTTTTCCTCGCCAACAGCAGTGGATTCAGAAGCCTCGGGAACGTCCTTTGTCGCAGTAGAAGAAGTGTTCCACGCACCACCTTCATCCTCACTTGCAACCCCACTGTTAGCACCGCTCTTCTCTTTTTGCTCCTCCTCTTCCTCTGCTGCTTCCCAATCTTCTGCCACCTCGACAGGGGCTTCTTTCTTCTTCTTCTTGCTGCTTAGACTAAGAACAGCAAAGCCGCCCTTGTTACCAAATGGTGTGCTCTTCTGTACCTGCCGTAGAGGAGTACCTTTGGATGCAGCGACTTGGCTCCATCCAGATCCAGGACCCACATCAGATTCTTTGCGAAGAACTGTAAGAGTCGAATCGAGGCGTGCGAGCTGAATCTTTCCAATACTCTGTGCACTCAAGGCTTGTGATAGCGGTGCTTGGATGGATTCAAGCATAGTCTGCATTTCGCGTTCCGGAATACTGAGACGTGCCGCTAACGGCGGCTTCAACGCAACGACTTCACCAGGAAGGAATGTCATCTCTAGCTCGCAGCGAAACGATGTTTTTGATAGCACGCTCTTGACGACAGGGGCAAGTTCCTCTATGGTCAGTGCAAAGCGAGGATTGAGGATGAGGAATGCATTATACGGGTCGACATTCGCATTGTTAGGCTTTGGCCGGAGCGCTGCAGTCGGAGCGGGCGCTGGAGCAGGTGCAGGGGCGATACGCTGTTGGATCTGGCGAGTACGTGCACATTCTGCGAGCGTTCGCATAGGTGCCATGACAAACTTTGGTGTCTTGAAGATTGCGACATGTCGATGAGGCTCTGGGTCCATGCTCTCTGAATCCATACCAAAGTCTTCGGCGAGCGAGTGTATAAAGGCGCGCTGGTTGCGTGGCATGGGCTTGAAGCGAAGGCGTTTCTGGTCTGGATCAGCAGCAAAAAGCCGCAGTTGCTTCTCTTGTGTAGCCGCCCAGGTAGCGTTTTGCTGATACATGTTTAACGTGGCGTCAGAATAGGGAATATGGTCGCTCTGGTGCTCTGGATCGACATTGAGAGCGAGTGCCAGCACACGGTTGCGTTCTAGGCGCGCACATTCTTCGTCGCACTTGAGAGTCTTCTTCAAGTTGCCATCGCCGCTGCATGAAGCATTGCATTTGGCCTCTTGCTTGATTCTTTGACACTCACAGGTGACGAAGATCTTATGTGGGCAAGGCTTCTCTTCCTTGCATGGCTGAGGGAAGTGGCATGGAGCCAAGCATGGATGACCACATGTACTGAGCTCTTTGCCACAGGCTTGAGTACAGGGCTCTTCACACTCTCCGGGTCGATGGCATTGCTTCTGGCATTTGTGTGTACCGCATTTGAGAGTACGACCGCAAACCTGGCCACAGCGGACTTCGTTCAGCCAGCACGGCTGGTTCTTGAGAACGCTCTTGCCGCACAAACACGGCTTTGCAGTCAGAAAAGCACACTTGGGACAAGCCTGGTCGTCTTCATGGCAGGTGTGGTCCAACTGAGGATGACCGCATTCCTTGGGGCGTTCACACTTGAACCGGCATGGCGGTGGTTTCGTACCACAGGGTAGAGGGGGATACAGAATAGTGCGTCCACAATGGCAGCTGAGCTCTTCGAAAATGGCATCGCGACATGTGCCACAAGGGCCCTTGTGACAGAGTTCCTGGCAGCGGTGTTCGGGATTGCCACACTTGAGCGGGCGACCACAACTGCGGGTGCAGATGTGCTCAGCTTCGAAATTCTCAAGAGGCCGGCGAGGGGCTGAGTCGAGCGGTCTAGCTTTGCGTCGGTTCGATTGCCGCTCAGCAGCCTTTTTCTCTCCAGCGCAGCAGCGTTGGCCACACTCGTGTCGTCCGCAGTTCAAGGAAATACGGCAGACGCGCATGCACTGGGGAGGCTCTACAGAGCCTTGGTGACATATACTCTGGGACGATGTGCGCCCGCATCTGCATGCAATGTCGACTTTCTCCAAGCACGGTCGGCACTCGCCTTGATGACAGTGCTGCCGACATGTATGGCCACAAGCAAGCATCTGCCCACAAGGCTTGTTGCAGTTGGGTATCGGGTCCTCGCAAGCCGCTCGGGGCTTACTTGGCATGTCGCGCAGTGCAGTCTTGCCACAAGGACAATGGGTAACTACATCTGGAGATCGTGGGCAATGGGGCGCTTTCGAGACTTGCGGATGACACGGCAGTTCGCAGGTGTGCTTTCCGCAATCAAAGGAGCGACCACATTTGTTGAGGCATTGGAATGAGCCGACCCAATTCTCCACCGTCGTTGTCCCGTCTGTAGCAATGTGCAGTTGGCTGCTGGCCTTCTCGACGTCTCGGTCATGACACAGAATGTCTTTCTCTATCTGACCACAATAGCAACGCGCTGGAACCCGCTCTTCACAGGCTCCGCAAGGGCCATCATGGCATGGTCGCTCGCATCGATGTTGGCCACAAGACATTGATTTTCCACAGACATCACCACAGCTCCAACCGTGTTCGTAGTCGGTGTCGACGCAGCGGCGCGTCACTGACTTCTTTGCACAAAAGCAATGCTGAGTTGGTCCCATCAGATTACAGGGTGGACAGGGGCCGGCATGACATGTTGAACCACAGGGGTGTGGGCAGGGCTTGGGAAGGACCCGTGGCCGTGAGCAAGTCTGACCACACGAAAACGGAGGCAGCCCAGGTGTAGATCGAGGATCCAGTTCCTTCTCGCACCAGCAGTGGAAGTTTTTTGGGAGAACGTCTTTTGGCAAATTGCATCCTGGGCAGCGCCATTGTCTCGGAGGAGGCGCCTCTCCGTCTTGAGCTTGCTGGCGTGCCGCTGCAGAACCCTCGTTGGTTGACCATTTCTTGATGCACCCCAGGTGGAACACGGTCCAGCATGTCCTACACGACCAGACGCCCCGCGATCGCCTTGTGACTTCTTCTGTGCAGATGGCGCACTCGTAATGTCCGTTATCGATATCCTCGTGTGTTCTAGTGGCAATATCGGGTGCCGTTGACTTTGGGGCCTGTGGCTGCTTTTGCTTTGGTGGCCGTGACTTGCGGGGGGCAACCGGCTTGCCTGGCTGGAAAGAGGGCGCGTCCGCTTGTAGTCCTTGGGGCAATTCTGAGGACACGGATGCCGTGTCTCCTTCGACAGTCAACTGCCCGCCGAATTGGCGGCCGCCGGCAGCGATTCGCTGAGGGCGATCTGGGCCGCCTCTTCCCCGACCACCGCCTCGTCCTCCACGTCCACCTCTTCCACCCCGATGTGCTGCTTCTTGTACAGATGTAGGCACAAGCTCTGGTGCTACAGGGTTAGGTTGCGCATGGGCTCCGGCATCGTTGCGATTTCCCCTCCCCCTCCCTCTGCCGCCTCTGCCGCCTCCTCTTTGTGACTGTTGCCCTGTTTGTGCTTGTGTTTGCTGCTGCTGCTGCTGCTCGGATTGTGTAGATGTGTTTGCATTCGTGTTGGCATTTGTGTTTCGGTTTCGCGGCCCCCGTCTTCGTTGCGGACCTCTTGGAGCATTTGCTGGAGCCGATGTGGGCGGTTGAGGGGCGACTGTGGGCGTCGACATATTTCGCGGTTCAGCTGCGATGGCGCTGAGAGGCGAGTGAATGGTGATTTCGTAAATGCCGCAGGCGGGGGAGAAAGGAAAGAGATTGTAAGAGCAGGCTCTTGATATTGTACGGCCTGCTGAACTGACAAAGAAAAAGAAAAGAAAAGGAGCAACTTTTGGGGTGAGAGCGGGGGGCTTTTGGTGGCGAGCACTTGTATTTGGGGAAAAGGCGCAAGCCAGACACGCTAGGAAGGCCGTTTCTAGAAAATGTAACGGCCGGGATGAGTCAAGTTGCACTCATACCTCGGGCAGCGCAGGCCGACAGGCATCCATGCACATGCGTCGGGGCGTGGAAATGCGAGTGGCGCAGTGCGGCGGACGAGGGAAAGTTGGCTTGCCTGGTGGGATGGGGGATTTGGGGCCTCGAGTGAATTGCCATGGCCGCCGCCATTCGACGCCGCCGCCGCCAAATTTCCATGCCGGCACCAGCGCGTCATAGGGCCTGGTCGGGTCTGGCCCCCGCCACAGCACCAGCCACAGCACCAGCCCCGATCGGCGCTACCACTGTGGCTGGTGCCGATGGGTGGCTGCCATGGCCGCCGAGAGCGCGCTCGAGCTCCAGTGAACATCGCGAACGACGACGCCGACGACCAGCGACAACGACATCGAACACCCCCCATCAGCCCCCCATCTCCCACCGACACCATGGCCAAGACTCTTGTCGGCGCTCTCGCCCTGGCGGCGCTGCCCTCGGCACTTGCATTCCGCAACACATCCCCCTTCTTCCTCTTCTCCACCGCCGAGTATGTCTGCGAGCTCCCAGCCCATCCTGACGTCGTCGAGCTAACCACCATGCAGCCTGCTAATCCCCCACAACGACGCTGCCATCGCCGACGCATCAGAGCTCACTGCCGACGTTCTCAAAGCTCTTGCCCACTGCCCCACCAAATCCTACGTCGTGATTGAGCAGAGGGGCGTGGCCGCTGCCGACTACGCAGATGGCCGCGCTGCGCCCCAGCTCAGCAAATACATGGCTGGAGACCACCCCCAGGTCAAGTCGACTGTAGCGATCCCCGACATTGCCGGCAACGTCGACACCACCGCCATCACCGAGCACCTCATCTCCAAGTGCGGCAAGGGCTACAGCGACGACGATACCTGGTTCATGCGCCAAGGGCTTGCAGCGCCGCCGACGTCCAAGGCACTCCGCATCGAGCAGCTCCAGTCCGACGGTATGTTGTCACGCGGCTGAAAAGAGGCATAGGAACTGACCTGCGCAGACGCGACGCTCGAGCAATTCATCGTCAACGATGCCAAGTCTGACGACTACACCGTCATCTACATTACCACTCCCCAGACCGAGTCTCAAGCCAAGGAGTCTGACGCACAATACACATACGAGATGGGCTCGTCGTACCCAGAAGCTGTGCAGATGGAGCTCAAGCGCGATCTCTCGTCGCACGCCAAGCCCGCCAACGCGACAGAGGGCGGCCTGTTTGAGAAGTACCAGTACTTCACGCCCGGCATTTTCATGGGCTTCGCTGCCATTATCCCTCTTTTCCTGATTCTGCTCGTCGGCATCCGAGCCCTTACCAGCCTCGAGGTTTCGTACTTTGCTTTTAGCAAGGAGATGGGCCCCAATGCCCAGAAGAAGCAGTAGACGTCTTTATGGTCAACAGTGTACTTGTGCGCGTATCGTGTATATTTGTGAGTCAGTAAGCATGGGTTGCCGGCGTTAGCATGAATTTTGGGTCAGTAGGGAAATACCAAGCTTGTCATATCTAGTTTCCGCTTTCACGCGTTCGCTCAAGCATGACCGAGTGCTTCAAAGCTAGCAGTCTGCGCTAATGCAGCTGACTTGCGATTCCAGGCCTCGGAGTTCAGGTCCTGTTTTACAAAATCGGATGACAATGCGACTAGTGTTCCCATTACCACTACACGCACTCCACAGCAAACCCCGGGGTCCTGTCAACACGCGGAATGGTCGGGATCTTTGAACTAATCATGCTGTTTACTATCTCGTAGTCGGTTCCCCAACCTTGCCGAGACTCCTCATGTCCGGACCACTGACATCAACGGTTAGCGTTAGGTTGAGGAACACAACCAGATAGACCAGCTGTGTATACGCATCGTCCTGCCGAACAGGGCATACCTTGGCTTGTGTGGCTCGCGATATTCAGCCCCAGACGTTAGTGTCGTGGCGTTATAAAATGGCATCCCTTTGCAACCCTTTCGTCCTTTTTGGTTTCAACGACATTTTGTTAAGCAGATAATATTAGGCACTCCGCCATGACTTCACAGCCAATGAACATCATCATACTAGGTGGCGGAATAGCTGGTCTGACCACCGCTCTTTCTCTCACCAAATTCGCACCCGCCTCACAATCGCCAAACATCACCATATATGAGATCCGGCCGGAGCCCGCAACGATTGGCGGTGCTGTAAATCTGACGCCAAATGCCCTCCGCCTTCTTTCACATCTAGGGGCGCTTGACGAGATCCATGCCAAGGACTATGGCGCTGAGTGTCTCGCTGTGGAAGTCTTTGACTTGTACACCAACACAAAGATTGCCGAATCTTCCTTTGGAGGCCCGGAAGGCAAAGGCTTGGGGGATCCGCCGTTTACAGCGCTGAGGATAACAAGAGGCGAAGCTCTAAAAGGCGTGCTAGCTGCGATTGAAAAACAAGCAAACATTCAACTCATCTGCGGGAAGAAGACTATCAAGATTGACGAAGACGACACTGGTGTCAGCATCGAATTCGAAGATGGGGGAAACGCAAGAGCCGACATTCTCATAGGCTGCGACGGCATTCACAGCGTCACACGCCTCAAACACGTCGAGCCCGAGCGCAAGGCCGTGTACAGCGGAATTTGCAATGCGTTTGGTTTTGCTCCACGCCGCAAAGACTCTAATGGTGATATGGAACCCGCGCATTTCCAAGTCACGGGCATGAACTTTGGCCGCCGTGGCATGCTCCTAACGTCGTTCCACGACGGCGCCAAAGAAAGCATCTACGTCGGTGCCCTAATGCAAGTCCCGGAAATCGCCGACCGCAACGGGTGGAAAGCCGCTGGCGCCGATGCACAGAAAACTCGCAACGAAATGCTAGAGCGCTACTCGGGCGCAGCGAACCCGCAAATCGCCCACTGGATCCAAGACGCAGAGGGCCTGTACCTCTGGCCCGTGTTTACGCTGTCCAAGGGCGGCAAGTGGGCGACAGACCGTGTGATGCTCATTGGCGACTCGGCACATGCCATGCCGCCGCAGGGCGAATCCACCGGCATTGTGTTTGAAGACGGCGTCTTGTTCGCGCGGTGTCTGGCCAAGTGGATGCAGACGAGGCGCGATGCCCGTGTCCCAGTCAAAGAAGCATTTGATGCGTACGAATCCCTTCGCCGCGCGAGAATCGACACGGCTTTCGATGAGAGCCAGAGTGTGGTCAAGACGGTGCAGGATACGCCGTGGTGGGGCCACAAGATCAAGATTAATATCGTGCCGTGGTATTTGTGGTGGACGAGAGCCTATCGCGAGAAGCATTTTGTAGAGGATGTTACTGCGTGTGATATTGGGTATTAAGAGTGAGTGGAGAAGTTTTGTAGCGCTTTGTAAGGGGTGATATTTAGCTTTGGTTAGAGTGGAGTTGTGGTAATTCTGATAGTATTTGTCCAGGTGCCATCGTTCGTATAATACAGGTTCTCCAACCACTATATTCACCAACTCCGATCGTCATGCTATAACAGACGCTCCAATCACTTTTTTTTCTTCCCGTTACTCTGCGCCCTGCCCTTTCTCTCATAAACGTACCTTCTAGTAATCTCGCTTATCCCCTCCCATCCACCCCTTTCCCAACGCCCCCCCCTCGCACTCACACATGCCCGTCTTACTATTGTTCTTGCATCCCCGCCCACGCCACCACCATTGTCCTGCAGCCTCTCCTCGCCCGCTTCTCCATGCATGATATAGTCGCGGCATGACCATGTATAAATTTGCTTTGAACGTCTATTCCCCTCCCTCCTATCCCTCTTCCCAACTCAATCCAAACCATACAACCAATTCATTCCAAGCCAACCTACACATTGCATACCCTCCAATATCCAACACTAATACTTCACTTTACTTTACGTCTGCACCGCACGCAAACAATAGTCCAACGCCGAAAACAGGCATATCTATCATGCGCCCTTACTTCGACGCCTCGGATTTCCCTTCGTTCAGAGCAATGGTGTCGGGAGATGATGCGAGACCATATCGAGCTGCTGTGCATGTGAATTGCGCGCTTGTGCTGTATACTCGCACGGCAGCGGTGATGGTGGTGGCTGGAGAGGCGAAGGATGTGCGGGGTGAGAAGGGTGGGAAGAGCAGGTTGGGGAGCTGGTTTGGTAGGTAGGGCGTTGGCATGTGATGATGAGCGTGATCATGATGGCGATGGGTTTTGGGAGGAAAAAGAAAGATATATATAAGTATATGTATATACAGACATGCATAACGAGGGACGGCGTACTGAGAGAAAGAGAGAGACTCAGTACTACCATTACTTACAGATTTCCCTTGGACATTCCAAACATAAACACATGAACATCATAAACATTAGTATCAACATCTCGTTTCCTGCACTTCACGGCCAAACCCCCCAAGTCAACTTGCCTATTCTCTCCATCACCCCACCCCACCCCACCCCGCTCTCTCTTACCCACCTACTCCACTCACTCGGCCCTCTTAACCACACGATCAAAATGATCAAAGCAAAACTTGCCGCCGAAAAAACACGTAACAACCCACTTCCACCACGCGACACTCGCAAAGCTGATGCCGTGATCGCGCAGCCTCTTCATAAACACGAGCGTCTCGACGCTGTGCGCGCCGTACAGCAAGTAGAAAAGTCCGTTCTGCGTCCACCGCAGCGCCTTGGCGACCGTCGGCGGCAGCGGCTCCGAGAAGCCTGGCGGCGGCGTCGTGGAGAAGGGGCGTAGGAACGAGGGCGTTGGCACCGCGGATAGCGTCATTAAGAAGACGGCGATGAGGATGGGGTTGAGGTGCGGGTGTGTGGGGGATATGTACGTGTTGTTTAGGTTTTTTTTAGGCGCCATGGTTGAGTATAATTTGCTGGGACGTGGAAATCCGTGCGTTTGATGAGATGACGATGATGACGATGAAGTTGGTGTTGGTGTTACTATATTTCCTTTTTTCTCTTTTTTTGCTTCCGGAAGCCGACGGGGGAGAGTCTCTCTCTCCCTCCTCTTTATTTTTTGCCGCTCTCGCCTACGCTAAATAAAATGCGAAATAAGTAAGCACCCACTTTTTTTTGTTTGTTTTTAGGCGCGGGATGCTATGCTTGGCGGTGATGCGATATGGGCGCGGTAACGATAATTCCGTCTGCCGTTGTCAGCGTACTTGTGTTACAAAAATAAGTCATGATAGTTAGAGACAATCGATGCTTTGGCCACTTGCAGTGTATGTGTGTATGTGCAGAGGTATGTAATAGACTTTCACTTACGTTGCTTTATTATTTCGTTTGGTCTTGAATAATAATAACAATAATAATAATAAGGAATATACGGGTCGGGGAAAAGCAAATGCGTACGGAGGTGACTGTCAAAAGTTCTTGCTAGCGCCACGCTAAGCCGCCAGCCTATCGGCCCGACTATTCTTGGCGCCCACACCAATCTTTTGAAGCTGGCGATAGCTTGTATACTCATTTTTTTTGAGTGTTTTTGATCTACCATGGCTCCAAATACGGATATATCGACCCGCTCTTTTATTGTTGCATTGAAGTCACCTTTTGGTGGCAGATCTACACGCGAAATCGCAGAAATGACAGGCATATCGCCGCGTACGATCGACTCAATTTATGGTAGAGCCTGCCAGCGAGGCTTTGAGCCTAACGCACGCCTAATTAAGATCCTTCCGCAGTACCTCGAAGATGCCCCGCGCGCAGGCCGCCCTCGTAAACAAGAAGAAATACACGACGCTACTCTTAAGAACGTACGCCGCGATAGGTATGGGAGAGAGAAGAGCTGCGCTGATATTGCTGGTGATCTTAGTGTTCACGGCTACAACGTCTCGTCGTCCACCGTATGGAGAGTCCTTCGAGCAGCCGGTTACAACAAGACGAAGCCGACGAGGAAGCCTGGGTTGACGACGAAGATGAGACAGGAAAGACTTGAGTGGTGTCTTGCCTATAAAGATTGGACACTTGAAGATT